ATTAGAATTACCTCCTTAGCCTCTTCTAAGTAGTTAAGAGTAATTAGGATCGGAGGGGAAATAATTTTCCTTTTTAAGGTTTCTATAGCTTCCTTTTAATTAGGTCCCTAGATAAACTCCGCGTCTTTTTTTAGTAAGTCTATTAAGGACTTCGTAATCTAGGCAAATTATTTAATCTATTAGCGATAGTATCCTATGATGCTAAGGAAAGATCTTACCTCCCTTATATCTAGGTAGACTTCTTACTTTAAGATCTTTATTACTTTTTTCTCTTCTAGGCTTCTCCCGTATATACCATAGAGGTATCTAGTTATTATTGCTATCTTCTTATAGAATTAAGACTTCTATCTAGCGATAGTATAGCCGGATAGCTCGATATTTATGAGCACCTTATCTAGATTAATTAAATACTCTAGGATAAAATAGCGTATCCCTAGAGTAGCTTTTTCTCCTTTATAATCCGTTATGGGACCCCTTACGTAGATATCGTTAAGGAATAACCTATATATATCTAGAATTAAGTCCCTTAGGATTCGAAGGATATTCCGGGTGAACTGGGTAATAGAATTGGTAGCCCTTTGCGGCAGCGTATATATCCTAAGTAGATTAATTAGTATTATAAAGCTTATTAAATCTTTACTGACTTTAGTAAGCTTTATTTAATTATATCCCGAGAAGAAGTCTAGTAGTAATAATATCTTATATATAGCAAAGTCTACTGAGAACTCGTTATAGCTAGGAGGGATAAGGCTATCCCTTATGGTGTGTTTGTTTATTAAAGTAGCTAAATTAATTAATCGAAATTAATTATCTTTCTTCTAAATAAGAAAGAATAGGTTCCTATAGGGGCTGTGATCTTCTTCGAGGATTCCTCTCTTTAGCCGGGTTCTTAGGAGTCTAATAATATCCTTCTCGTATCCTTTGGGAATAGGTATACTTCTTACCTACTAGGCTTTATGTTTAATAACCCTAATGACCTATAGAGGCGCTATAAGTGGGTTAAGCTTCCTATACTCTGAGAATTCCTATATAAGTGCCGCCTCTCTATTATATATAATCTCGAGAAAGATATCTAATTCTTTAGGTGTGAGGGTATCTTTTACTTAATTAATTAGTCCCTAAAGCCTATCTCTCTTAATCTAGGTTCCCTTCTCGATATCAGAGAATTTTAGTATAATTTATTCTCGGTATTTTAAATCCTTTTATAATTTCTCCTTTACTTTCTTTTATTTTTTTTCCTTTTACTCTAGGTCTCCCTCTAGGGTAGATCTATCTAATGGAATATCGTCGCGTAGGTAGATCTTTACCCCCTTTCTCTTATAGAGGGTATTAACTAATATCTCCTCTAGCTTTCCCTTCGTTGTCGAGCCTTGGTCCTTTCGGACTTTACGTTTCTTCCCTGACTATCTTTTGATTATTTAATTCGTATCTTATAGGGCTGCTTTATATTGTTTGGCTGTTGCTAATCTAATGATATTGATTACCTCCTCCCCTGACTCCTGATTTATCTATCGCAGTGAGGACGGGATATCGTCTAGTTTTAAATTACTCTCTTAGTTAACCTTAGGTTTAGAGAGAAGGTTAATGTTTATTTTAGCGGCATACTATTGTCTATTCTATAAGTAGGGGCTTCCTACTTAATGGATCTAGTAGCTAGGGTGATGACTCGGGTATTGCCTAATTGGCATCAGAGGAGCATAGTACCGTCCTTAGTCGAATGATTAAATGATACCCTTATAGAGCGGACGAAAGGTATGCCGAGAATAAAGGGAATTGAGATCCTAGCTAAAGGCGCGATATATATCTTCTGCTATATCTATATATTGCCTAGGTATAGCTAGATAGTTATTTAGCCTAGTATTATAATGCGGTCTTAAGAGAAAGACATAGTTAAGGTATAAGCCGGGGTGATTTAAAGGCTATAGGCTTTTGTAAGCTCCTGGGAAATAATATTTCCCTCTGACCCTATATCTACTATCGCTTCTATTACCTTGCCTTCTGGATTATCGAGCCTTACGAGGATACGCGGTAGCTCCTATGATTAGGCTACTGCCTTGCTATGATGCCTAACTATGAGTTTAATAGTATTAATCTTCTGATTAAATGGTTCCTTGCCCTCTATGCTAGGGGTTACGGTCTCTTCTGGCTTTGGCTTATTCTAGCGGACTTTTACTATCCTCGTCTCCTCTATAGTAGTTCTTACGTCCATTGTGACGATATAGTTACTAGGTTGAAGCTTACTTATATAATCGTTGGATTATTTGGTCTAGGTTTCTTCGTTGATAAGGATTATATTTATGCCTACTCTCTTACTGACTGACTTCTAGTAGGCTTCCCCTTAGTCCTACTTACTAACTTAGATTATATTTATATTATTAGCCTTCTAATTAGATAATCCTCGCTTTTTATTGACTATATAGGGCATAGGTTTAATATAGGTAATCTACTTAATACTATTAGTAATATCTTAATAATCCTTACCTACCTCTCTACTTAGCTAGGGTAATAGCGTAAATAGCTTATCGGCTAGAATCGAGATCTTCTTTGTCTTATATTTGTCTCTTAGCTCTTATAAAATAGAGGCTTGCTTCTCTTTAAGTGTCTAGAATCTTAGGTTCTTTTCTTTCTCTATGACTATAGGCTTTTTAGTTAGGGTTGCCTTCTGGATAGGCTATATGGCTTCCTATGTTTCTGCAATATCTTTAATATAAACCCGCTTCCTCGCGTTAGTATTAATAGTAATAGTCGTCGTGGTAAGGACCTAAGGGGTATCTATCTAATTAAATGATGCTAGCTCTTTATTAACCAGGATAATATTAGTGGAGGGCCCTTATGGCGGGTTCTAACTATCTAGGATATCTCGGTCGCCTCTGGTTATACTCGTAGGCAATCGATTAAATCCATCAGGGGCCTTATACTTTGGTCGGTAGAGCTCCATGACCCTAGGGTTCTTCCGAAGGAAATTATTAATAATATTATCTTTAGGCTAGGTTAGTTCGAGCCTAAGGCCTACTTTGTTATACTTTTCGAGCCGATTAGCCAAATGACTTAGCTTAGACTCCGGGAAATACTTTAGCTAGTTATAAATAAGCTTCCTAACTCTAAACTACTTGAAAAGGTATATAAGCGCGGGTAGTAGTATTATATCCCCCCTTCTAAGTAGGGCCGCCCCTCTAGACGAATCATAGCTTGCGATTCCCTCTTTCTTATTATATGCTAGATCTACATAAGTATCTAGGAAGTGGTTTCTACCTACGTAGTATTAGTATACTATATTAGCCCTAGAACTCTCTTATCTAGACCTATATACTATAGTAGTATAGAAATCCTAGCTATTTAGTATCTAATTAAGTGATATTATATTTATCTTAAATACTTAGGGTATTCTTAAGGCTACCTATCTATTATATTCTCTCTCGAGGATTTAAGTTAGATATAATTAGGATTCTTACCCCTTCGCTATATTGATTATAAGTTAGCTAAGCTACGCGGTTAATTAGTTGATTTTTGAGGCTGTGGCTTTATTAGATTCTTTCTTAAGGATCTTTAGGGTCTTAGTCGCTTTTACGGAGGAGCTTAGGCTTCTAGGAGGAGTTAGGGCCTATATAACTCTATGGATATCCTCTTCGCTTCGAGGACGATAAGTCTTCCAAATTTTGATTTTATTTTCGCAGTATTATTTAATTATTTAGGTAAGCGCCTAGTACTTTATGGTCGTGAGCTCGCGGATATTCTTATTATATCTTTCGTAAATGCCCTTAATGACCTCCTTAGGGAGTGCTTTATAAATAGCCCTGGACTAAGTCTTAGATATCTTCTAGCTCTCGTCGATCTACCTAAAGAGGTATTAGTGCTTATTTAGCTATTTAATAATAGCGTAGAAGTCTACCTTTAGATAGGTCTTATTAAGTACTTCTAGTTTTTCCTCAATAGTCTCTAATTAATTAGAATCTTCGTTCGCAAAGGCTTCTTTTAGGCTCTCTTAGGCGGCTTCCTAGCTAAGTCCATTCATAGCTTATCGGGCCTCCCTTTTAATCTCTAGATTAGTATATGACTTAAAGAGAGCTACCTTTTTATCCTCGGAGACATTCGTAAGTTCTACCTACTAGTTAAAGTTCCTAAGGTACTTAGTTATATCTTTTCCCTTAAAGAGGGGGAGAGGATTAAGAGAGATAGCAAAAAAAGGACTATTTAATCCTTTAGTTAAGAGTTTAAGGAGGAGCTTATTAACCTTATTATTACTTTTAATAGCCTTATTATTCCCTATCTCCGGGTTCTAGCCTTAGATATTTGTAAAGGTGTGGGCCCGATAGGCACGATCAGGATGATATCAGAGATGAAAAGGTAGGTTCCATATATTGATGTGACTTCAACTTGCCGAAGCCTCTGCGAGCCTTCGACGAAAAAGAGTTTTACGTGGCCTATGGCCTACTTGTTATCCGAGGATTTCCCGACCTGCCGGCGATAGCCGGCATGACCCGAATACTCTTACAATTGCCCCCTCTCCAGGGAGCTTGGTCCCACAAGCTCATCCGGCCAATCATCTCATTCCTTTGTTCAACACCAAAGACATCTAAATATAGCTGTCTTTCAACGATTTCAGGCTTCAATGCCTCTTTGTGATGTTTCGCCGATTGTTCGCCGTTCCCTTTGCGTTTTCCCTTTGTGATGATTGTGGTCTTTGTCGTAGGGTCGTTGTTCTCCTTTGCGGTTGGTTGGTCGCCGTCGCGTTGGCGATCGCTTCGCGCTGCCAGCTGTCTGGCACTGGCGGCTCAAATACAGCTGTTGCTGCTGTGACCAAAGTTTTTCTGTTCCACAATAATCTTCCCTCTTCTGTTTTCCTTTTCCTCACAACAACAATTCTGCTGCCTGTCGCAATAACATCGCCGCAGCCTCCGCGATCCCTGTTGGTCTCGTCTTCCTGAATCGCATGCGATTCTTCAGTTTTCCCTCTCATTCCCACATCACTCACTCGTCCGCCCGTCGCGAAGCTTTCGGCGATGTCTCTCCTGGCCACCTACTCCGCCGTGCTCTCGAAGTTCACGTACGATGCCGCTGCCAACTTCTGGAAGATGGATCTAGGTGAGGTTCCTTGCATGTATTGCCTGGAACACATGGACAAGGACCCCCGAATCCCTTGCATCACCGACCAGTCGCCGAACTGTTGCCTACTGTGCGCCCATGATAAGAAGAAGTGTGGCTCTGTAAGTTTTCCCTCCTCTCCTTCTATCGTATTCTCCGAGTTGTCGCTGATGCTTCGCAGATTCCCCGCGAGCTTTGGGGTGCTGCCTAGGCCTCGTGGAACGACGTTCACAATCTTTGCGACGATATCATCGCCGACCCTTCTTCGTATACCCGCTGCTAGATCTGGCGCGCCAACCGTGCCGTTAAGGATGTGGCGTATGCTTGGCGGAAGGTCGCCGATCGCCTCCGTGACCCTATGTCGCAGAAGTCTAAGGATGCGCTCCAGTTGTCCCGCGTCCAGACGCAGGAGCTTGCCTCCAACCGAGAGCTGCTGTCCCTGCTCTGCCTCCAAGGTGTAAGTTTCGTCCTCCTTTCGCCTAAGTATCGGCTAATGTTCTGCGTATAGGCTGGAGCCCAGATGAACCTCTCCGAGATGACCAGTCGTATCGCTGCTGCCGCCCCCGTCTACATTCGTGACGATACTCCTGCCTAGCTGCTGCTTGAGGCGATCGATCGCCTAGATGGCGCCGAAAACAACCCGAGAACCGATGTCGAGGTTGAGGGTAGTGACCGTGACATTGTGGGTGGTCTCGGCGAGCTGTACGACGTCGCTGATTAGGCTGTCGATGATGGCAACCCCGGTCCTACTTGTCCTGTTTCCTTCGTTGGCCAGGGTCCTCGTCTCCGAGGCCCCGCCGACCCTTCGTCGACTCCTGGTGGCCGCAAGCGTGCTCGTCCTGCTGATGGTGGCGATAATGACGATGAGGCTCCCGATCCTTCGCCGAGCAGACCCCCCAAGAGGGCCCGCAAGACTCGCAGCCAAACTGCTCGTGGCGGAGGTCGTGGTGGTCGTGGTGGTGGTCGTGGTGGTGCCAACAACAACCCTTGAGAGCTTGCTGCGTTCTGTCGCCGACGTGTCGGCTCTTTGTGTTCCCTGGGTCTTCCGCCGTTGTGGCCTTGTCTTCTGACTTGGCCCTCATTTATGTTGTTCTGCGCCTGCATTGCGATGCCTCGGCGAGTGATCTCTTGTCTTCGTTGATGACCCGGCGTGGTCTTGTTTTACCTTGTTTTCGTGTTTGAGTTTTCTGTTTTGTATCTAGATTAATGGGACTTTTCTTGTCGCAGTGCTTTCGGCGTGCGTCTGGCTACGCCTCGTCCCATTTCTTGTGATCTTTCCTCGCGACTTTGAGGTATTTCCTTACTATCGCTTGTGCGTTTTCCAAATGTTCTTTTGGTTCCTAGGTATTGTATTCTACTGGCTAACCCTTCTACTTGATGAGGTAGAAAGTCTCGTCTCCCACGTCTTTATGTGAGACTACTTCTTCTACCTCCCACTCATTAGGCTCGTCCTCGAGCTCTGGCTGCTCTTGCGTGGTATCGCCGATAGCCCTGCGATTATTCCATGGCTCTATGAGTGATACATGGAACACGTTGTGTATACGCTGGTACTTCTCCGGTAGCTCCAAGGCGTAGGCCTGCTCGCCGTACTTGTCGAGGACCTTGGCTCTTATGAATCTCGGGGCCAGCTTGGGGTATTTGAATCTCCAGTTCTTCGTCGATACTCCAACGATCTGTCCCCGATGATAGGTCTGTGGCTTGTGCCTTGAGTCGTAGTGTTTTGCCTGGGATTCCGAAGCCTTCTCCCAGTGTACCCGTGCTTGGGTCCGTACGCGGCCTAGCATCGTTAAGCGTTCGGCGATGCCTTGCACGTTCGTCTCTATCTTTGTTGGGACGTATTCCATATATCTCGGGTGGTAGCTAAATAGCGCTTCTATTGGGGAGACCCCGATGGTTGAGTGTTTGCTGTTATTGTAGGCGAAGGCAGCGTCTAGGAGTTGTATCGCCTACCTTTCGGGCGAGTCTCTTGCATATGCTCTTAGATACTTCTCGAGTGTCTGATGGGTGCGTTCCGTCTGACCGTCCGTCTGCGGATGGTACGCGGTTGATAGTCGGCGACGGATCGCCCGTTCTTTCATGAGGTCTGCCCAGAATTTGCTGGTGATTAGCTTGTCTCGGTCGCTGACTATCCCTTCTGGTGTGCCGAACCGGCTTTCTACGTGCTCGTATAGGAGAGCTGCGAGCTCCGTGGCTCTTAGCTTCTTCGTCGTTGGTATGAATAGCGCGAACTTGGTTATCCTACACATAATAACGAGAATCGCGTCATAGTTGCCGCTGTTACTCTGAGTGCTCGGCGGAAGCCTAGTTATGAAATCGAGGCTAATCTCTTGGAATGGGTGTGACGGTAGTGGTAGGGACTGGAGTTTCCCGTAGGGTCTGTGCCTCGGAACTCTGATGCCTTGGCATGTCGGGCAGCTTTCGACGTACTCTCGGATATCTTCCGCGATGCCCTGCTAGTGAAACTTCCTCGAAATGAGGTCAAGTGTCTTTTGGGACCCTATGTGACCTGCTCTCGGGTCGTTATGGTGTCGGCGAAGGATCTCTGTCCTCATGGCTCCTTGGTCCGGGATGACTAGTCGTCCCTTGTAACGCAATAAGTCTTGGGAGTCTATTGTGTATCCCCTGCGTTCGCCGGCGGTTCCCCGAGCCTTTGCCGTGAAGTGTTGACATTGTTGGTCTTGGCTCTGTAGTTCCTTAACTAACGTCTCGAACTTCTTGGAAGGCTGGGAGAGAAGTGCCGTTTCGCCCTCCATGAGCTCTCTCATGACCGGGCGTGGGATATACTGCTCCGGAATAGTAACCCCAGCTGGAGTTAGGTCCCCGGAGGCTCGCCGAGAGTCCTCTACCTGCTCAGCAGTCCGTGGAGCGTCTGCTCTCTCTGTCTTCGCCCGTTGACGTCGAGTCATAACAGCGGATATCGTGTAGTGAGTGGTGCTCTTCGGCTCGTGCTCACAGGAGGGGGGGGGACCCCTCATCATAGCCCTTACTGCGCAGACGTATGTAGATGAAATACTCGTCTTGCCTTTAAGCGCGGCGATGCGTCGCTGAGTGGGCTCCGGCAGCTCGTATGTGAGCTCTAGCTTTTTGGCTAGTGTGGGTAGGATGTCTTCGTAGGAGATCTCTCCTTTTATGTAGTCTGGTCTCCTTGAGAGGCCATCCGCAGGGTTCTTCGTGCCCGGTCGATGTTTGATATCGAAATCGAATGCGGATAATCGGTATACCTAACGGGCGAGTCTGCCTCGCAGATCCTTTGCCGATGCTTCGACGATACCGGTGAGCGCCTGGTGATCCGTTAGGATGAGGAACTTCTCTGAAAGCCCTTGTAAGTAGTGTGCCTAATGTTTAAGGCTCTCGATAATTGCTAGTAGCTCTTGTTGGCCCGTGGCCCACCGTTGCTCTTGGTCTTGTAGCTTCCGCGACTAGTAAGCGATCGGTCGCCATTGGGTATTGACTAACTGCGTTAGGATGCTAGAAATGGCTCTCGCTGAGGCGTCTGTTTCTACCCTCGTTGGTAGTGATGGATCCCAATGTCGGAGAATCGTCGCGGAGCAGAAAGCGTGCTTGAGCTGTTGGAAGGCTTGTTCTGCCTCTGATGTCTATGTGAACTCGCCGCTCTTCTTTCTATTCTTGCTCCCCTTTAATAGGGACGTAATCGGGCTAATGATCGCCGAGTAGTGCGCGATGAATTTGCGATAAAAGTTACAAAACCCTAGGAATACCTGTATGTCCCTGAAGCTAGTTGGAGCCTCTCACTCAGAGATTGACTTGACCCTGATGGGGTCTATCTTGACTCCTTCCTGGGTAATAATATACCCAAGGAATTCAATACTTTGTTGGTAGAATTCATACTTAGATAGCTTGCCGTATAGCTGTGCTTCGGCGAGCCGTCGCAAGACCTCTCGTAGGTGCTTGGTATGTTCCTCTCTTGTCTGTGAGTAGATGAGGATGTCATCTATGTAGGATATGCAATATGTATCCAACATGTCGGCGAGTGATCGGTGAATGTACGCCTGGAATGTAGCCGGTGCGTTGGTGAGCCTAAATGGCATAACCGTGTATTGGAAGTGTCCGTATCTCGTGCGGAATGCTGTCTTCTATCGGTCTTCTTCCGCGACCCTTATGCGATGGTACGCATCACGGATATCGATCTTCGAGATCCATTTTGCTCCTGCGAGCCGGTCTAGGAGGTCTCTAATGAGGGGGAGTGGGTAACGGTTCTTAATCGTGACCTTATTCAACCCTCGATAGTCTACGCACAACCTCATTCCTCCGTCCTTCTTGGGAACGAAGAGGATTGGGGCACCCGCTTCGCTCACTGAATGTTCGATCCGACCATTCGCTAAGTTCTCGGCGAGGTATTCCCGAAGGGTGCCGTACTGGGCCTCATTCATGGGGTATAGCGGCCCATATGGTGGTTTGCTTCCTTCGATGAGATCGATCCTATGGGATGCCTCTGGCAAGAGCGGCATCCCCTTGGCCGCATCCTCGTCGAAAAACCCTTCTAAGCCTTCGAGTTCTGGAGGGAATTCGTTTTCGTCTTCCCTTCCGGTGTCCGATAGCTCGCCGAGCGTAGCCATGCTCCTTTCCTCTAGTGAGAGGGTAGCCGCAATGTGTAGCACATAGGCTGTTTTACGGTTCTCGACGATGTCTCGGAGAAGGGACTCGGGGTCTGTGAGCGCGATCTCTCGATAGTACCACGAGTCAACGGCACAGTTAATCACGATGCCTTCCTGGCCTATTGAACGGTAGGACAGGATCACGTCATGCCTCCCTGACCCAGTGTCAGACCCTGCGAATACTTGCCGTACCTTCCGCGGGTTCCCGCCGTTATTAATAAGGAAGAAGGTAAACTAGTAGGCGTTTCCTGGGTTCGTTTTATCCCCCCTAAAGGATTCTAGCCCTGGGGCAGCGTAGTCCGTTGCAGGTTTGAGCCTTAGCCTTCTGATAAGGTCTATACTGATTAGATCGATCTCAGACCCTGTATCGAGGAGTATATTTAGTTCTTCCTCGGCGAGCCCTCGGAGAGCTAGTCCTTTGGCTCGGGCGGTCTTCCCCGTGGGTACCTATTTGATAGGGGTTATGGATGGAGGGATGGGTTCTTCCTCCATCTATCCTAATTTTCCGAGTTATCTAACTCTTCTCCGGCGCGGGTATGGTTAACCTTCGCCGAAGGGCCGCCTCTTCTAAGAGGGGCTTGGTTTACACCAGTTGGTTTCTTTAGTGGGCAATCTGGTGCCTTGTGTCCTAGTTGGTTGCAATTATAGCATCTAATCGCCGCAGGTCTCTCACCGCCATACGGGCGACGCGTCGCCGATGCAGGTGTATTGGAACGGCTCTGGTTCCCTCGTGGGTGTTCTGACCCTGCTCTTGATGGAGGTCCCGAGGATGAGCTTCCCCTAGGGGTTCCCTTGTAGCCTCCTCGATGAGGGGAATGGTGTCTCTTCGCCGAAGGCTCGGAGACGTCTGGCTTATGCTTCCTCTTAGCCTCATTGCTAGCTTGGGACCAATTCTAGATACGTTCTGCCTCATTGGCAATGTCTCTGGCCCTATCTAAGGGCCACTTGATCCGCTTAAGCTCTCTCTTGACTCTTGGTGCCAAGTAGTAGAAGAAGTGGTGGGCTGCGCCCTTATCCTCTTCCCATTTCGTCGGCAATGTATCGCGGAGGGCACGCTATCGCGCGAAGTATTGCAAAGGGGTTTCTTCCTTCCCCTGCATAATGACCATGAGTTGGTCTCTTGCCTGCCGTTCTTGTAGTTCTGGATCAATGTGCTGCCTCCGCATAAATGTAAGATACTCTTCCCAGGAAGGAGGATCCATCGGCAAGCCTGCGGCGTGCGTTCTCTATTCCGTCTGGAGGGCATAGCTAAGCTTGGTCATAGACCATTCGATCCATTGTTGGGCCGTGGTATTAGGTCTCATCTGGTTGGCCGATTTAATAGCCTTGATCTAGTTATCGACCTCAACCGCACTAGCATGTTCAGCTAGGTGCTTGCAGTTATACGTCGGGGGCTTCTCGTAGTCTTTTCGGTGAGCTGGCGCCGGACGATCAACGAGTTGCATTAGTATCTGGTTCTGCTGTAGCAGTCTATCCAAGATTATCTGTTGTTGTTCTCGTTCGATTCGTCGGCGGCGTCGTCGCTCCCTTCTTCGTGACCTTCGCGACCTCCCTGAGGACGAGGAGCCTCCTGAGGATCCCGACGATGAACTCGCCCTTCTTCGGCGTCGTGTCGGCGGCGTGTGCTCTCTAATAGGCACTGCACGTAGCATAGGTGGCGCATGCTCCTCGAAGGGCATTGTAGCCGGGGTGTAGGCCCTTGGCTGTTGCTACTCGTCACCTAGTAGGTGAGTGATCTCTTTTGAGTGTCTCGAAGAGTGGCCTCCGTATTCTCGCGGAGTCGTCGGGAGGGTATCCGTGATAGGGGTTGTAAGCTGCTCCCTACTCTCTTGGATTAGCTGTTCGAGGTCTTCTACGTTCGTGTGACCTAGGACTCCTGGTCCTGCAGCTATGCCGACGGGTGGCGTAGCTGTTTGCCTCTCTTGCTGCAACCCCCTTGGATTGTCTTCGCCAGCCTGGCGCTGAGCCATCGGCTGCTGTATGGTAGGGGTATTCCTGTTGGACCCGTCTATCTTGATAACGTGCTGATCTTCCGTATAGGTAGAAGTTGAAGAATTGTAAAGGTGTGGGCCCGATAGGCACGATCAGGATGATATTAGAGATGAAAAGGTAGGTTCTATATATTGATGTGACTTTAACTTGCCGAAGCCTCTGCGAGCCTTCGATGAAAAAGAGTTTTACGTGGCCTATGGCCTACTTGTTATCCGAGGATTTCCCGACCTGCCGGCGATAGCCGGCATGACCCGAATACTCTTACAATATTGCTAGATTTCTTTCCGAAGTTAATGCCTTTGTTATTCTAGGCTATTTTTATAGTTAAGGTGATAGTAGTTATAGTAGTAGGTATTTAATTAATTAATTCCTAGTAAAATTAGCTTTTTGCTTTTAGATTCTCGGTCGTTATAGTATAGAATAGGTTAGTTGCCGAGGTTTCTTTAAAAGTCGTAAGGATAAGGATAAGGGCAATAAGAGCCTCGCTCTTTATAACTATCTAAATAAGAATTCTTATTACTAAGACTTCCTATTATCGCTTGGTTAGGAGTCCTTTAGGCACTTTAAGTAAGGCTAAATTACTGGTCTTATTAGGAGATATTGTTTTCTATGTCGATAATACGCTACTACTACGGTCTCCCTCTATATCTATAGTAGGCGGATACCTCTATCTCCTTATATTTGCCTCTAGTGAGGTATTCTAGGGATTTATCTTAGTCTTAACTCTTAAGGGGAATTTAATTAAATAATATCTCTAAACCCGGGATTAAGGGAGGGTAAGATATATTCGTGATTAGTTTCCCTTTTTGATTAATAGCTTCTTAGGGTCTCTCTAATTCCTACCCTCTTCCTATTCGTAATAGTTTTAATATTTCGTTCTCTTATAGCCTAGTAGTAGTAGTTATATTTATAGTTCATCGATTAGCAGTATAGAAGTGCACTCTCTTATCTGATTAAATAATATATATCCTTCTTAATATATGCTAATAATCTAGAAAGATAAGAGTACCGAAAATCCTATATGGGGGCACTAGATTTGTTGGAGAAATAGAATGCATTAAACCACATAGCTAGAGGAGGGGAATTTCCATGTGTTCTATTTAAGGTCTTTTCAAAAGAGAGATCTTATACACTTTCTCATAAGGCAAATTCAATATAAAATAGTAAGAGCAATTAATTAATTCATAGTAACAAAGATATAACCCACGAAGGAGCCCAAAAGTCCTCTGCTTAAGGCTCGCGAAAGTAATAATGAAGGTAAGGCTCTGTGACCTCTGCCTCCTTTTTCTACATATAAGAAATTGCTTGGCAGCCTAAAATGGCTTAGCACGCTTTTCCCCCAACTCAATGGGTAGACATGTGAACCTCCAAGAACATCAACCTGAGGATATCCTCCATACACTGTCTCTAGACAACACCTTCAACATATCTCTTCTCTCACATATGAAGAGGGGTTGGCATCCCGTGGCGTTGGCTACGGGTGACGGCCCGGTTAGTTTCCGACTGGAAGGTGTTTCACTTTACATCCAAGATCGTCCAATCGATCGGAGCTAATGACAAGAGAGCTCGCTGCAATGTCGATCACGGTCCCTTTATGGACAACAGTTCACCGCCGCAAGACAGCTGAGGTCAAACACGGGCGATCAATCGTTATTTTGGGCATGGTTTGTAGGGTTGTGATGAGACAAATTTGACATCTGCAAGATGAGATCAATCCAGAGAAGTGGTTTGGATAATGGTATTAAAGGGTATCATGCAGCAGACTCAGACAGCCAAGAGTGTTTGTTCGTTTTGCCCATCCTTCTCTCTCGCTTTCTGCACGTCTCAGTATCACCAAGATGCCTACCCAAAAATCGGTTGTGGGTTTTCTGCGAAAAATGATCTCGGCGTACGACCGTGAGGAGCAGGGCTATCCTCCTCCAGTAACCAACAACGGGAATGTCCCAACTGAAAGTCCAGGCATTAACAGATCCTTCTCTGTCGCCACTACCGACGTTGCAGCCCTTGTCCCCTCTGGCGATAAGCTTCTCCTATTCCGATCCCTTACGGGTATCGACACCGTCCCGGCACTGCGGACCAACGGTCACTCGGTCCGTTCCGCGCCAAACATTGGCATCTACACACGTGTTGTTCGCAACGAACGCAAAGCTTCCTTCCGACACAAGCTTTTTAGAATCCTTGTTAGCACCTGTCTTGCGGCTCAAATCATAGTCGCCGCCACACTTACTGCACTCGGAGCTGCCAATGGCTCCCACAAGGCAGTCACAGCGTTCGGGGCAATCAACACCATAATCGCAGGTCTCCTGACATACCTCAAAGGGTCAGGACTGCCCACAAAACTCAAAACCAGAAAGGATGAATGGAAAAAAGTCCGAGAGTACATTGAGCAGCGTGAACGAGAGTTCTGCCTGGCGGACTGTCCCCTCAACATCCAGGAGGAAATACAGATTGTCGAAAACATGTACCAGCGCGTCAGCACTTGGCTCGAGACGGGAAATAACCCCGAAATGCCACAGTACCCTCCCCCAGACATCGAGAGGCCAAGAAGCATCTTGTCCATGTCGCCGTCCAACAGGCGGTACTCTTTACGGCCGGATATGACGACACCTGCGCCAATCGCGGAGGAGAAGAGAGAGAGAGACCAGGATGATTAAAAGATTTCTTTAATTTTCTTTGATGTTCTTTTATGACTCATATTGTGTTTTGAACTTTACGATAAGATATATTGACTTGTCCCCGTTCAACATGACTGTGTCTCACAAGACCGTTATCTCACGCGCCCTGTTTTCTCTAAAAATTAGTTTAACACCAGTGAAAATTTAAAGAAACCAACATAAACGCAACTCTAAAACGATCCCTGCACCTAAAACTCAAACTTGATCACGTGTGAAGATGTAAAATCCTCCTCTTGGTCCTCAGTCTCTTATATGATATCATTTACATATCGCTTTGTCAACCCCCAGGGGCCGCCATTTAGTCGTAGAAACCCTGCATGATTCTTTGATGTCCCCCAGATCCTTGTTGTGTTCAATATATGTGCCAAGTTTCTGAGCGCGATAGACGATGGAATTGCTGGAGGTGCCCCCCCCCCCCCCCCTTTTGAGAATACCCTCGACTCTCTCGCTCAACACGGATCGATATGGGCATGTTCTATTTGGTTTCCTTTCATCTGAGGCTTAGAAATGGCCATTTCAAAGAAGTTATGTTGCTGCCTGGGAATCTTGAGTATTCTTCCCCTGATCTTCATAGAAACTGCGTACACAGGGGTTGGAACGACACTTCAGCGTTTGTTGGACCCTGAAAACAGCTCCCAACAACCTTAGAACGCCAAGATGAACTTTATTTCAACTTCAGAAGAAATCCTAAGAAATAAGATTCTCTTTGATCCTGAGTCCCAGGATTTGCTATATAATGGCTCTGCCTCCCCTTTAGACTCCTTCTCGATTCCCCTCTCTTCACACACACTTGAGTTCTCTGGACTTTACATATCGCCAGTTCTAGCTTTGCTTTCTTAGAACTTTTCATTCTCAGCCAATCTACAGCATTGCTCAGCCTTTCTATTCACAGAACTGATCGCCTTGTCACTCACACTTCGGCTCTGAAGCATCAATCACGCTTACTCTTGACGAAACTGCTTGTCTTGTTTACTTCAGCCTGCTACGATCAGCTCTTCTACGGCATTGATCAGCCTTTCTCTTAGCAGAACTGCTCATCTTATCCTTCTTAGCATCGTACACACTTCGGCTCCCGAGCATCACTCACCCTTCCTCTCGATAGAACTTCTCGCCCTGTTCTTCTTGATATAATTCATCCCTTGGCCCCTGAGGCATCAATCACGCTTAGCTTCCCCGGAATCGCTCGTCTTCACTCACTATAAGACTGATAAGGCCATTCTTCTATCGCGACTTTCACGATAAGCCATCGCCTACCCTTCTTCTTCCTCTTCCTCCTTCTTCTTCCTCCTCTTCTTTCTCTCCTTATATCTACACGCGATTCTTCCATCAATCCTAGGGTCGCCTCTATCGCCTTCATCGCTGCTCTTCTTCTATGTCGAGATACGATCCCTTCATCGCTGTTGGAATCCAGTCTGCGCCTTTCATCAACCGCAGTCATCAGCGGCGTCGTCAGAGACTTGTATCAAGGTTGGTTATCAGTTATCTCTTCGGAGACTTAACCTCACACCTCATTCAGCATCGCAACGGCAGCACGGTTGGCCTGAACAAAGCGCCGATTCCTCACCTTTAGAGGGCGCCTTTACCCCACGGCATCCGACCACCCCGCACTCCTCAGCATTGCTTTCGCAGATCGTTATGGACTTTTCGTGTATAGCATTGCGTAGACTCTGTGCGGAAGAATATCGACGATACCGCTTTCTGACCTCAGCATTTCGCAATTGTCCTGATCCCAGTTCGATATTTTTCGAGCTGGTAGATGAGCTCTGGTTCACTTCCAGTCGACATCGATTAGCTGCTTCCTACAACAGTACTCACAGACCATTGTCTCGATTACGAGACCCCGGCTATTGGTCATGTCACTTCTCACTCACAGGATGATCGCATCCGAATTGAACAACACACACACGACACAACAAACATCTCTGTCATCACTACCCGGTCTGCGTCGCCCAGACTACGAGGGGGACGAATTTGATGATTGTGCCTCTTACTACTCGCTTTCTGAGCTTTCAGAGACAGACCCTGTCCGTCGAGTACCAGCCGTAGAAGTGCGCCGACAAGCCCTTGCAGTTCCCCCGCGGCCCAAACAGGATTGTAAATATCCGGAACTGCTTCGAAATGACGAGGCAATGCCACTTCAAGTCCCTGGACCTTGGCTAGAGTATCCGTTGGTCGCAACGGACCGGTACATTTCCGGCATACCTGGTCCAGCGCGGGTAGTTATTAGTGCGGGTGATTATGCAGGATGTGATGTGATCTATCATCCGATCTGGAGCCGGACGAAGTTTAGGCACGCAAACTATCGTCCTCGTGGATACCAGCGTTTGTTTTCGGGTTATTTCGAGACCGAGTATCCCCACCCAATATGTCCGTCGATGACAACCAATGGGTATCCCATGCCCTGCCATTCTGGTTACGCGGGTGCCCAAGACTTTGAGTGGCAGTGCCAGGTGTTTGACCAAGCCCCGTGGCTGACGCCTGAAAGCCAGTGGGCGCAGCCTTACCACGGCATGCAACTACCACAGTACGAGGAAATTTACAACCCGTACATGGCACAACCATTATCCTACATTCAAGCTGCCTGAGTTTGGAAGTCGGGGGTGTTGAAATTTGACAACTGGTCCGAGTCTTGTCGGCAAGGGGTGGTTTGTTGGGAGGGGTGGTGATTTGAGAGGAGCGGATTTAACAAGATGGGGGTGACTTGACAAGGGGAGTGGATTGGCAGAAGTTGGCTCGGCAGAATTCGGTTTTGTAGAATAAAAGTCTTGTTTGGTTGGGATGAATGTATTTCATTACAGTATTGGCTCAAGTGAAGTACTACTGTCTGGATCGAGATTCTGTCCCCTCTGGTACCCTTGTAAAGCTGAGATTCTCAGGGGTAATTAGCCTCAACAATAACATAGCCTCTTTCAACTCTGCAGCTCTCAATCCCCGCCAGGCACATACCTCTTCATATCGCTCCGACATGGGTAGAGATGTCATCGTCTCAACATCCAATAATCCCATCTGAGACACATACTGCCCATTCAGGTCAAGCCCTGTTTCGGCCAAGCCCTGATCGTTCTAGACCGACATGGGCGGGCGCCAGATCGGAACCAGGACCCGACGGGCGCGTCAAAGTTTTTCCTGACCCCCCATCCTTGACTCCTCGCGTCGCTCCCTGTCGTTCTCCACACATCAACTCCACCATAACATGGAGGATAACAGCTCGCACACTGGTCAGTATCGCTCTGCCTGCGCTGAGTGCCATCGCAGGAAGCAGAAGGTACGTCGCATGCCCTGTCTCTGCGCGTTGCCGGAAGCTGCGCTGTCCTTGATCGCTTGATCAGGCTCTGGAGACGGCTTCTTACTCCCCACAGTGCAATCGCGAATGGCCCTGCAACCATTGCCAGAAGCGCAAAGTCGCCGACAAATGCCGCTTCGTCCAGCCTAACACGGCCAGCTCGCCGTCAGACAGCTTAACCTCGGGCAGCGACAAGAAGCGCTCTCGCAGTCGTGACGATGACGGCGAGCCTGAGCCTGATGAGCCTGCCGGTGGCGACGACGACGACCTTGGCCTCGAGGCCATGGGCTACGCTGCTGGACCCCTGTTTGAGTCTCTGACTATCGCCTCCAAGGCAAGTTTTTAACCCTCGTCAAGGAACGGAGGACTAATCCTTTGCCGAAGAAGAAACCGATGGGCGAATTGACGTGGGTTCACCCCGACACTTGTCCTCAGCTGAAGCACGCTCTTGATGTTCTCCCTTCTCGTCCCCAGATGGGTGAGTCGCCAATGATCCTCCGTGGATGACGCGGCGCTTGTAAACTGACACTCACTCAGATGCTCTTGTTCAGAGCTTCTTTAACAATGTCAACTACCATTACTACATCATCTACCCGCCCATCTTTCTGCAGGAGTATCAAAAGTGGTGGGAACGGAGAAACAGCAACCAAACTGTCTCACTCCAATGGACGATCCTCTTGGTCATGGTCTGCGCTTGTGCCACGCAGCACCTGGACGTCGAGATGAAACCCATTGTCGAGGTTGAGCTGGCTGAGGCTGCCGACACACTAACCAAGGAGTATCACAAAGCTGGCACAGACCTCGGTAGAGTGATTCCCGTTGGCCACTGTCATCTGCTCAACGTTCAGTGGATGCTTCACTCGATCTACTGGTACAAGAGCGAAGCGAGATTCGTCGAAGCCTGGCACGTCATTGGTGCAGCTGTTCGGGAGGCGCACGAGCTAGGTAAGCTGACATACCCCTGCTCTGACAAGTCACATCGATTAACATGACATGTCAAGGCCTCCATCGAGTTGCTGTTGCTGAGGGGTTAACCGAGTTTGAACGCGAGATGCGCCGTAGAGTGTGGTGTGTTCTGGACTGTTGGGACTGGTAAGTTGAAGCCTCACGGCCATCTTGAAGGATGCTGACGAAACAACAGGCAATTTGCTTCTGGTCTGGGTCGACCGACAATTATTGATCATACAGACATTGACGTTGAACCGCCAAGTCTCACCCTAGAAAACTTGTCACCATCACCACTGCTTCACATGAAGTTGCAATCAGAGTTGGTCACCCAGCTCGCGCAGCGCTGGACTGCACCCAAAAACATCAACACGGCAAGCGAGGTTCAAGAGTACAAGCGGATGCTCGAGGAATGGATTCATGCTTTCCCTGCAGTGTACGATGTCGATCAACCAGACACATCCAAGGACTACAAGCACACCTGGATCACCTTTCACCGGTTCTACATCCATACCATGGCATACCTCATGATCCTCAACCCTATGCGGTCCTTCATGGCACAAACGTACACCAAGTCGACCTCGAAGGATCTCTTGGAAGTTCGAGCGGATGCGGTTCACTACTCGCTTAAAAACCTTGACACGACTACTAGATGGGTTGATCATGTCTCGCACCGGGACGGCAGATTCCACTTCATCATCTTTTCGCTCTTTGACACGGCAGCCGTTCTTTCTACCGCCATTATTAAGGACCAGGACCACACCATCCCAAGACGAGACGAGATCATTGACGCTGTGGACAACTCAGTTAGACTCCTCAAGCACATCAAATCGATATCAACCACGGCAAAGACATCTCATGATATCCTTGTTAAAATGGTGCAGAGGATGCCACGACGGTCCGCACCCACGCGTGAAAATTACCGAAAGAAGCAGCGTATGGCTCCCGTGGCTGAACCATCGCCCCCTAGCCTCATGAGCAACGAGGGTATCAGCCATCCATCGCCCGGCAGCCACTCGCACTCTGGCGGTTATGAGTCACAGCAAAGCTCGCCAAGCAACTGGGCAAGCTCGGAAAGCGTGGGAGCTGGTTCAACTCCCCAAAGCAGCTACTCGTACCATGATCACAGCGACCAGCCCGGACTTGTTCAGACAGCTGGCCCTGCGCCCACTGAAGGCTATATGAGACCACCTCTTGTATATGATGGCGGTGTGATGCAGAATCAAATACCATCTCCGAGTGCTGGTATTGATGCCGTTATAGAAGGGGGTGGCATCCACGCAATGCCACCCTCAGACCCCAACATGGGCATGCTGCCTCCAACATCCAGTGGCATGGTACCCCAAGCGTCTTTTGCCGACTTCCATCCACCAATGTTGGAAATGAACTACGGACTTGAAAACATCACAGATGCTGAGCTCGGAGACTTTTCTCAATTATGGGACTGGCGAAGTCTAAACCTTGATTTCATTCACAGCACACAATAGTCATTCGTTTGGCGTACTCTTCTTCTCATCCTCCCTCTTTTCCTCTTCTTTTTACTGCACTTGGGTCTGGCTTGCATGGGTATAGACATGATGCATGTTTGCAATGATTTCCTTTCCCTCAAAGTATTTGGGTGTGGTCTTTTGATACTGGAGTGACTTTGATACCCGCCATTTTGGGCGTTGGGCATTGGAAATATGGTGTCTTTTGAATTTGTACTGTAATGAAGCCCAGTTGGAGAACCATCCTTCTCGGACGACGCCGTAGATAGGCGGGCGGAAACAGTGGTAGTCAAAATCTACAAGATTCGTAGCTCGGGGTACCCGCTGGTCTGGTTTTAAAAACGATGAATACGTGAAACATGGTTGATCAGTCAAGTGGCTGAGCTTAGTTTTACTATGAGTTGCCAAGCGTTTGCTCGTTCTCAAGCAATAATAATACGGCCCAAGGATTTGCCACCTGCATAGAAACCAGCATCCTCTTCCATTCCAAGAGCTCCAGATAGATGAGTAACGCGTATGTTGCGTGAGGCTCGGCATAATTACAGTGCTCGTCAACTATGCGCCAAATCCTTTTAACGGCTGTCATCACGGAAGAATAGGCGCCCGTTGATTATTACCTTTGTTCCATGCTTCCTGTCTGAGACAATTCCAAGCTTGACATCATAATCGCCTTGCGATCGACGAGTTTCAATCGGCTATGAGTGGATCTACAGTTTAATCCAGGGATGAACTCCTCAGGGTTCAACCCTGCAAAGAAGCAATCAAACTCTGCAGAGGCAAAACGTGCAATTCTGCCTCGCCAACCATGCCTTCTTTTTTTTTCGGTAGAGTTTAAAGGTGATGATCTACTTGATCTTCACCCATCAGCTCATGTCTTAAACTTTGACCTTCCAAAAGTGGCCAATGAGCAACCCACGTGTGGTCAAGGTCAGGGATTATTATCAGCTCGTTTCACCTGCAGCGTCAAGTAAAATGCGCATCGGGCCAGTCTATCGGAACATTGTATTTTCCCCCCTGGCGAGAGGAAAGGATCGACGGGTGTTTGGACGGGGTTCCACTTGACGATCAGCAGGGGTTGAGCATTCTTTGAGATTCAGCTGTGATCCTGTAATAGGCATTTCTGCAGGACATCGCCGAGAATGTCTTGGCTGTGGAAAATGAATCTGACGTAGTGTCTGGGGTAGAGGGTCAGGGGTCGTGTCAAGATCCAAGTATAAGAACCAAGGGGGCCACTCCTGTTGTTTGGCTTTATTGTCCAAGGCTTCACACATCTCACCAGTAACATCGACACTCTTCTTTAACGCTCTCATACACTACCGCCACCATGGTTCAGATTCCCTCTTCCTTTGTTCTCTTGTACTTCCTCAGCGTCTTGGTCGGCGTTCGAGGGGCTTGCATTGGCCCACCTGTGAACCAAGCTACCCTGAGCCTCGTCGAGGAATTTGAGGGTTTCCGTGCAGATGTTTGTAAGTCTCCATCATTTTTCACGAGTCAAGAGCTTCTCTAACCATTCACTCAGACATCGACGCCACCGGCAACCCTACTGTTGGCTATGGACATCTCTGCAAGCAGTCCGGCTGTTCCGAGATTCCCTACCCCATTCCCTTGTCTCAGGCCGACGGACAGAAGCTCCTGCAAGACGACATCAAGGTGGGTCGTGTACTACCGAACCAACTACTCTCGACAGACACTGACATTTCTTAGGTCGCTCAGCAGTGCATCACCCTCGACACCACCTCCGCGGTCGTCCTCAACGCGAACCAGTACGGAGCTCTGGTCAGCTGGGCCTTCAACGTTGGCTGCGGTGCCTCTGGAGATTCTACTCTCATCCGCCGCCTCAACAATGGAGAGGACGCCAACACCGTCGCCAGTGAGGAGCTGCCCAAGTGGAACAAGGGCAATGGTCAGCCTATTGCAGGTCTTACCCGGCGCCGGGCGGCTGAAGTTGAGCTTTTCAAGGCGCCTACCGATGTCGGCGCTCTACCTGTTGGATGTTAAATTTTGAAGCAAAGAAACTTGAAGATCTGTTCTTATTATAGTTGCAGGCTGGCCCTCGATGGGTTAACTGAGCCCGAAGATCAAAGCAAAGAAACGCCACAATGGGAATCAAAGTCTGTAAATAAAGCCAAGAGCTACCCAATACTGCCAATGAACAAGCTTGAGGTATGTGTTAGTGATCTTCGAGGCCTTCAACTTGTGATATGTCCGGTATTTACGTAACTCCCAGGCTCGTAAGAGCACGAACCTTAAGACACCAGTCTTCTTCTTTATCAACATCTTCGAGGCAGTTCTGATCCACATACAAGATTTGAAATTTAGACAGTGTTTCAAATGTACAGAAATGAAGATCAAATTTGGACACCTGGTTCCAGTTCGATGCCTTTATTCAAAGGGTATATACAGAGGATATGGTCGAGTACTTCGCTTCTTCGTGTGGCCAGTGCCGAGCCATTCCCAAAGCCCCTTTGAGCCTTTTTAACATGTGTAGAGGTGCATTAGTGAGCGAGTCCAGAGGACACTGTCCAGGTTCTCTGCTAGATACATGCTTGAATATTTGAAAAGATTTATTAAATAGTGTGTTGCATATGCTGTACGTCCTGCAGATGCAGGTAGACAAGAGGTGAATGCTGCTGTCGCCTTTTAAGCGACGTTTCCGCGGACCTGCTTAATGTTGGTGACCTTGATATCCCTCCAGAAAAAGACGCAGAACCATCCAAGAGACAAGATGCACACACTGGTGATGAGCATGTACTTCTGGGTGTCACCATATGCAAGGCCAATGCCATAGCGGATGGGAGTTCCCCATTTGTAAGCCAGCTGGCTGTAGATGCTGCCATAGATGTTCTCAACATCGGCACCCTCGGGAAGGCGAGCATATAGGCGATCCTTGAAGGTTCCGGTCCAGATGGCGGCGGAGACAGTAGAGCCGACGGCAGTACCGACGCTGCCGAATAGATCAAGAATAGCGATCATTACAGCAACATGCTGATGATCAGAGGGGGCCATCATGGCCATTTCGCCAGCAACCACGATGGGTCCACCAGCAAAGGCAACGAAGATCTGGGTCATGATAACGTAGCCGATATTTTGGTCAGGCTGACGGAAGTGGATCATAAGGCCAACACCGAGCAGCATAAGTGGGAGAGAGTAGTAGAGGTTAACCCACTTGAAGCGGCCAGTGACACGCATGAAGTAAGCCAGGATGATGGCGGTGAAGCAAGAGCCGACTCGGTAGATGTTGCTGATGTAGGTAGCCTTGGTGACGCCGGTGTTCCAGGTGATCATCAGCATAGAGGTGAAGTAGCTGCCCCAGATAGCCGAGTTCCAGAAGACAAAGGTAAACATAAGACCAGCGAAGAACACGGTTCGGTCCGAGAGGAGCTTGTAAGGGATAAAGGTGACTGGGGCAAAGAACTTCTCCCAGATGACAAACGTGATGAGAAGAAGACCACCGAAGATGATCATACAAATAATCATGGGCGACTTCCAGCCATCAGCCTGGCGGGAGTAAATAGACATGGGCAGGAGGAACAGAGCCATGCCACCGATAAGCATGATGATTCCGACCAAATCAACATCCCTGCACCAACTGTAGATGCCTTTGATGGAGACGTCGACCTTGTGAGGATGGTACAGTCCCATCTTCTTGGCCTTGTTCTGGTTGTAGAAGAAGATGATGGAGAGCGGAGTAACGACGATAGGAACGACGATGGCCCAGACACCAAGACCCCATCTCCACCCGATGCCGGCGATAATCGAGTCGGCCATGGGGCCACCAATCCAAGTAGTGACAATGTACGGGGAGGTGGCGAATGTGAGCATCAGGGGACGGTTAAGGAGAGACGAGGTATCAGAGATAAAGACGGTGATACAGTAGCTCACGCCCTGGGCGCTGTAGATGGCTGTCAGTTTCTGAAAGCGTCATGGGGAGATTAGTTGCATACCCAGTGAGGTAAAAGACTTGAGCGGCAGCATATGTTTCGACATTCTTGCAGCCGGCCATCATGATGAAGCCAACAGTCCAAAGAAGCATAGTGATAAGCAGAGTTTGGGGACGTCCCCAGGTATCCATCAACTTGGCAAAGACAATCTTGGCCAGACCGGAAAACAAACTAGAAATGATACCAACCACGGCAGTGAGCGAATGCGCTGCAAAGTCACTGACGACGAAGGGGTTAAGACTTCGGACGACAACCTCCTGGATAGACAGGATGAAGTAGATGAGCCAGATACTGGGCGAATTGTCAGTTGCTGTGTTCCAGCACGGGCATCCCCACCACTACTACAGATGCCCTAGATGTTGATACTCACTTGCCATATGCCAAGCACATATCCTTCTTGGTCCATACCGTGGTCATGGCTTCGATGTTTCGCACACCAGCTTGGTAGGTGCTGGTAACCTCGGGGAGCTCATGGTCGTCATCGTGAACTTTTCCCTCAACGCCCATCTCCTTGTTGTTGCTGTCGTCGGCGGGCTGGGGTGCCGGAGTCGGTCCCTCGGAGGCATCCTCGTCCGGCTTGCTCTTCTTGAAGGGATTGATACCCATGGTTGCTGGGACCCCGCGGAGGTCGACCTTGGCGGCTTTCTCGGGCGTTCTTGTCGATTGCTGAGTAGCTGTTTGTGACTTGACGGGCTGGTCGCGTTTGCACAACAGAGCAAACGGGTGTTGTGTGCGATCCAGATGAGACTTGTCGAGAGTAAAGACCAAAAAGAACCAGAAGAGCGATAATCAGATGGCCCGGCCGTGAGTCTCTTAATATAGGTAGTCAAGAGGGAAGACAGGGTTGAGTGCAGGGAGTGGGAGTGGCACTACTCTTTAGCAGACGGTAAGGCGTGCCAGGGTTGAGAAGAAGGTGGGTTAGCCAAGGGAAGGTACGAGAGAATTAGCGTACCTGCCCTTCTCCCATCTCAGCTGCTTGGAAAGCGGAAAGCGGAAACCGCACCTGCCTGCAAGGTTTAAGGTGTGGCATGGATCAGATGGATCAACTGGCAGGTCCGTTCGGTAAACCCACGCGCTGGGCTTGCCGCGGGCGTGGGCGTGGATCTCCAGGTCATCCCACGCGGCTGAACGTCTCTGCAGCTGCGAATCCTGGTTCATGAAGCGGCCATGAACGAACATGGAGCTTTTTTCGGAGCTTATCAGGCTATCGATGAAAAGTACTCAAGTCCAGTTGGGCGCACAGGTGTGTCGAGCTTGTACCAGAACGGACAGCCAAGATAATACCAAGCAACACTTGCTCCGTCCCTCACCGAGCCGAGGTACCCGGTACAGCGCCTCGTCTACGCACTCTGGGCCTGTCAAAGGTCCCGAGACATTCGAATCCATCCGTTTTGGCTCGGTCCAAAAATCTGCACATGGGGGCAGTCGATCTGGCCGGCCTCGGGTGACGGGGGTACTTTCCCAAAATGACCCCGCTGCGGTGGGCGCGCCTGGGCTCTCATGGGCAGGTGCTGAAGCAAACCACCAAGAGTCAACGGAGGGACGGTGGAAAAGTCGCGGCCAGGGCCTCAACACCCCAGCCGAACTTGCAGGGGCCCTGGATGGACTCAAGACCGAATAGGTGTGGTCGTGTGCGGTTAGGCTCAGCGGACACAGCGAATGCTTCGGACTTGGCAAACCAATGGCGCATCTTATCTGATGATCAGATAATTTTTTTTATCTGATCATGACTCCACCTCACCCAATCATTATGACGGCTGCCCCTGGCATCGCCTAACCTTTTTATTCTGTCCCAAGATTTGGTTTTCTAGTTCCGTCGTAGCCTGTCTTGTCTCCCATCGAGAAACCGTTCTTAGCCCGGACTCTCGGTTTGATCCCGGGGCCGTTATGCGCGAGATCTAATCAGGAAGCCAATTCATCTCAAGGGGAGCGATTTCGGCGCAGAGCCGGCTGTCATGCCATGCCCAGGACACCCTGGCTAGTGGCGTTGCTCCCCAGAAAAAAAGGTCCCCTCAAGGCCGTACCTTATTTGGTCGACATGGTTGTACTGGCTGTTGGTTCTGTCATTCTAGATGAGTGAATACGGCCTGCCCAAAACTGACGCTCGAGACACTCGCTTCTACCTAGGATACGCCGCTCCCGATCGAGCCAGGGCTGGTCAAAGCAACCCTGTCTGTGTTCTTTCCATACGCCCCATGCGTGTTCCAGCTGAAATGCCCATGGGCGCACTCCATTTTTGCTTGATGCACCTCCACGCTTTTTAGTCGCGATGCTCCGATGCCTGGTCAAAAGCCACAAATGGCACATGAGATTTTGAACCGGCAATCGCAAACAAACACACGATCTCATTATTTCATCCCACTCTCTGACGTGGGTTTGTCAAGTTTACCATGTACATGACCGGCTCTTTTCGCTCCCGTGGCTAAAGTTCCAGGGACCTGCGAGGAGCAACCATGTCACCGCACCCTGCATCCAAGGATATATCGACCTTTTTCACTCGGTTTTACTCGGATCTAAGTCAATACTGCCCATCTAAACACTATGTCACGAAATTGATCGTCGATTTCCCCACTAATACAAAACGTCGTCTCAATGATCGACGCTACACGAAGCAACACAGCTCAAGTATGCCTGTCGCCGCATTGCAACAAGAACAGACCGCTTCCACTATTGATGACTCGATACATCGTGTACTCGCACAAATCTGGTTCATCGTGAACTTTTGACGAAGCGTGAAGTGTTTCTGGTTGCCGATATTCCGAAAAGCGTGGGGAGGGCTGCTCCTTGCAGCATTATGGTCAACTCGTCAAGTTGCGATATCGCCTTCAGTCCGGGACTGGCATCACAAAGACCCCTACACATCGGAACCATCGGACCATGATCGCGCCAAAGCCGCCCTTAACGTTAGCACCATCGTCGGCTTTAACAAACGGGAGCTTGTGTGTGTGTGTGACTTGACATGGGCTCGAGAACCCCTGTAGGCTAGGACTGTTCAAGTTCACCGTTTCCCTTTCCAAGAGCTAAGCCTCTTAAGATCAGGTGTTCTGTTTGTAGAGGCATTTTACCATCAACTTCAAATGTAGGAAGCACTTGCCTTTAGTCTACTAGAATCAAGCAGCGCCAACAGTAGGAAGGCGGAGAGACTGACGTGTTGCGCAGGACACCTTTGAAATTCTTGGTTCTAACAAACAGCAACTGATACAACTACCCACGACTCGAGATTCCTTCATTATTGTGAGAGGCCTCAGGAGTCGGCCGAGCAGTAACCAACTCAGGCCAAGAATACCAAGCAGAACAACAACCCCACGATCCAAGACCAGGCTAAGCTAACTCCGAGATCAATTACGGGCCGTCTAATCGGATCATCGGATGAGTTAAACGCCAGTGCCTGTCACTGACCCTTGACTCTTGGATTACCTAGTAGGGACGATCGTTTCTTCTAGGTTCCGGTGACTCCTTGACACAGCCGCACATGTGAATGAACGTGACTCTTTGCCAATACCACTTGGCTTGCCTGAATGCGCCAAGATCTTGTTCAGACTTGGGCAGTTTTAAACAATTCGCGCTGTTGGCGTGGCCGCATGGTACGCAGGAAAATAGATATCTCGGAAAGCGCCTTGGGCTATAAGATCCGTTCACGATCCATCGTAATCGTTCATTTGCCTTGCCTGCTATAGAACACGTGAAAGAGCTCTGAATCTCACCCTGTGGGCCCCCTGCAGTTCAACTCGACCTGAGTGATCAGGGATATCGAAATGGTCACCCAGTGACATCCACCGGCGAAATCGCAACTTGACCCCCATATTCGGCCGGTGTGGCAATAAGCTTTCCGCACTTTAGCACTCGTTAGCCAGGGGTGCACCGGACCCTTGGCTCTTGGGGATTAGCCCGATGCTCCGCTCCGGGTCCGTTCCCTTGACAGAAAACCGCGCCATTAACCGGGGCTCGTTCTCAGCGGTAGCGGGAAAAGAAAAATTGAACGTGTTGGTTCTGCCCCTGCAGGATAGATCAATCAGATAAGATAAGTTCCATCGTGAGTTCTTTCCTCGTGACGGGCTTGCCAAGTCAGTAAACTCGTATGCCGAGATGGGGGAGGGATCTGGAGTGCTCTCGGGGGCCGGGCTGTCCGCTCTGTGCGGTTGCGGGATGGATGTTGGGAATGGGGACTCCACCTCGTTTGGAGAGTGATGGGATATGATGATCTTGGGAAGATGCCGAACGACCGAGTTGTTAGAAAATACGAAGCTTGAAAGAGCAAACGGTTTGACTACGAAATACTTGATACTCAGACTTACATTGTCGTATGGTCGGGTGCGTGGTTGAGACCAACGATGGACACATGGGAAATTGGTAATGCGCATGGCAGAAACACCAAAAACCATCTTACAAAGCATACAAGTTTACCGACGTCGGCGAACTCAAAGCCCCATAATCATATACGGCAGCTCGGCTAGATGAAGACCCAGGAGTGCCTGGATCCATCTTAAATATCCTGTCTACCTGCTCGCATCCATTCCAGCATTGACGGGATCCATCGGCGAGAAGATTTACCGAGTCTTGGCTATTGGAGGGTAATTCTGAGTAAACGGTCATCCTGCCAAAACTCGTCTTTTTCAAACCGCGACTCATATGCTGTGGTCATGTCCTGCTCAGCCAAAGACTACTCTTGTCAATGGGTTCACCGACACCATGCCATGAAGCACTGTGGGCCGTGACGGTGGAGGTTTGCTGCTCGAGTACCGAAACCCTTTGAACAATGACGATTTAGCATTGCTGACACAGTCAAGACGAAACGTGACCAAAACGAGGCGAAAAAACGAGGCGAGAGATGAGCGGTAACGGCGGTTATGCGACTCTGCTGCAAGCAAGTCCACGCTGCATCGGATTGACTGGCCAGCGACGCTTGAGCCTGTGGTTTGCAGTCGTGCCGTCCGTTCAAAAAGCTTCTTTCTCCAAGTGCGTGCATCTCGTTTCGTCATTAATGAGATGAAAAGACGGACCCTTCGGCGACAAGACCGAGTGCAACTGCAACTGCAAAAGTGCCGCAATGCAATCGGTGAGGTCTGCAGGTGGCATCATCCCTGCACCGCGTGTGGTGTTTTGGCGTGTCTGTCGTTGAGATTGCAGCACCACGTGGAGATTGGCCCAGGAGTTAATAAAGCTCCCTCAAGCTCCTGAAGTTCTAGATCCTCATCCATGGTCCTGGATCACCTCTAAAAGGGCGTGTAATGCATCGAATGCATCCTCGAATTTCTGCATCAAAAAGGGAAAAAAGACAGCCTTACAGAGGCAGATCCCCAGCGACAATGTTGATCCTTTCAAGGTCCCCATCAAATTCCCCTTCAATTCCACGCACCGCCGATTTCAACGGCTGCGATTGGACTCTGGTGGGCGCACGTGACGCAAAATGAAATTCCCGGCAGCCCAGGTGACCTCTTTTTTGGTCCCCACTCACCGCCCGGCCGAGTCCCGACTGGGCGATTGGATGGATCCAGGGAAATCCCATTGCCAAGTGCCAGTGAGAGCGACAGACTCCAGAGAAGCATTCGCTTCGGCTTCAGCCTCGTTCCTGTCACGGGGACATATCTCGTCATCCATTGTTTTTTGTGGCTTGGTTTTTTGTTCCCTCTCTGTCGAAAGTCTCCCAAGACGACTCGACTTGACTCAGTCGCCCTTGATACGACGCCTCCTTCGCTTCAATCGCTCCTCCCATGTCCGAAGACGACGGCGATGTTGTGCTCGGCCCCGACGGCCAAGCACCTACCCGAGTAGACCGAGATCGAAGAGCTCCGCGCTTTAGTTGGACTCCTGCCTACGAAGCTACCTTTTTCCGAAGCCTCTGCGAGAGTGTTCAGCTGGGCCTTCGCGAGAACTCTTCCTTCAAAGCTGAAGCTTGGGAGCGTGCCGCCCAGGCCCTGCAGGAGAGTCACGGCGCCTATCCAACAAAGAGCCACCTGATCAATAAAAGCGACAATGCTAGGAAGCGTTTTCGATTATGGAGAGGCCTTCGCGAGGATGCCGACTTCTTGTATAACCCAGTGACGAGAACAGTTACTGCCACCGAAGAGGCGTGGACCGCACACATCGAGGTAAACATTCCTTTGACGATATCGGACGAGGCTGCGATCACGCAAGTGCCGAGGCTTCACCGCTACGGTCAACCACACGAACAGCGATCCCAGGTGTAGGCGCGAGATCCCAGACAGCATTGCTAATTCGCACCAGAGGGAACCTCTGTCCAGGGCGCTCCGCGGCAGACCCTTTGATCACGAAGACTACATGGAGATCCTATACCCCGACGTTATCGGCTCGGGAGGTGCTCCTAAGCGAATCATGAAGCCTCGACGACGAACCGACGGTCCTATCGCTGAAGACCCTGAGATGCCTGGCACAGGGATTTTGAACCTCCAGAGCGAGCCCCCTCCCCGGCCTCCCGGCTTAGAGAGTCCCAATTCTCGGCCTGTTTTGACACAGACCCCGACCACCTCCTCGACGGGCTCGACCCAGCAACGGCCGACGTCTACTACAATCCCTCCTCGCGGCCCGCCGACCGTTAATGCCAGCGCGCTGACCCCGCCGGACGAGACCATGACCCAGAGCCGCAAGCGCCAGCTTCCCACGACGAGCACCCCCGCTACCTTTGATTCGCCCCCAGCTTCGAACATGCCCTTGGGTCAAGCTCCCGAATCGCCTGGCAAGCGGCGCCGGACTTCCTCTAACGATGGCTCCCGTGCGCTGACCTCTGCTGTGCTCAACTCGTCCATGCTACCTCTCGCGGTTCGGGACGGCCCCAGTGTCGCATCTCCTTCGCAGACCGAAAGCCAGCTCCCGTCGCATGCGCCTGCGATCGAGGAACTCGTGGAAGCAGTGCGTTCGCGAACTAGCCTGCGCTGGCAAGAGGAAGCTCTCGACGTCTTCTTCCGCGACTTTGCAGATGAAGACCTCGATTTGCAGGTCAAGATTTCCGAGAGTGTGCTCATCAACGAGTGCAAGGCCATGGTATTCTGCAAGATGCCGGGCCGTGTACGTCAGCACTGGGTGAGGAGGTTTAAGGAGTCGCTCTACAGACAGTGACTGTCGGCGGTGACCAGACGCATGCAAAGAGGAGGATGAAGTGATTGATATGGCCATGACGATTTCAGCAACAACGATAAAAAATCTCTCCTAACAAATCTAGCAAAACTAACAAAACGAAGGCGACGTTCAAAGATAAAATCTGAACTGAGCGCGGGGGATCCAAAGAGGTATTGGCTTGGCGCGTTTTTGGTCGTGTTGAAGATACCAAGGGTTATGGACATTGAAGCGGCATGGCGTTTGGCAGAAAAATTTCGCGACACTTGACATTTATACCGCATTTATTTGCTTGTTTATTTACGTTTTATATTTTGCATTTAGCGATAGCGAGGATTCAAAGGGCCGCTGGGAACTGGATAAGGGGGGGTTCAAGGAATGGGTGTTGTGTGTTGGATTATGTGGATTGGATGGAGCGTTGGGAGGAGTGATGTGCGTGCGTGATGCATGGAGGCTTGACCTGATACCTAATACATTTAATTCTCATCTCTGGCTTGAACAATAACTGTCCATGCCTGCGTTGCATTGGTACTTATGTTTCTTGGTCCCTCGACAATAGCGACCGGCGTTGATGGGCGGCCTAGGGTAAGAGCAACAATCTTGAAGCTGGTTCGTGTTGGCTCTCCCTGCTAAACCAACAACAACATCTAGCCTTCAGGTGATGAAACACTTTAGCTTAAAGTCCCTAAGGAGATCTCTCAATTTATAGGATAATGAGATGCATACTGTCACCCTGCTGTCACCTTGGCACGTGGCCGCCTCCTTGTTGCTGACCACACTGTTGATCTGACCCTCTCCACTTTGAATGCAATGCGCAAGACTCATGCAGCAATTTCCCAACCGCTGTTAATGTTCAGATTTAATAGAGGTATCGAAATCCCCTCTTTTCATAGTCAGTCAAGTCTCCAAATTGTTCATCCGCCCCTACAGAGACATTGATCCCCTCCTTTCGATCTCGCTGCCTGTTCTCAATGAAGCAACCCACTGCATACGCCATGATGCAGCAGATGGCAGCAACCTCGAATCCCAACAAAGTATTGTACCCTGTTGGGTAGTTGGGCGCTTCGTGGATGAAAAAGACTTGGGGGCCTATCATATTTGCAGCGCAATATGCAACGAAAATGCTGGCGTTGACCGTTAGCTTTTGGTGTGCCCGGATACGTTGCCCATCGGCAGCGAGATGGCTACCAAGAAGGTCAGCTTGGGAGCGATAATGTTTGTAATGGTATCTACCTGTCGCGTATGGACCCCAGAAGAAGTAAAAGAAGTAGTACGCCAGCAGTCGGCCGACCTTGTTCTCACGAGGTAGATCTAGAAGCTAGTTAGTACTCGAAACAACCATCATGCAAGCCCTGCACGCTCACGTTGCAGCAATGGACAGCAAACGACAGGGACTATGCAGCAAAGGCCCATTGCCAGGCATCTTTTATTCTTGAACCATAGCTGGGGAACCGCCACCATGAAACTTGACAGGGTCAGCGTCGCCCCTGTTGGTATACTGAGGAGCATGGTCTCGAGCGTGCTGAAGCCGAGACCAGATACGATCTGTGCTCCAAAGGCGACGACGCCGCCTGTTGGCACATGGATGCTAAGGACAAAGAGGACGAGGAGGTATGTCTTGTAATCGGTAAAGGCTTCGCGGACTTGATACCACTTTAGTTCCTGAAAGCAACGGTGGTTAGTTCAGACCCAGGCCGTTCTTGGGTACGCAGTCACCTTGTTCTCGATTCCAATCATGTTTTCTCGGACCCTGTCGAGAGCAATGTACTTGTCCTTTCCACTCAGAAAGTTGTCTTTTAATGGAGAATCAGGTAGCCAGATATAGAGCACCAGACCCCAGAGAAGCTGGAAGGCTCCCATTACCAAGAACAGGAGCTTCCAAGGGGCGATGGCAGTATGCAGGTTCCCAATTCCATACGAAACACCACCCGCGATCAACTTGTACTCGTTAGCGACATCCTAGGATGGAAAGGAGAGGGACCATTACACTCGCGAAGCCCGCAAGTGCCAAGGCCATTCGAAGCGGCTGCTCAGCCTTTTTGTACCACATGGTATTGATGATGGTGAAAGCCGGGTAAGAGGGAGCCTCCAAGACACCCAGGAGGAATCTGAGGACAAGGAGACCGGCCGCGTTCTCTGCTGCCCCGAGACACATTACGACGGCGCCCCAGCCAAAGACGGTAATTCCGACAGTCTTTCCGACGGGAAATTTTTGGAGTATGGCGTTGGCGGGATACTCGGCGACGAGCCATCCGAGGTAAAAGATTGAAATCACTGGTAAGATGGGTTAGTTAGTAGGAGTATCGAGGATGTGTAAGGACGACTCACCCCAGTTGTACTGTTGTCCGACGAGGTGAGTGTCTTCAATCATTCCATACAAGGCGGCGTTGGAGACGATGATTTTCTACAGTTTGATTGACAACTCTTCTTGATATATATAGTTCTCTGTATAGGTAGGCAGCTTACATCGACAGCACCAATGGTGTTTGTGACGACCATGAGCGGCATGATGCGCCAGTCAATCTTTTTGCGAACCTTTTTTGCTTCAAGATGGTCGTAGTCGGCCCATTCTGGGTGATCTCTGAGGTATTGTGTCGCGGGATCGATTTCATGTCTGGAGCTTTTGTCTTCGTCGACCGATGTTGTTGCTCCAAGGCTTGGAGAGTGTGAGTTGTGTCCTGCCTGGGATTTATCTTCAAACATGACTATTTAGTAAAAAGTAGCTGTAAAATTGACTAGTCGAGAGAATGATATAGCAAGAATGAACGTTTTCCCAACTTTGAAGCTGATGCGGATACTTCGTCTTTAATAAGGCATGTTGATACCCAAGGCAGCACCAAACAGTTGTGCACTCCCTGAGTAACCTTACATGTGACTTTCAATTCCAAGACTTGCCACGACACATTATCTCATTGTCTCATATCTGTGCGGCGGTCCGATTGTGGCGGTCTGTTGTCCGACAGGGACGGGACGATCACCATCCGGGGATTCCTCGTTGTGGGAGGACCAATCGGCAAACGGAATTTGACATCAATCTTTGCTTGCGGACTAGATTTCTCAGAAGTTGTCTTCTTGTCTGCTATTGCTGAATTTGCGTGTCCTTTTCTGTGAACTGCCTCGATCCTGATGGTATGCACTTCACTCCAATGTCCCCAACTTGGATTAGATGCTACTAAGCAAAAGAAAAAAAAAAGTGAAGAGTAGAATAGACGGTGGCTGATGAGGAGGGATTACCGACACTGCGTAGTCTATGTGATTCGCTTGGGAGGACAACATGTTGATCACAGGAAACCTCAAACCTATTGGTACCAGGATGCACAACGAGGTTCAACAGCTATGGGCCTGTTGAAGAGCACAGCAGGAAATAAAACTTGGAAAGATTTATAACTGATAGCTTACAGCAGGGAAAGAGTATCTGGATCCCAGTATTTAGCCTGTCATGATAAAGATTGAGGGGGTCACAGCTGATCGACATGGACATTATAAGACACAACTGAACTGCCGACATAGATATGAATGCTGACGGAAACTACCCCGCGATCGACAAATGTAAGATTGATTTTGCATATTGCCTCCTAGTGGCGGATCTACCCGGTTCTCACCCGCCCTTTGCGCAGGGTCCAAGGGGGGGAAGGATATCGACTGCAGGTATGCCTCTGCATTTTCGGAATGGGCTTTTGTTGCGACAGTGGAGAAACGGCATGGGATTTGAAAAGTCGTATCTTGGTTTGACGAGATAGCCTTGATATTGATTTGCGCTTTGCTTCAAGGGCACATGTCTTGTTGCGACCCCTTAAACATCTTGACAAGATAGGACACTCCCCATATCGAGGCGTACGTAAAGGACGTTGGTGCGTTGTCAACATGCTCACCTTCCAGGCGCCCATTTCCTAGAATTCTCACTAGCACCTCTTTGGAGCGAATTGGCAATTGTCCCTGCCATTGCGAAGGCCGAGGTGCGCTAGTTCTTAGATCTCGGGTTCGGGCTCTAGACTTGGAGGCCGACGGGTCCAAGAACGGGTAACTAGGTCATTTCAGCATCACTTCAGTCATGAAGGATGCGATAACAGGCAATGGACCAATTATGAGTAATAGCGCGCTGATCTACAATTGAGATCGGGGCTATTGTCTGCCTAACCCCGCGCATGTAGTCGGGTATAAGTCCCCTCGCAAGCCGGGTTGATTTTCGCTTTCATCTAGTTCTAGGACGAATTATTTTTATAACTCAAAAACTAAAACGATGCTGCAAGTTAACTGCTCTGGTACGCCTTATGAGGTAAGCATCCAGGGAAGAACCTTAACACAGCTTGGACGTTAACCGGCGGGCCTGTAGATCGGCCATCAACATGGCACCGCCGCAAAGGATAAAGCCGCAGGGTCTCTGGACTTTTACAAGTGGCTTTTCAAAACCACGTGTGATATGGACTGGCCTGCTGTTAGAATCGAGGCACAAAAGTACGTTGAGCCACTGCAGAAGCTATGCCCTCGCCATGTCGAAGAAATGCGCGGCGTCGCCGATGGCGCAGGAGTCGAGTTTATCGATATTATCGCTCTCAATGTCCGAACTGAAATCACCTTTGGTCTATTCACAGACAGCCCCAGCATACCTGTTCAGACCGATGGCTGCACCAGCCTCGCGTATCGACAACAGAACGGCAACATGCTCTTGGCACAGAACTGGGACTGGAGAGTCCAACAAACACCCAACCTTTTTGTCTGCCATATTACCCAGCCGGGCACAGACCTACCAGATATTTCATTTGTCACAGAAGGTGGTGTTATAGGCAAGATTGGATTCAACTCATCTGGTGTTGGAGTTTCTCTCAACGCTATCCGAGCTCGCGGCCTCGACACCACAAAGCTACCGATCCACCTTTCACTGAGAGCGGCCCTGGAGTCAAACTCTGCACGTGAGGCGGCGCAGAAGCTGCAAGAAACTGGAACAGCTGGAAGTGGTCACATCATGGTCTCAGATCCAAAGGAAGCGATAGGACTTGAATGCACGAGTGTGGGGATCAAGGAGATCGAACTGGACCAGGATGGGACCATCGTTCACGCGAACCATCTGATGCTCGACCACCCAGGGGTAGATGAGCGCCCACCGTATTTGGATTCTTTCGCTCGTGTCAAGCGTCTTTCTCAACTCGTCGCAGAAAAGGCAGCCTCGGAGACAATTGTATCTTCTTCACTATTCGAACTGTTCAAAGATGAACAAGGATTTCCGGGTTCTATCAATCGTTGTCAGGTTGGCGAGTCAGAGTCTCAGACTTTGTTCAACATTGTCATGGATCTTGCAGAACGGAAGGCTACGGTATACTTTGGGAGACCAACAAGCTGGACAGAGAGAGTTGAGCTGGCTAAATAGTTGATCACCAAAGCCATGTCAGAATTGACCTCGATTGGTCTCCTCCAGCTCTATAGCGAATGGGACTTTGATAGGGCCATCTTACATGTGTATCGTCACGGCCAATTTTCTTGGAAGATTAAACCCACCTTGATGGTCGAAGGAGCCTTGCCCCTGACAGACTGCGTTGTCAACGGTGGCTCGGGAACTTTTCGGCGTGTATCAATCTGGGTCCAATCCTTCCGGCGACATTTCAACCATCGCAGACATTTATAAGCCTTCAGCCGCAAGTATAAATATGATCACCCCAATAAACAAGCACGTTTAATCTACATCAAGCACTCAAAGGATAATCCTGTTTCTACATCATGTCGTCCATTACCGCCGACTCTAAGCTTACGCTCTTCCTTTGGCTGGAGGGGTTCTTCCCAAAGCAGATTGTCTACTTTCTCCTCCTCAAAGGCCTTGTCGACTCTCCCTCTCAACTCTACGTGGGCAAGACCAACGATCCTAGACTCAGCATCAAAGTTCTTTGTTTCAATGGTTCTGCCATTGTGGATGTCGACCCAAGCGACCCGAAGCCTGCCGGCAAGAGTACCCCTTGCTTGAGGATCACTGATCCTACTGGAAAGAATGAACTACGCTGGGTTCACGAGAGTTCCTCTATTCGTTTGCTTTTGGAGGAACTATACCCTGAGAAAACCCCCATGATCGGCCCCACGCCCCTCGAGAGAGCCCTCATGAACGACATCCACTCGACCATTCTACAATCGATCACGGACTCCAACTACTACATCAAGAATGCAGCGGCTGTCACGACGAGCTGGTCAGGTATGCGGGATGAAGACAGAAGCCTTGCGGTAGCCCGCCATGGAAAGGAGAACCATGTCCGGGCTCTTCTCAAGGCTCAAGAGTGGGCAGCCGAAAGTTTGGAAAAGGGTGGATGGCTGACTCCTGGCCTTGATCATCCTGGGTTGGTGGATGCTGCGCTTGCGGGTGGTGCGAGATATATGGAACTGAGTTATTCCTTTGATTTGTTTGAGGATGAGCGCTTGGGTTTGTTGAAGGAGTGGTATGCTAGGTTTAAGCAGGTTTCCTGGTGGTCTGAGCTAGAGGAGAGTGGCCGTCACCCAAAGGAGCTGTCATACCCAAGCAGCTGTCGAGAAGTCTAAAAAGGGGGCTGCTTCTTTCACACATTTCAACAATAGGTAGTTGTGCATAATAGGAACTTTCGGACTTATACTTGAACTTGAACTCAACATTGTCTAACCCTGTCTGGCCCGTCTTACAAAGCTCCGACACCAAAAGTTCTACCACATCTTTCCCTCCAATATGACTTCGTTAGTGATATGAACGGTATTCCAGCCGTCACCAACTGGTATTAAATTGTGTGTTTACAGGGAGTACCCGTTCTTCAGAGACATATCACACGGGTACTTAATCTGCATCCCATCCATCCCAGACCTGGTCGTCCAAATCCGCCTGATTTTCCGTCCACGTAACATTTTCAGTATGACTCCACTCCAATCCGCCCCAAAGCTCGAGTATCTGCCTTGTCTCTATTTTCATCCAACCCCAGTACCTCGACTCACCAAAGTCTTCGCCGCCTTCCAGTGGAGGGATATCCTCTCTCGGCTCCTCCTCGGCGTCGACTGCCTTGAGATGAAAGATGCTCTGGCTGACCTGAATGAGAATCTCTTCGTCGGAATAGAGAAAAACGTGGGGTTCTCGTGTAGGCATAGGCGGACCATCTATGCCATCGTTGTATATCTGAATGAGTCCACGTCGATCCACGCCTCTCAGTAAGGACGCGTCGGAGCGGGCATCGAGGCGCAAAAGGGACTTGAGCTTCTGTCCGGACTCATCATCACCCCACTTCAAGACCTCTTCCATTGTCTCCCCCTGGCAGTCATGAGTAACTTGTCCCAGTTCTCGTCGCTAGAAGGGCCATAGTAAGTGCGGTAAACTGTGAAGCCCAGTTCTTGGCATCGTTCAGATCTCCAGGCAGGGCTGGGCGTTTAGGGATTCCATCGAGCACACTAGAGAGTTTCGGCATTGCGCTTTACCGGCCTTTATGTTGATATGGCGGAAGGATTGCTGCGCGCTATGTCGAAGGTAAAAGATGAATAGTAGACAAGAAGCGAGGATTCGTATTGCCAAGCTACGCACAAGCATTTATAGCTTCATGGTTAATATTGCTTAGGACAATATTATGTAACTATCCAACGCGTAGAAGGCATTCAGGCCTGGTATCGGGACCCTGGAAGCTCGCTAAAAGACTCAAGAGCCAACAGACTCAATAACATGTTGGTTGTGTTCTCTATTATGATGCTTCCAGGGTCAAGCCAATGAGGAAGCTAGTTTCGATGGATGCTACAGCTATTGGAGCCTCGGATCATAATATACTAGCCATTTGACCTAAACCAGAGGCAGCGGTGTGGACGGTTATTGTGTCTTGAACGGTTAGTTGTGAGAGTCGTTGCTCTTCCCTATAACCAAGAGAGAGTATCGGGTACAGGAGCAGAGGATATATATATGTCGTACAGTAAAATAGAGCCAATTAGACCCCCTTATCGTCATGGGGGCCCCCTACCTTTTGGGTGGCCTAACGGCCTATTTTTCTGCATTACAAGATAGAAGTCGAATCTTCATTTACTATCAACCAAAGTGTGTAGGTATGCTTATTACAGAAGCCAAAGTATTGCTTGGGGTATCAGGGAATCCATGTCGCTCAAAGTCTATCCAATCAATATCCCTTCAATCATTCCTTTCGGCATAAGCCATAAGATCATCATCAAACCCCCACTCACCCCCCTCTGGCTTGGTACCATTCTTCAAGAAGCAGTTTGCGCCCAGCTTGCCTACCATCTCAGCCATCCGTCTATCAAAGACGACGCTCTTGCACTTGACCCCCGTCCCCCTATTTTCATCTCTATCGATCATGGCGGCACAGGCGTTTAGACAGTCTTCGAGAGTGTAAGCAATTATGGGTGCTACATCTTCCATGACGCCGCCGCCCTTGGCAGGGTCACCTGCTGGTACGTTTACGCCACAGTACCAGGAGAACTCATAGCCCTTGTTGGACTTGAAGACTGTTCTTTGTCGAAAGTCTGTGGGGCAGTTGAGTTCTAGTCGCTCCACGGCCGATGCTCGTCTTGGGACGTAGGGGTCTGTAATATTCTCCGAGGACGTGTTGTTGGGCTCGATGGACGGAGACGGACATGAAATGGTCTCGACTGGGGCCGCTTCGGAACACTCGGCGAATTCTGCATTGTTGCTTGGAAGAACCATCAATACGAGTTCATGGTAGCGTGCTCTTGAGCTTACCTAGAGCAATTTCCCAGCGCAGCAGCACATCCTCCACCAACTCCCGCACCAACAACGACAGCAGCCAAGACACCAATAAGGAGACCAAAAGTCCAGATTCCAAGACCAAACGGAACATGAATCTGTTTCCGCTGTGGACTCAACTCTGGCTCTGGTTCTGGTTGCTGGTACTCTGGCGGATTGTAGTACAGTTTGTGCTGGCCATAGAGGTGTGCTACCTCAGGGGCATTGGTCATGTCGACCTGAAGGCCTTCGCTATCAGAGTGCGACGGCATCTTGTCTTTGGGTGCAAAGTAAGAGATTGGGATGATGTCCGAGTCACCGTCGTCGGGCTTCTGTGCATCAAGGGCCATGTGAATTATGTTGCTCGGAATATCAGACCACGTAAAGACGAATGCGTAGTCAATGTGCTTTATTCTTAAATCCTCCCGGCTTTGACAACCCTATCTGGTTCTTGTAGGGCTTATAACCAATCATGGTATGCGAAAGCCACACTCATGTCCTCTTGTTGTCTCGTGTGGTGATATAAGCGCCCAGGTTCTCGGGACCGAAGGCTCGGGACCGAACTGGTGTGGCCAATGGTGGGTTGTCGCATAGTTGAAAGAGGTCAACCCCTGCATAGTCTGAAGCGCGATGGATGTTTCTTTATAGGTTGACGAAGTGATAATCGCCCTGCCAAGTTTCTTTCTCGCGTCTATTGTAACACTAGGTTACTTCAGCCCTGGAGGGTGGGCTCAAGGTGCAGGTGCTCCCGCCATTCTGGTTCACTCTCTGAGACTGACGCGAGGTTCTCAAGTTGTTTAAAGTATTCACCATTGATGCTTGTTTCATTTCAATCAGGATATGTTATCCCTCTATCTTTTATTCACCAGAGTACTTGAAGACCAGACAACTTTGCGGAATGCTGATCTTCGCAAGGATGGACGAACCCGTGGGGGCCAAACATCCATGTGAAACCCGATCCTACGGATACAATGGTCCTGAAAACGGTCGCCCGCATGCAACTCGGATCAAGCATATCCGATGCACTGGATCTTGATCCTGACCATCAGTATTTGCAGATGCGAGTCGGAAGGTTTCAGCTCCTGTTTCCGGTGCCCGTCGCCCCTTGCGGCATTCGCATTCTGGTATCAGTTAGAGACAAGCATGTCTCCAGCTTGGCCGGCCAAGCGTCAAAGCGTTAGTTTCATGAAACTCTCAAGGCTTTCGTCTGGTTTTCATCCAAGTTGAAGAATTTCTTTGCCGAGGGAGGCGCCATGACGGAAACTCACGAACCGGTATTCCATGGTCAGGTGAGACCGTCACGTAATCCTTGACGCGGAACTCGCCTCTATGGCGATACTGAGTCACGTTACTCTAGAGTGCATGATGATCAGACACATGCTTCACCAGAAGTGAATGCCTTGTCAGAGTTGATCATGTTGCTATGCATGTGCAGGTTCATAATTGCGGATAATCATGCACAAGACACGATCCAGGTGGTGGAGCCTTCATGCCTCAGGCATCCATATCCCAAATCATCCATGTAAAGTTCGACTCATCCAAGATCATGATTTTGATTGCCTATTTAGGAAATACCCCACTCGCCTTTGACTCAGTCATTCTTCGGCTGGAATGATGAGCCGCATGATAGTCCATCGATAAATAGCCTTCTATTTTCCCTTTGAATAGACTTGTTTTACATCAATCACTCGACAGTTCATTCTTCTACTATTTACTTCGAAACTATGCCACTAACAGCAACAACAACATTATCGTGCTCAACATGCCAGGTCTCATTTGAGACTGTGCAAGAGCAACGACAGCATGCAAAGAGCGAGTTACAGTCAGTATACTTGTGTCTCATTGAAACTGTTTATTCTAACCAACGGATTAGTGTCGAGAACTTGAGGCGAAAGGTGGCCGATCTGGGCATCAACACTTTACCCCCATCAGATACCTATCAACCCTCCAGCTCAATTCGTCGCTCGCAATCACCCAACGACAAGTCTTCAGAAAGCGACTCTGAGAGCGGCCGCGAAGTCGACCAAGATGACATGCCCGAGTTTGTGCCCGAAACTTGCATCTTTTGCTCCCACCGAGCCTCAGACGTCGACGGCAATCTCGCCCACATGAAGACCACACACAGCCTCACAATCCCTTTCCAGGACAACCTCGTCGTGGAACCCGCCACATTGATATGGTACCTCCACTTTGTCATCTTTGGATACCACGAGTGTACAGTGCTGGATAGACACGCGTGTTGTTTCATACAGTTTCATATGAAACTGAAACAGTCCCTGGACCCGGGTTCATATGAAACTGCAACTCTCCCAGTTTCATACGTTTCAGTCGGTTTCATATGTTTCATATACCCCTGATGAGTCCCAAATATCTTAGTACTTAACCAGGAAATTTTCCCAAACCAAATGCCTTCAACATAGCAAGAAGCTTGCCAACAGTAAATATGTCATCAGCTTCGCCCGCTCCCTTGTTATCGGAGCCTTCTGATGAGCTCTTGAGACCCGCTTCGCTTGACTCCCTCGTCCCCTCGAAGCGCGCTTTGGATAGCTCTCCCTCTGATCGGGCTGGCAAGCGCGCCAAAGGCCGTACAAACAAAAGCACTTGGGACGAGGCGCGTGACCCTTATGAAGAAAGAGGAGAGAAGGCTCGTGATACCTCATACCACGAAATTTGGTACTGCAAGCATTGCGACTCCACGAAAAAGCCTAATTCGGTAACGACGAACCTGAGCCGAGCCCGCAAGCACCTGCGGGACTTTCATGGCATCCGCGTTATAGAGCAGGCCGAAAAGTCGGATCTGAAAAAGCAGCAACATGGCACCATCACGGATTTGTTTGGAAGGCAGGAGGAGCGTCAAGCCAATCGAGATCTCAACGAGGAAAAATATTTGGCAAACGCTATTAATATTCCTGCATTCGAGGAAGCCCTCGCCAGGCTTCTTGCCGTTCGCAATATCGCCCACGCATTCATCGAGTACCCCGAGTTTCACGCTGTCATACTCTCCTGTAACTATATGGCCCGGGACGTCCTCCTACGCAGCCGCAGAGCGGTACCGAAGCTTCTCGAAAAGACTTTCGCTCAACACAAACAAGGCCTTGTCAACAAGCTTCATAATTCTCTCTCTTCTATGGTCCACTTCACCATTGACATGTGGACCTCATCGGAACAGAAAGCGGCATATCAGGCAATCGTGGCCCATTTTGTAGATGCGGAGACGAGAGAAGTCGCTCAAGCGTTATTGTCACTGCGCAAGTTCAAAGGAAGCCACAGTGGGAAATTGCAAGCCAAGGCTTTCCTAGAGGTTGTCAAAGAGTACGGCTTGAGCGGAAAGATTGGCTACTTCACGATGGATAATCACGATGCTAACGATACTATGCTTGACGATGTCGCAAAAGATATTGATGGTTTAGACCCGGTTGCCAGGCGACTACGCTGCAGTGGCCACATCATGAACCTCATCGTTCAAGCCTTCCTTTTTCGGAGTAAGGCAAAGAAGATCCAGGAGGATGAGCAAGAGGGCATTGATGAGGCGTATGAGCGACTGTGCAGACTATCCGAAAAAGAAGAAGGGGGCATTATTACGAAGGCGCAAGCTACCGAGGAATGGCGGGAGTTTAGTGTTCTGGGGAAGCTCCACAACTTGTGCATGTATTCAAGGAGCTCTACCAGCATTTACAACGACTTCAAGGCCAAGATTGGCAGGGCCTTGCCGAGGGACAACGACACACGTTGGAATTCATGGTATCGCCTTATTGATGTGGCAATTGAGAGGCGGGCAAAGTTCATGGACTGGATTCAAGAAAATCACGCCAAAATCGAGAAAGATGCACTGGACCACAACGACTGGAACGAGCTCCGAGATATCCATGCGTTTCTACAACCATTCCACCAGATCTCGGTACGCCAAGGCCGGGAGAATACACTCGATGAAGTTCTCTCCCATATGGATTTCCTCCATCATCACTTCACGCAGGTTAAAGACCAGGCTTTCAGTAACCCACGCTTCTACGCACGATTTCACGTGGCTTGGCTAAAGTTCGAGAAGTATTACCAGCTTACCGAACAAGCCCCCGTGTACGTGGCCGGTGTTCTCCTCCACCCAGCACTCCGAAAGAGCTATCTGAGTGAGCAGTGGAAGAGGAACCCAGCGTGGGTTAGCAATGCCGTGAAATCTGTAAGAAAGATTTGGTCGACAGAGTACAAGAGCTACCAGCTCCCAGATAAACAACAGGAGAAAGGGCAAGAACTCGATGAGTTTGATCGCTGGAGGCAGAAGGTGTACAGCACAGCGAGCGAAGTGAAGGATGAATTCGACCGCTTTATTTATGTAAGTAATTTTGAAGCCATCTAATGGCCAGGTTTTGACGATAGTTCGCAGGGTTCACAAGTTGGGATTGGACAACAAACGGCCTTACAGTGGTGGCTTGAACCGACCCAACGAGAGAATTTCCCGCTCCTCTGCCGTATGGCTATTGACATATTCTGCATTCCTCCGATGTCTACGGAAGCAGAGCGAATTTTCTCGGGCGCAAGACGGCAAGTTACATGGGATAGAAGTAGCATGTCTGCCAAAATGGTAGAGGCATGTGAGTGCATTAAAAGCTGGATAAGTGTTCCAAAGGGGAAAAGCAGGCCGGTTCTTGCAGGGGTGTTTAGGAGAGCGGAGGATATCGACGCAGCTGTAAGGATTCTCCAAGAAGATATAGAGATGGGCAGGGGGGAAGAAAGCGATTGTGAGGCTAGGGAATTGGTAGTATAGGCAGGCAGACAATGGCAAACATCTTTGGGGCGCCTAGTGGTAACTTGTATTCTTGTAAGGTGTAGGTATACCGGCTTCGAGCTTGCCAAAACGGGGAAAAAAAAAAAAAGAAATTCGATGTTGGTTGATATGAAACTGAAACCGGTTTCATATGAAACTGAAACTATACTGGCGTCCGGTTTCATGAAACTGAAACTCACCCCAGTTTCAGTTTCATAGCGTGTCTATCCAGCACTGCGAGTGTATCCTCTGCGGGACGAGGAGACGCACTGTTGAGGGTGTGCAGCAGCACATGCTTGACAAGGGACATTGTCGGTTTGAAATGTCGGATGAGATGATGGAGTTTTATGACGTCGAAGGTCTCAACAGCCATAGCACCCAAGACCTTGTTCGACCAGATGAGGATAGCATCCGATTACCCTCTGGCAAGATTCTCTCGCATCGATCCCAAACTGCTTCATCAAGCAGACCACGGATTACAAACCAGTCAACATCTACCGAAGAACCAGCTGCTATCCCTGGCGCACCTCCTTCAGATGCCCTCACAAATCGAGGACGCAAGGAAACAGCCATGGCAACACAGCTCTCTCGTCTAAGCGTCAGCGACCAGCAGAGCTTGATACATCTTTCAGCCCCTCAGCAGCGCAGTTTACTTGCGCAGAGGAAAAAGGAACTCGAGACTGCACGACGGTCAGAAAGGAGGATGCGGATTCGGATGGACAGACACAGCAACAAGGCTACAGTCGAACATGGTCGTCCCTGGCAATCGTACCTCTCTATTTGAATGAATTGTTTTCATTTTGTAGCTTGGTCGGCGTGCCTTTGGAAAAGCAGTTTGATTTGTGGCCTTTGATTTTTATAGACTAATAGGTTAATACTATTGCTCTTAAAGGTCGCCCCTTTTCTCTACACGCCATTTCTCCTTAAAGATATGCATCGACGGCTAACAACGAGCGAGAGCATTAATATCAAGATTTCTTGCCATTCTCTTTAAACCCAGTAGCCAGCAAGAGCCAACAATGAACTTTCATTACCTAGGCTCGGCAACTCCGTTGTTGTCTGATTAACCTACAGTGGGTCTCAAAAAGTAACGACACATTTTCCCATACCCCGCTTTCACTTCTACCTCCACCAAAATCATCACCAACTTCAATCATTCATCACGCAGTCAATTTACATCCAAATGGCCCCAAAAAGACATCATTCTCCTCATACGCGAACGAGGATTATTTGGAGATACAATTCGGGCGTGTCGGCCGCCCAGATCGCGCGGGAAGAGGGCGTCTCTCGACATGCAATTTACGGTATAGTACGAAGATATCGCGACCAAGAGAGTGCCGCGGACCAACCCAAGTCCGGCCGGCCGCGCATCATTAGAGAGAGGGAAAGAAAGAGAATTTTAAGGGTTATTGCCCAAGATCCTCATCTTCAGATACATAAATTAATTAAAGAAGCTAGGTTAAGCTACTATAGGGCGACTTTAATCTCATACCTACGAAAAGAAGGAATCATACATTATAAGTCTCTTCTTCGACCTTTCCTTAGTAAAGCCAACGCCAGAAAGCGTCTACGCTTTGCACGGCGGTATATTCATATAGCTAAGGACTTTTGGGAGAAATAGACCTTCTCTAATAAGGTTATCATCGCTCGAGGAGAGGGCCAGAGGCGTACGTAGGTCTTCTATAAACCGGTATATATTCTTCTCATAACTACGACTTTTCTAACTATTTCTAGCACGAGAGACTCTTCAGACAGAATGTTCAGACACGCGTACGACCGACAAGGCACTCACAGATATTCTTCAGCGCTTTCAATCATCGCAGGCGCCTCCCGATAGTCCCCCTGGCCAGCGATCCAAAAAGCCCTCGCGGCGGAGTAACTACGCAGATTATCCTCGCATACTTACAGCGATACCTTCCCCGGATTATAACAAGGAATAATTACTTCCAACATAACAACGCCAGCACATTTACAGCCCACATCATACGAGACTAGATCTATAAGTAGTGTGAGAGTCAAAGGGCCGAGGTGGTAAACTGGCCGCCTTATAGCCCGGATCTCAACCCCATAGAAAACCTATAGGCAATCCTCAAAGAGAGGATTTGCAAGCGATATCCAGAGCTCACATATATGCCCAAGACCGACGAAGCAAAGCAGGCTCTTATTGCAGCTGCGATCGAGCTATGGGAAGAGATTAAGCCGGAAGTCATTAATAACCTAGTCAACTTAATAAAGCGAAGAATGCAGGCTATTGTGCGCGCCCACGGCTAGTATACTAAGTATTAGATACACCAAAAGATACAGCTCTCAATTATCTATAGATTAATATAGAATACGATGCAACTGGCCCTCATTTGGCTGCGCAATAAGGCGCTGAAGATGTAGTCTCATTTGGTGGTGGTACTAATACAGCGGGGAAACCCGGAATGTGTCGTTACTTTTTGAGACCCACTGTACATCGTTGCTGCGAGACTGAGCCGCAGTGGAGTTTGCTCCAGCCGAATCTTCAGGGGTCCCGAAAACAGCATCATTTTGCGCACCGATCCACAAGCCTTACAAAAGGGCGAGAAACACTCTTAAGCGATGCCAAGAAGCGTAGCCTGATTGGGTAGGCAGTTCAAAAAGTCCGGCGTATCCTGGCGTATTCAGGCGTATTCAACCCCAGGCGTGTTCCAGGCAACCTTTTAAAACAAACCTGCCCCCCTCGCCTCATTGTTTCGTTTACTACACGCCACAAATGATGCTCGCTTAGGCTTCCAGTATTTGCCATAAGCGCGAGCTTGCATTTATAATATGCCAAGAATATCGCCGCCCGGATCTCAAGGCATCCATTTTTGAACCTCAGCTACGGTAACATGATACAGGCATTTTTTTTCGCTGCCTACTCGTCTTGTGGATCCTCAACGCGTAAATCGTAACCACGCAATCCATTTCTAATCTTAAACATTGGCAGGCCATCACCAGCCTCCTGCGATGAGGTATGTGATAAAAGAGAGGCTCTTCAGGTTGTAGGGAAGATGCGAGGCCATAGTGTTGGCAAAATCAATCACTACTTTCTAAGCTCGACATCACCCCTGAGGAAACTGCCAACATCATCATGAGCCGCAGCAGTCAGCGAGAACTGATGTCTTCTGGAAGTCAAAACACTCATCAAGAACCCGAGATGCCTCAAGATGTGCCCGAGGTTCAACCTCCCCCCGACAAACCCAAGGCTGGTCGTGGATGGCGTTTCTGGGCTGTCTTCATTTCACTTTCTATTTCAGCATTTCTGAGCGCTCTCGAGGGCGCTGTTGTCTCGACAGCTTTACCTTCCATCTCGCGCGCTGTGAATGCAGGAGAAGACTACATTTGGATGGTCAATGTATTTTTTCTCACCAGGTAAGAACTCTTCTGGGCGAACTGGCCACTTCCCCTGAATCTAAGCTCACACATATTAGTGCGGCCGTGCAGCCCCTTTACAGCCAACTGGCCGATATCTGGGGTCGACGATGGCCCATGATCACAGCCCTAGGAATCTTCGCCCTGGGCAGTGGTATCTGCGGAGGAGCAACCTCAGCAAGCATGCTGATTGGCGGTCGAACCATCCAGGGGCTTGGGGCCGCGGGCATCAACGTCCTGGTCGAGATCATCATCTGCGACCTTCTTCCACTGCGAGAACGCGGACAGTTCATGGGGTTGATGTTTTTCTTCATCGTCCTTGGATCTGTGGCTGGTCCTTTCCTAGGTGGCATCTTGGTCGATCGAGCATCGTGGAGATGGGTCTTTTACATCAACCTCCCATTCTGCGGGCTCTGCTTGATGCTGTTGTTCCTGTTCCTCAACGTGCAACGACCGAAAAATAACGAGTCCACCAAAGAAAGTCTCAAAAAGATTGATTTCATCGGACTTTTCATCCTCTGCGGGTCAATCTCCTCGTTACTCTACGCCTTGACGTATGGAGGAACGCGATACGAGTGGTCAGCTCCCGCCATCATCGTCAGCTTCATCATCGGGATAATCGGCATCGTCGCCTTCTTCTTCTACCAAGTCTCGCCTCTCTGCAAGCATCCCGCTATGCCCAAAGCCCTGTTCGGAAATAGAACCTCGGTGGCAGCCTTCCTAGCGACATTTATGCAACTCATGCTCTCGTATGCTCCTCTCTATTTCCTTCCTGTCTACTTTCAGGCGGTGAAGCGTTCAACCCCTTCCCGCTCTGGAGTACAGATCATCCCGTTCTCTGTCACCTTTTGCGTCAGCGGCTTGATTGGTGGAATCGTGGTCAGCAAGCTTGGTCGCTTCAAGGCCGTTCACATCGCCAGCTTTGCCCTTCAGATAATCTCTGTTGGAACATTCACCCTCCTCGATCGCAACTCAAGCATGGCGGTTTGGGTCATTCTTCAACTTATCTTCGGATGGTCAATCGGCATGCCAAACCCTTCCCTCTTGACAGCCATTCAGGCCGACATTCCCGACAGCCTCAATGCCGCCAGCACAGGCGCCTTTGCCTTTGTTAGAAGCGTTGCCACCATCTTTGCCGTGAGCGTACCTGCTGCTGTTTTTGGAAACCGCTTCGATCAACTCCTTGCAACCACCGAGGCGGTAAACGACCCCGAGCTTCAAGCAGGGCTGGAGCGAGGTCAAGCATACGAGAAAGCATCGAAAGCCTTTATCAACTCTTTCCCAAGAGAGATTCAAGATGCCATTATTACTCTGTACGAGGAAAGCTTGAAGAGGGTCTGGTACGTCTCACTAGCCTTTGCTGGCGCTGGCTTTCTGTTTGTTCTGTTGGAGAAGAACTTGGTCACGCGAGAGGATAAGGACACCTCCGAGTTCGAACTTCTAGATAACCCAAATACTGCCGACGGAAACGGAGCCAAGGACACTCTCACCAAGACCGTCTAGAGCTTAACAGACAACTACCGCAGTTGGTCAATCAGGGATTGGCAAACAAACAAGACGACCTTGGACAAGAGCACAAGTCAAAGACATCATTCCATTTACCTTCGGGAAAAAGAAACAATTACCAGCTGGTTCTGGTGTACAATGCTTCATTTTATTACCGCTCTGTTATTATTCACATGCGTTAAGGATAGCCTTCCTGCTATTGTACTTTTACTTATAGACGGTCATAGGTAGACCTTGGAAAACTTCGATTCTTAGTCCAATTCGGCTTCACCATGCTATAATAGTGAATAATGTGTTTCGTACCATCTTGTTGGATGGTTTCTGAGATAATTCCAAAGCCCGCGCTCATTAGAACTTGTGCCTTCATAGAGGTACAGTTTAGTGCCACTGAAGAAGCACTTGTATAATAACATCATTATGCGCGAAAGTCCTGTTTGAAGTAGTCAAGTCTGTGTTTGGCAAAGTGAAAAGTTGCAAAAATGCTGCGAGATTACAAAACCCAAGGAATGAACCGCGCCGTTCTTTGATGCCATTGCTCCCATTCTTGGCCAAACGTGGCCTGAAGCATCCTTTCTTCCTCTTTCACCCTTGTCCAGATGCCAAACATAATCACTGACAGTCCAGCAGGAACTAACCCCCACATCAAACGACTCACGACACTATATCATGACCTTGGGATCCAGCAACTAAGGATACCATCTGTCCTCCCCAGCAACAACACGTTGCACACGGCTAGAACTGCGATTCCAGTGTAGCCCGGATGCTGCAGATAATGGTAGATTCCAGTTGTCTTTAGTTGATCCGGCTCGGTCAGGGCAAACGTGAAATTGTGACCCAGCGAAGCATAAGATGCGATGCGTAGAGGGATTCCAGCACAGAGGATGAGGGCCAGCGGTATCGAGGTTGCTTTTGACCACGTTATGAGATCCGTATCAAGTCCGTTGAAAATGTATGGGAGGATGGTCTCTGGTCGCGACTTGTGATACAATAATACCAAACTTGAGGTATGCAACCCCAACACAGCTAACGGGGCCAGGATGACCTTGGTGCTGTGCTTTTCTGTAAGACGCAGCCATCGCATCGAGTCGCCGGTTGAGGGTGCCGACTTTGTGACGGGTTTGGCCTGCAGGGGAGGAGAGAGGGCCATATAGGTTCCTGACAGAGAAAGGCACATGGTTGACGCCAGGGCGAATTGGGGGAGTGCAATTGGAAACGCCATATTCTCAAGCGTGTAGTTATCGCCTCTTGTAGTTGGTCCTTGTGGGCAAAAGTTGCATCGGGGAGGAGGAGGAACAGCCGGTCAGAGATGGAGTTGGGTTGTGGGTAGAGTTTGATTAGTGTCTCGATTCTTCACGTGACGTTGCAGTTCCCAGGGTTATCCCTCAATGTCTTGAATTCAGCTTGGCAAAGAAAGGCCAAGAGGCGGCAATAAAAAGTCCAGCTGGCACCTTGGTTTTGAAGGGCTGCATCTCAGACGTTGTCAAGAAGGCATAGTAAAAGTCTTGGCAAGTTGGTCAGATAGACATGGACATGCCCCTATGATCCCCTACACTGACCTAAGGTGCGATTTCCGTATTTGTGGAGCCTCTTTCCTACCTTATCAGGATACTTCTCTCGATTAGCTCACTATAATGATCTCACTGCTTAGCGCTGGAGATCTATTAAAGGTCTATTAAGCATCAAGTGGTAAGAGGTAGTGGGAGAAAAGCCGGTACTTGATTTATAGTGCTGAGAAAGTGGCTAAGAGTGTATCCTTTTTCTCGCCTCTTATGCTTGGTCATCATCCCTGTCGATGCCCGAATTGCACCTTGGGACAGCTGACTAGATAGGTGTCAATTCCACGGGTCAATTAACGTTAGTGCGTTACTGTACAAAGAACCTGGAATGCGCCAAGGCCGGAGGTCATGGGGCAATGGCCGCTGTGGCAACTTTCTTGAGAAGTTGATTGCGCGGACGGGGAGATCCAGGCTCTAAACAAGGAAAGAATCGAATGAGTCATGTTGTGAGATGCAGGGAACCTTTCAGACACACGTGTGCACTTTTTAGTGCGGCAACTTTTAAGCTGTTGCTAGTTGTCACTGATAACCAAGCGACATTAGCATGGGCCATTTTGTCTCACTTCTACCGAGAGACCTGGCCTCGAATAATGCTATATATTAAATACGGAGTAACTTGACCTGAGTTACCAGTAATGATCAAGTTATTAAAAGCCACCAGATCGGTCATGCAAGACTTGAATGCAAGCCCAGTTTCATCCATCACATGCTTTGGCTGCCTCCGTCCAACAAAGCCAAGGCTTTATCCACAACTTCAAAAACTCCCGAACCCAGCGGAGTGGTCCGAACCATCCATCGATTCCCTTTCCCCGTCACGCCCCTGGCGATCAGAAAGACCGTTTCCCGCCAATGACACATGGCGGTACCACCATGTACCAAAAACGAAACAGCAATCGCTCGTTAAAATACGCCATGCTGACGGGGGGACCTAGGCAAGCCCCGCCAAGGGTAGGCCGTGGGTGGCGACTGTTGCAGAATCGCCCGGTCTAGACCACGACGCGTCTCCAGAACAAAAGCAATCCCAGGGATCTCTCTTTTTTTTCCGTTGGGAGAGAGAGAGAGGGGGGCAAAATTGGAAATCCGATGCTGCATATCGTATGCTATTCTTGAGGGATTGAGAGCTTCTTTGTCCTGCCTCGAGGGCTGCTGTCGTAGCCGTCATCTCTACCTTGTCGTCTACCCATGTCACTCACAGCTTTGCGCTGCGAGGGTCTGAGTCGGTACAATGGCTGTGGTCGAGGGAGCAAGGGTCCCTAAGAGAACGCCCGTTTGCGAGGCCACTCGAGAGAGGGAGACCTTTAGGTGACACGGTCTTCTCCCCATTCACTTTCCTGCCTGCATGGCTAACCAAGCTTCTAGATACGACGACGCTTTATTCTCCAACGTCAAGTTCAACGACGATGGAGCTCCCATCCCGAGCTCTGAGCTCGTCACCTGCCCTGATGCTATCTTGACTGCTCTGGCTCGACTCGCCGCCAGCCAGACTGGCACGGCGCGGTCTCTTATCTCCCTGTTTGACCAGTCCTACCAATATATCGTTGCAGAAGCTACACCAACCATCTCTCTAATCCCCAGCTTATCCGAGAGTGCCCGCAATTATGAAACTCTCTGGTTATGCGGCACTGCAATCCCCCGTGTCCATGGTGTCTGCGAGCATACCCTCTGTGGCGACGAGTTCGGGTACTTCCTCGAGGGCAACACTGACGACGAGCTGCCCATCCTCGTGGTAGAGGACCTCGTCTCCGATCCACGCTTCGCCTCCAAGCCCTACTGCCAACCTGGCAGCCAAGCTAGGTTCTACGCCGCCGTGCCCATCCGCACAGATAGGGGTGTCAACATCGGCGTCCTCTGTGTCATGGACACGAGTCCTGGAGCTGCATGGAACGACCAACACTCACGGCTTCTTCAAGAACTGTCAAGGGCAGTCATGGGACACCTTGAAGCCACGAGTCTCCGAAAACCCCAGAGGCGGACCGAACGCATGAGCAGGGGCTTGCGAGATTTTGTCGAGAACAACTCGGCCTTTTCCGGGGAGCAGCCTGCAAGTACTCCGGACACGATCAAATCCCCTGGTCCCGTGGGGGAGCAACGGCCTATGGACTTGGGAAGTGCTGTGGAAGCAACAACTTTACAGGATACGCCTTCATCGAGTACTGAATTGCCCACGACTGTGACCAGTACATCACACACCACTAACCAGTCAGGTTCGAGGACGTCGCCAGTGAAGCAGGAGACGACACAGTACTCAAAACGATCTCTCAACACCACAAACGAGGTCTTTTCTAAAGCTGCAGACATCGTTCAGAGTGCCCTGGAGGCCGACGGATGCCTCTTCCTTAACGCTGACCTACTCGAGTTCTCGACCTCTCCTTCAGACCTAGCAGACGAGGATCTAGCAACTCGCCGACCGTCGACCTTTAGCTACAGCGGAAGCGAGAGCGCCCACACTGTCGTATCTTCCGAAGAACGCCCAATGTCTCCCTGTCAAATCCTCGGCACGTCGAACGTCAAGCCTCCAACACCAGACGACGCTGTCGAGGCCACACACGTACCGCTACCTCAAACTCTTCTCGCGCGCATGATTCAACGGTACCCAAAGGGTCATGTCTTTAACTTTGGAACCAACGGTGAGCTCCAACCAGATGATCTACCCGAAAACTCCAAGCAAGACTCCCCCCTCTCTCCATTCATCGGCCATGAGTCTGAGGCAGCTGTGATGCCCAAGTGGCAGCCCTTTGCAGCGAGCCAAGGGGAGAAACCACGATTACAGCCGAAAGAGGCCAGTGTTCTTCTCGAAACATTCCCAAACGCCCGTAGCGTCGCTTTCGTACCTATCTGGGACCCGCGAAAGGAGCGCTGGTCTGCCGGCGGCTTCCTCCACACGCTTGCGCCGAACCGTACCTTTACTCTCGGCCTCGACCTTACTTATCTCCGCGCCCTCGGCGTCTTGGCCGCATCCGAAGCATTTAGGATTGAAACCATGGCGTCGGACAAGGCCAAGTCTGATGCCCTGGGTTCACTCTCCCACGAGCTACGATCGCCTCTGCATGGCGCTGTCTTGAGCGTCGAGCTTTTGAACGACACTTGTCTTAGCATTCCGCAGCAAAACATAGTCCACACCATCGAGACTTGCTGCCGGACACTGTCCGACACTATCGACCACCTCCTCGAATACTCCAAAGTCAACAGCCTCGCCTCCCATGAAGACCCGCAGGGCACCAAGACCGAGGGACAGGGCCTTAACAGAGCTTCCTCATTCATGACCGCCATGAAGCCGCTCCGCAAGACAGTTCACCTAGACATCCTTGTCGAAGAGGTCATGGAGAGCGTATACGCGGGCTTCAACTTCCAGCACCTCTCCATCGCACAACTATCGAGACACCCCCCGAAGCGAGGCAGCCACCACGACATTGCTTCAATCCGCCGGCTCGATTCCATGCAGGCCATGGAAGAACTCGGCTCTTCAGCAACAACAGGGAATCCTCGAACGAGCTTTGGAGACGTCGCCGTGTTTCTGGCAGTCGATCCATCCTGCTCCTGGGCGTTCGACACGCATCCCGGCCCAATGCGTCGCATCGTCATGAACCTCTTTGGCAACTCGCTCAAGTACACCCACCGAGGCGTTATCAAAGTCTCACTCCAGCAAACAAGCATCCTGTCTCCCTCGAGCAAAGAGCGCTGGGTAACTCTCACGGTTGCCGACACAGGAGTGGGCATCGGGGAGGACTTTCTCCAGAACAGCATCTTCAAGCCGTTTGCGCAGGAAAACTACCTCTCGTCGGGCACGGGCGTCGGGTTGAGCTTTGTCAAGCAGATGACGACGCAGCTTGGCGGTCACATCTCTGTGAGCAGCCGGATAGGGGTTGGGACTACAGTGACCGTCTCGCTGCCCATGTCGCTGGAGGATTCTCGCCCTAGACCTGCCACTCCATCAGCAGAGGGCGGGGAGGAATTCAATAGTCAGCTGCGCAAACTTCGTGGTCTGCGCGTCAGAATGCTCGACTCTAGCAAACACGAGGTCACTGGGGATGGCTCCCCCTCAACCACGATGGAGACTCCAGATGTGCTGGTGCAAAACATATGTCGTGACTGGATGCACATGGAGGTAAACTCTGAGCTGGAGTCGAAGCAGTTGGTTCCAGATCTTATAATTTGGTCCGAGGATAGTCTTGAGCAACCAGTTTCTGCACAAGAGCTGCTGTCGGATGTCCCTGGCGTTGTTCTTTGCGCCAATGCTCAGACTGCGTATCAGTACGCCACAGGTACCAAGGCCACTCCCCGTCATGGGATATTTGAGTTCATCTCTCAACCGTAAGTTGCTCGTTGTACTTGTTTGTTTAGAATATCAACTAATATCTCTCTAGCCTTGGTCCCCGCAAGCTTGCAAGAGCCTTTTCTCTTGCCCTTCATCGATGGACAATCGCTCAAACAGGCGCAATGTCACCTACTACTACAACACAAACGACGACAGAACCCGAACTAAACAGGAGGGATAGTCTTCTAGCCCCTTTCGCTAGCCCCGGGACACCGTTCCCTCTCAGCTCCGAGGAGACGCCAAGTCCATCCCGGGATTACTTTACGGCGCCGGAATTCCTCCTTGTCGACGACAACGTCATCAATCTCAAAATTCTAACATCCTACATGAAGAAACTCAAGCAGCCTTATCAGACCGCGATAAACGGTCAAGAAGCCCTTTCGGCCTATGAAATGGATTCCGGACGCTACGTCTGCATTCTAATGGACATTTCAATGCCCATCATGGACGGCTTTGAAGCCACGCGGAGGATCAGAGCTTTCGAACAACGGCACGGTCTGAGACCTGCCCTTATACTGGCCCTAACAGGATTAGCTTCTGAAGAAGCACAACGGGAGGCGGTGGTGAGCGGTGTGGACTTGTTCCTGACGAAGCCGGTGAGACTCAAGGAACTTGGTCCGATATTGAGATCGAGAGGTGTGATAGCGGAAGAAAAATGAACCTGGTCCACCGTGATCTTTCTTTAACTTTGGCGTTTTGATCATGGACGCCTCGACTATGATGATATACGACGGAACGAGACTCATGGATAGTGTATAATAAATGAATCACATTCAACTGACGAAGCAAGGCTTGTTCTTGATCTCGACAGAATGTGTTGAAGAAAAAGTGCAATAAGATATCTCTTTCTAAGGACTCACATATCGCATTTAAAATAGCCATGAGAGGAAACTTGTCACACGCTCTCGAGTATATAAATACCATCTTAATACTCCATAACCCCATCATCACGATCCTGAAACTATTCAACGTACAGCCACGAACCATATTCACACTCACTTTTCCTCATTAACCATGATACAATCCAAACCACAAAAGCACCAGAAAGGCTAAGAGTTGGAGAATATTCAATCATCCTCCCATAAAACAACTCAATTGACTGAACCTGGTAAACACCTCAAACAGCGGCCCCATCGTTATCGAGCGTGTTTCCCGCGGCGAATCAAACACTTTACCGCGGTGAGTTAGTAATCGGCCCTACATCTAGACACCGCCAGCGTAAATACTTGACCCGTGGACTCCTCATCTTGAGGAACGCGACAATTCACGCATTCAATTATTCTTGTTCTTTATTTGTAGAACGTCAAGTTCCGAGCACGGAGGGCTTCTCTGTTCAAGCTGCGGCATATACAACCTCAACCCCCCTCCTTGGTCAACCCCACGTCCATAACAACCATCCTCCTCCTCCAACATACACAAACCTCAATCACGACTTCAATCATGGATCACTCACTCGAAAACTACAAATCTTACATCGGAAAGCCCATTTCTGAGCTCCCCACGCCATCCCTCGTCATCAATCTCCCCGTCCTCAAGCAAAATGTCGACACTCTACACCGCGACGTCGAGAAGCTCGGTATCGGCTTCAGACCTCATGTAAAAACGCTCAAGGTACGTTTCACAAGCAATTGATCGCTCCAGAAAGCTTACCGTTTCTGTAGTCCCTCGAGGTGACGAGGATGATGCTCGCGGGCGGCAAATACAGGGGTATCGTCGCCTCCACCATTCCCGAGATCAAGGGTGCCCTGCCCCTGGTGAAAGAGGGCATCCTGGACGAGGTAAGGATTCCCCGCAAAGTAGCAAGATTGAGGAGAAGCTGAGTGAGGACGCAGTGTCTGTACGGTCTTCCCGTCTACCCTAGCATTCTGCCAAGACTGGTTGAGCTCCGAAAATCGCTACGCATCCTCCTCATGGTGGACAATGAGCAGCAAATAGCGCTTCTTGAGCAGTCAGACTCGAGCAAGCAGCCCTGGGACATCTTTGTCAAGCTAGATGTCGGCTCGCACCGAGCGGGGGTGGAGACCAACAGCCAAGCCCTCAATAATCTGGTAGAGCGCGCTGAACAGTCATCGGCAGTTAGCATCTACGGATTTTACTGTCACGCCGGACACTCGTACGCGGGCAGGTCGCGAAACGAAGCTGAGGAGACCCTCAACGTTGAAGTATCCAGCGTGCTTTCAGCAGCCAAACTCCTCCCCTCAGACCGCAACATCGTCATCTCGGTGGGCAGCACACCAACAGCACACGTAGTGGAGAGCCTCAAAGCTTCAATGCCAGCCAACATCAAGCTCGAACTCCATGCAGGAAACTTCCCCAGCAACGACCTCCAGCAAGTATCAACGGGACTTGTAACCGAAGCCCAGCAAGCCGTCTCGGTGGCGGCCGAGGTGTGCAGCGTATACCCAGAGAGGAACGAGGCGCTCGTCAACGCGGGCGTGATTGCGCTGTCGCGCGAGGCGAGCGCCTTCACCGGATTCGGCCGCGTGGTGGGCAAGCAGGCGTGGGGCGTGGTGCGACTCTCGCAGGAACACGGCATCTTGGGCACCAGCGAGGACGGACGAAGGGTCGAGGACGACTTTGAGGTTGGGCAGCGGGTCGAATTGTGGTGCAATCACGCATGCATCACTGCGGCGGCGTTTTACGTGTATTATGTCGCTGATGAAGAAGGGATTGTTAGAGAGGCATGGATTCCTTGGAAGGGATGGTAAGAGATAGACACAGTCAATATGAGTCAGCACTCAATTGCTCAAAACCCGAGGTTAACAAAGACACAATTGGATTAAACCTCATCATGGCCATGGATTATCCAATTGCGTCTTTTAATTCGTCCCTTTTTCTTGTTCCTGGACTCCAATTGCGACTAAAAATCCTGCTTTGCCTATCTTCTCTTCCTCTCCAGACCAAGAGTGGGTCTCGAGCCGCATACGTCATCGCCTACCGCGGTAGCTTCAAAAGTGCGGGCGGTTCGTGATCAGCGTCACATGCGGCGCCATCTTCTCCTCCATCCATCCATCTTTCTTCCTCTCACCACTTTCTCGGCTTCATCTTCTGTCGGTCGAATCTGCTTCATTCCATAGTCTTTTGAGACAATACCACTCTCAGTAATCACCCTCAACACCTCTCCTCACATCACACAAGTCATCAGTAAGTTCCGACGTCATAGTTACATCCTCTCGGCCGAGAACAGTCACTAACTTCCCCTCCAGTGTCTTACGCCGACGTTGCTGCCAGCGGACCCAAGCAGTCCCCCCAGGACGTGAGTTTTACTTCAAAACCCTCAAATTTATAATCTCCAGCTAACCCCTCCAAGGCTGCTGCTCCTCAGCCTCCTGAGATCATCTCCACTGAGTCCGCCTCCACCGCTTCCCTCATCGACGTTGACCTGCCGTCTGTGCACACCGTCAACTCCGAGTTCCTCGACCAGCCCGTCAAGACCGAGACCCAAGCGGCTCGCATCGAGAGAGAAGAGGAGGCTCGTGAGGAGAAGCGAAAGCGTGACGCCGCTGCCGCCAAGGCCCGTAAAACCGACAACTGGCTGATCCAACAATTTTCTCGTCTTTCCGACGGCAGCGCTACTGGTCTTGTTATTGCCAACTTTGCTACCGTTGTCGGCCTGAGTGCGTACCTGGGCTACAAGGGTTGGGGTCTGTACGAGAAGGGCAAGCTCGACTGGAAGGCCGTCGGTATTGGTGCCGGTATCCTCGCCAGCGTGAGCGCGGCCGAGGGTGTTCTTGGACGGTATCTGTACAAGGGCAAGAAGGGTGGTTCCTAGAGGGGTCCCAATGAAAACGACATAATAAAGCGAAGCGAGGAGTATATGAACCTCCTAGGTAGCCAGGGGACAAGGCTACTGTGCCTGGTGACGCGCATCTATTTCCCTGCCGAGGGGTGGAGCGAGGATGCGTGAATGTCCCAGTTTCTTGTTGCATTGTTTGGCACTGTTTGATAGTCTCTTGATACCGGCTTATTACCCATCTCAATCAATACACGCACAGGCACAATAATTGTATCAACTACCACACGTGTGAAAACGAACCTCGACGAACTCCGACTTGTACCCAAACATTGTCACTTCGCCAATAGAGAATGTGAGATGTGATCACGTCTATTACATATTCATGGCGTTTCTGTTCCGTCCTCTTCATGATACAGCGTTGGTACAGAGATGAGCGTCTATCCGCCCATGCCAAGATCCCAGATATCTTACAAAACGTACATCGCCAACACCCCACTCCATAATCTTTTTTACACCCTTTTTTTTACTTCTTCTGCTCAGCCTTCTTTCGTGCAGCCTCTTGCTCGAGAATCTTAATCTCTGCATTCGCAGCAGTTGCGTCGTGGGATTGCAGAGGCTCCGACTCCAAAGTCCTCCTGGACACTTCAACCTTGGGCTCTTCTTGCTTCTTCTCCACCTCGGGTTTCTTTTCTACGGGAACAGTCTCAGGCTGGGCCTTTGGTGACTCCTTCTGAGCCTCTTGGGGAGGAGGGGTTTGTGTGGATTGGGCGATGGGCTCGGCAGAAGTCTTTTGGGCATCGGGGGCGGGCTGCTCGTCGCCAAAGTCGGGGGTAGGAGCACCGTCTTCGTCGTCGGCTAGCTCAGCGCCGTAAATCTCGGGGTACTTCTTGAAGCACTCTTGCATGCCCCTATCAAATCATTAGCATACCTCAAGGTATATCCAATTAGCACTTGACATACTGGAACTTGTCGATGCAGTCCATTCCCTTGGGCTCCTCAGTTGAGAAGACGAAGCAGCTAAAGGCAGTCTTGAACTCCTCGCCGCAAGGTCCGTGAGCCATTCCACCCAGGCAAGGGCAGTCCCAGTTGATCTCTCCAGTCTCGGGGTTAAAGGCGCCCTGCTGGCCGGCCTCCTCCTCCAATGCAGCGGGTGATCCATCGGCGGCTGCTGTGCTCTGGGCACCGGTCTCGGGCTCGGGGGCCTTGTCGGGGCTCTGCTTCTTAATATGTTTCCGCTTCTCCTCGAGAACGGAGTCGACTGTGGGAAGATCATCGTCGGAAAAGGCAGCGGGTGCGGCAATCTTTTGTGCTGGCGCAAGGTCAGTCGCATGCCCTTGTACCAAACCAAACCATTGATACTCACAAACAGCCTCCTCAGCAAAGACCGGGCTGGTGTTGTAGTAGTACACGGCCGCAGCAGCCAGACCCAATCGCGCAACAGAGCTCTTCCATGTCCGGGACTTGTCGGCAGGAGCAGCAGTCGAAGCGAATCGTCTCGGAGCGGCGCGGAGTGTGCTTGAGCGCAGACTAGCAATTACAGGCCTCGAGGCCGATCGCAAGGTTGTACGATACATGGTGATAATATGTCTATAGGATGTGAAGAAGAATAGAAAAGAAAGGCGCAAAGCTCGAAATTCAAGACACGGAGGTGGAATTGGTCAGCACCCGGTGGAGCAATTCGAATTGATGGATGATGCTTGGAAATGTTCGCCGAGATTCCGGCTGAGGGAAAAAAAAATGTTGCCGTGATTTAGCCGCCGAGATTCTCCGATAAGATGTGATATCACAACAGCTGTTGAAGGTGATCATGAGGTTGCTTGTGAATGAATTGCACCATAATTTAGAGATATACATTTACCAAATGCTTTCTATTTAATAATAATCACTTCTTAGTAGCTCTTTTACTTTCCAACACCAACAATTACACCATCCCTCCCCGCTTCACCCTAGCTCTGCCTTTCACCCGTCTAGATCTTATCAGCCATCAAATACTCCCCCACATCTAAGCTTGGATGGCGTCCACTCATTTCTGATCATTTCCTCATTGCAACGCCTCAAGACAAAATAAAGGGAGCTTTTGGGGTAACCCGTGGCTTGATTTTTCTTGGCTGGAACCAGGTCGTTTGTGCCATCAAAGCTTAATTAGCACAAAAGTCAAGTCAGCTGCCCGTTGAGAAGCCAAAGAACAAGCTTGTCGCACAGGAAACGAGGGGAAGGGCCCTTCTGTTTGTCTCGCATTCACCCATCTTCTCCCTCTCATCACATTCACCAGCAGACGCAAAAAGCAAATACAGTCACGTTTTAGTGCCGACGAGTCGCTCATCAACGGGCATCATCAGACCACCTCGCTCTCACACCTCACGCCTCACACCATGGCATCTCAGACGTTCGAATGGCGGCCTGCGAAGCTGCTGCAGGATTACAACAGTCCTCAAGACTTTGCTCTACTCATCTTGAACCAGCCTTTGAAGAATGGAGTTAACCTGCGCAAGCTCTGGAAGAACTGTACGTAGCTTTATTCATCGCTCATCATGCGCTGCGTGGCTCTCATGTACCGTGCTAAGTGAATACAGCTTCGGTGAGAGTGGCAGCCGATGGCGGAGCCAACCGACTTCACCAACTCTCGTCCTTCCACGGCAAATACGTATGTATACTATGAAATGTGTGGCCCTTGAGACCCGAGCGTGGTATTAACTCCTCCCAGTCCAACTTGCAGCTCATCATCGGCGACCTTGACTCTCTCACCCCAACAGTTCGCGATTTCTACTCCTCCCAACCATCGCCTGCAACCGTTATCCACGACGCAGACCAAGAGTCAACCGACTTTGCCAAGGCCATCAACTGGATTCGAAAAGAGTACCCCAGTGGAATCGATATCGTCGCTCTTGGGGGCATCGGCGGTCGCGTTGACCAGGGCCTCTCGCAGCTTCACCACCTCTACCTCTTCCAGACAGACCCCAACTACGCTTCTGGCAAAGTTTACCTCCTCTCAGGCTCTAGCCTCACCTTCCTACTCAAGCCAGGCACGCATCATATCCAAGTCCGAGAGGACGGCGAGGAGGACGCCTTTGGCAAATACGTAGGCATCATCCCCCTCAAGGGGCCCGCCACCATCACGACGCACGGCTTCGAGTGGGACGTGACCGACTGGCACACTGAGATTGGCGGACGCCTCAGCACGAGCAACCACATCCTGCCCGACGTGCAGATCGTGCAGGTCACGACGGACAGGGATGTACTCTTTACGGTGGCGCTCAAAGAGGGTGAGGGAGAAGATCACGACTAGTAATGAATGCAATGCATAAACTGAAAGCTCAAATATTCTTGGCCCGGATGCAGTACTTGATACGCTTCAAGGTGTGGTATGACATGACCAAAACAAACTCGCCCAAAAAAGAACTCCTGAGCGCCAACGCTGATGCCTTGATGCTGTACAATGCCCGTAGACATGGACTCTCTCAACCCATCCCAGCACCGCCTTCCGTCATCATCGCAAGAAATGAAGCACCAGCCAGCAGAATAGGAAGAAGATGACCACTCCAGCAAAGAAGATCCATTTATCCTCTCGCGCACGTCGCTCAACCATGCGAATGGTATCTCCACTAACACCCAGAGTGTTGGCCACATTGTAAAGTCGCTTCTGTGTGTTCTTCATCATCTCACGCTGCTGGCCAAGGTCACCAAGAACTGCCTGCCCACGGGCTATGTAGTCATCCAGCGCCTGATTCGTGTTTGCAAAAAAGTTTTGCTCTCGGAACGCATGCGCCTCTCGCATCTCGTCGGGGGAGCCAGTCGTCAAGGGGCCGCTAGGATGGGACGAGTGTCGAGGTTGAAAAGTAGATTGCGTTGCCGTAGTAGCATTCGCATAAGGATTTTCTGGTGTCGCATTGTACGGCCTTCGCCCAAGTAATTCTGTGCGATTGGCCTGATGCTGTGCGTCTTCGCGGACCTTCTTTAGCGAATCGACTTGCGATCGAAAGTCGGACAGGTCCTCGCGGAACCTCTTTACTCGCTCGAATGCCTCATCCTTCTTTTTCGGTACAATCTCCTGACGTGCGAGGCTTTGGTACTCGTCGAGGGTCTTGGTAAAGGAGGCGATCGAGGCAGACACGTTGCCGATCTCAGCTGGGGAAGCTTGGGGTTTGGTGTTGAGGTTGGAGAGCTCCGCGCGGAGAGACTTGCTCTGCCGCAAGGCAGAATTATACGAGATATTCTAGAAACGCATATTAGCAAGGCGATGCCCTCAACGGAGCCAAATGCTCTATTTCTTACCATGATGAAACTTGTGTCGACATGGACAGCTTGCAAGTACACGATAGCTGACGACAGGGGCCTTCATCATGATTTCCACGTCTTCACATGATAAGGCCAGATCTCGCGGAAGCGGAACAACGCACTTTCCGCCTGAGCTGTCAAGTCGCTTACCCTACACACTTGGACTTTTCATGATCGAGGCCATTTTATAGCATTTCTCTTGCTGCTACTTTTCTCTTTAATAAGTTTTGATCTCTCGTCTTGTTACTGTTTTGAGAAGGCTCATTTGATGGGGTAGATTAAGTTTTAGTAAACTTAACGGTGGGATATACTAGAATCCCATCTTAAGCTACTTTGTAATAGCCTATTAACATCCATCACCATGGAAGTAATTGCAAGAATAATACCTGTGTGTAGAATTCTTATCTTTTTTATGAGAATATGAATTTTACTGCATAAATGTGTAAGTACTCTTATCCTTCCAGCCTTGGCAGACAATCTGCCCAAGACCCAACATGTTTAATACTCTTGGCTAAGTCGAAGCTCCGCCAATTGCACCATCTGAAGCGCAGACCAGATGCTGGGACAGTCTTCGCTCCATGGTTCTAGAAGATTTATCGTCCGATGCCAGAGGTCGTAAAAATCACTACCGATGAACTCGAGTAGCACGTCTGAACGTGCTGCAATAAAGAGCGTGAGGATGTTTGTCAGACAACTGCATTCTTAAGTCAACAACCTGCATATAAATTTATGCCAATGAGCTTTGGTTTTGAGAAACGTACCACTGAGCGACGCTGTAGGTGTACGGTGTTCGATGGGAGAGTATGTACTCTGCAGTCATGATGAAAAGCCGACTGGCGTTCAAGCAAACCCGACACATTTCCAACACTGAAGGAGGAACTTGATCAGCAACCTCGTCATCAATGGATGTGACGTGGATCACAAATGCTCGAAAGATGACTTGTTTTGCAGACCAGTAGCGCAGCCTCAAAAGAGATGAAAGTTTGTCACCACTTGGAGAACCCTCAAGGTTCGGCTTGATGATCTCGGGGAGTGAATTATACCAAGTCTCAAGTTGGTGGTCAAGTTCACTGCAGACTCTAACCAGTGATGCGTTTGGGTGCAGTATGGATGATTGACTTTGGCCAGAGGCATTCGGATTGCCTCTTGTGTAGATAGTCAGGTTATCCGTGAAGAAGAGGCTGTGGTGAATGCGGTTCAGCAATAATCTTGCCGAGATCTCGGCGAGGACGTAGAGATGGCTGGGGCAGGCAGGGCCTCCGTAGTTTGGGAACGGAAGTTTGTCCACTAGAAGTTCGATTCCGCTTCTAGGTTGGTTAAACTCGGCCAGAATGTCACTAGCAGGAGCATTAGTATTGATGTCTCATGATACCTCAGGGCATGTTCTACATACCTTTCCAAAATAAAGCATACCCAGCTCAGTCGCGTGAGGATTTCAACTTGTTTATCCTTCGATGAAAAGTCTTGACACCTTAGGTCTAGGGTTAGTGATATATCCCTAAAGACGTCCGCTCAGGTGGCTTAACTGGTTCAAAACTTGCTGGATACTCGTCGAAGCCATGTGAACGAGTCGCCAAGCCATCAGGGGGTCAACTGTGTAAGTAAAGTAAAGGGCACAAAGGAGCAATGCCTGAGACATTACGACGTCCCCACCGAATGATACCATCCAAGACGTAAACAAAATGCGCGAAGCCTTCTGTATGAGAATGGTCCCAATGGGGCTGCCTGTGTTACTGGACTCTGGGGAGGTTGATCTGGAAACATCCATCGGGGAGCTGTCACCTTGGCGAGGGGGCGCCCTGACTGGAGCTGAAACTGTCGAGCCCAAAGCCAATACAGCCATGACAAGAGCAGATTTGGGGTCAGAGCCGAAACCCTGACTTCTTACCTCCTCGCACTGGGCTCTTAGTTCATGGTCGTTGAGAAAAGGGTGAAATGGTTGAACTATGTCGAAAAAGACGTCGACATAAGAATCCCAAGAGGACTTGTCGATATTAAGATGCTCATCCGAGGAGTTTGTGGATCCTTCCAGCAGAAAATGTGCAGCGCTGGTACGTGGACGAGCATTCTCAAGCCCGAAAAAGTAGTCTTCCGGATAGTCACCAGCTAAACGTGCTATCTGGGGCAAGAGAAGAAGGTGGCTGGCACTCGTCCGATGTTTTGGTGGTATTGTGATGGGTGGGAGATTTTCATCTTGGTTGCTTGGAAACCCCGTCTCTGATGTCTTGCCCGTCAAGAAAGGGGCAATGTGAGATATGGCATCGCCAGAGGTGAGAGGAGACTCGTTATTCGACGTTGTACTTGCTGGCTCCGTTCTGGGGACCGAAACTGAGGTAGGTGATGTTTCAGATCTCCTTTCCAGAGCGGATATCGATGCCGAGTGCTGGCTGAGAAGAGCCTCGATGGCACTGAGACGCTGAAGCAGAGCCGACTGGGCCACGGGACCTTCTTCGCTGTTGAAAACTCGGTCATTTAATGTTCAAAGAAGCGGTGTTAAACTTGCATCCTTACTCTTGTGGCTCGGTCTCGGTATAAACACATTGTAGCCCCTTTTCACGGCACGCTTTGCATTGTGGTTGCCGACCATCACATCGCCTCTTTCTTTGATACAAGCACAGCATGTTAGGTATTGCCTCTCATACCAAAGAACCATCCTTGAACTCACCGTTGACGACAGAAGGTGCATGCAATTGCAGTCCGCCTCGTTGAAGGGGCCATCATCAAGGGGCTGCACGCTATTGCATCCAAGTGGGCGTGATCAGTTGTGGCAGCACAGCTATGATGCGGTTTGATGTTATTCCGGGTACATACGACCACAGCCTTTAGAGAACTCGGGATCCCGTCCGCTCTCCCATAGATAACCTGAAGAGCGCCCGAGTAGTAGTCAGGTCGGTGACGACTGGCGAATTCCGGGTGTTGTATGTTTCTTTTTGCCTCCATTTTTAGTCTCAGTCTGGTCAAATCCCCTCAAGTGGGCATTGCTCATTACTCAGCAACCAAGTTCGCCATTTGCTGGTGATTGTTCCTCAGCTGATTTCGGGTCATTACAACTGATCAATCTTTCAGATTTGAAACCAAATCTATGTTGCGTAGTACTATTTGAACTCAGATAGTAAAGAAAGCCAATTTCAAGTAAGAAAAAAAAAAAAAAATACAGGGGTCTCGCTAATTCATAGCACCTTCTATGATTATCCTTTAAGATCATATACGACCTTGTATCCAGAGATTTTACCATCCCTGTAAGCCTGAAAGCCCTCTGTGACCCCATCGAGTCCGCCGATAAGCCATGGAGTATTTGGACGGATTTTGTTGTCAGAAAGTAGGCGAGGAAGCTCTTCAAAGAATTCAGAAGCCAGCAGGTGATCCTCCTCAGACGCCTAAATGAGGAGTGTTAGGGCAAAGTCCAGTTATCATTCGAGAAAAAACTGACCGGAAAAAGAGTTGCGCCCATCTGGTGGTCCTTGAAAAACGAGGTAAACACAAGAACCGACGTCACCTTTGTCCGGGCTGTGACCTTTTCAGTGAACTCCTTACCAGGACGGACGGTGCATAAAACACCCCCTGAATCACTCATGGCTCGAGATGCCCTGATGGACGAGCTTTCAGTCCCGATGGTGTCAAAGATGTACTTGATGTCAGGAAGAGCTTTCCGGATCTTCTGAACAACGTCAGGATCTTTGTAATCGAAGATGTACTTGGCTCCATGAGAGTGAAGAAGTGGGGAATGTCGTGGACTGCACACTGTCGCAACTTGAAAACCGAATAGTGCTGCAATCTGAACAGCGTAGAGTCCAACACTGGCTGATACCTGAACGTCAACGAAATTCTGCAAATTCTGGAAAGTTACGTACTGCTTCCCGCCCAAATGAGCAATTGCACATTTGACCCTGCAGTTCGGTCAATGGCAAGGCTCTGGGACCGAAACAAGGCCAGCCAGGCTGTTGTAGCAGCCAACGGCACGGTGGCGGCCTGCTGGAGGGGGATATTATCGGGGACTTTGAAACAGATCTTGTCGTCGGCAAGCGTGTATTCACTGTAGGCCCCTTGACCCTCGATTTCGCCTAATTATGTTAGTGGAGCGACATCTATATCAAATAGCCAATACGTACCTCCCCAGATAAGGCCGGCGATGGTGTCTCCAACCTTCAAGCGTGCGACATTGCTTCCAAGGGCCTCGACCGTTCCGGTAAAGTCGCAGCCTAAAACAGCGCCATTACCGAAAATCCTATTATCGAAACATAGCACATCGGTTGGATTTTGCGCTGCGGTCAAGACCTTGACGAGTGCTTGGTTTGGAGCGGGCTGGAGCATGGGCAACTGCTCTTGAACCAGAGAGAGCTTCCCAGCGTACTCTCTGACTACCAAGGCTTTGCGGGTCTGCGTGGACATGTTGACAAAGCGAAGAGCTCGAGTTGGTCTCATAGTTGAGAGAGGAGGAGTTGTGTGAGGTGAAAGTTGACTCGTGGGCCATAGCTGCAGTTAAATAAACATGAAGGAGATCTCATGATTTGTAATATTGGAAGAGATTTGAGGGCCAGGAGCGCTTGAGAAGAGAAGAGTAGTGGGGTTCCAACTAGGTTGATGCCATCGTGGATAACCTCATGCATGAGCTCGGCGGGCGGGCGGGCGGGCCGCCCGCCTCGTTCCACCACGATGATCCACTTCGTATGCGATGAGTTCGAATAGGAAATCTGACACTGCTATTCTAGGCTGTCCACTCAGTATCTCCTTGCTTGCGCGAGGACTGCCAAGGTATACTCATCGCCACTATTAGAGCACTATCTAAACCTTTATAAAAATAATATAAGAATAGGTTAATCTCTTATCTTAATTTTAGTAAGCCTAGGAAGAGACTTATCATAATTAGTCTAGATCCCAGCTCAGTACATAATGGCAGTCTCTGCGCAAGCAAGGAGATGGACTCGTTGGTTACTATCTATAACGGTGTGTGGATCATGACCAAGGCACTGTTCCGCTGCTATGATCCCTCTGTTGGGCGAGTGGTTTCATGACCCGTTGCTGAACTTGGCCTGAACTCCCAGGGGGGCGCATATCTCTGTTTTCTCAAGTCTCCTAAACATGACATTATTAATCCGAGCTAGAGGTTCTATTTAGATTTTGGTCCCAGTAATTTGTCCGTCAACGCATGTTCCCAGAAACACGTTCAGTCATCATTCAGGTCTATCCTTCAACCTCAACTCCGGCCCCTCAGCCGCTTCCTCTAACTGAATTATCTTATCCTCGACATTCTGACCTGCTTTGCGAGTAACCCTCAAGTAGTCCCTCGACTTGGCATCAAACCCGTAAAGAAGCATCTCGAGGGGTTCAGACTTGAACGTCTCAAGCTCGATCCCTCGCGACTCCATCACAACCCAGCCGGAAAACAAAACCGTAGCTAACAACAGTACTACAGGACCGGAAATCAACGGCCAGCGCACCCTGATGTAGATTACCCATTCTCGCGTATAGCCTTGGACAGGGGATCCGTTCGTGTCGCGCATCTGGTACGACATGAGGTGGGCGACATTGTTGAATGTAGCGGTGATGTTGGTCGAGTTTGATAATGCTCTGTTGATGAAATCGATAGCCTCGTAGTCCAGACTACTCATCATGGTCGTTATTGATCTCTGAGTAATGTTGAATGTTCGTCGAATATCACGCGGTAACCAATTGTCCTGATCCAGAAGCCTCAGCTGGAGGTCACTTCTGGGTACCAGGCATTTCTTCTCCTCGTCCACCCCCGCGAGGGAGGTTCCGATGGTTCTTTCGATAGCTTCAAGGGCTGGACTATCCATGTCTTGACCATAGTCTGAACGTATGTTGTACAGAGTCGTTTTTCGTAAATGTTCGGTTGGCGAACAAGGCATGTCCTCCCCGGAAGCTTTTTGCACCCTAGAAGAAATGTCGGTACAAGAGCTGCATATTCCCAGGGTCTAAAACACCGGCCAGGTGCAATTTCCGGTCCTGAAGGATAGCCCGGGGGGCTGAACCGGTCTCAGAATAGATGCGTTGGCGAAGCCTATTTTGGCTGCCAGCGACAGGCCAATATCCGGCTGTATATTCACATAGCATCGGATACCAAATTTCCGGCCGGGGGTGTATGAGATTTCACCATACCATTCACCAACGTCCAGCCCATGGCTACGCATTATGGATGCGCTACGGTCAACCATGGAGGACATCTTGCCCACATATTGAACCAGTCCTTGAAGGAATGGGTCAATGGCAAGCAAGCCAATTGTGATGCCAGCTCCAAAGCATACCCAATTCCTAATTTCAATTAGCTTATAGCAGGCAAGAGGACGACTCTCAATGTATACATGCCTAAATTTTAGTTTCCATATCCGAGCTAGGCTCCCCAAAGGACCCCGGCCAGCTTCTTCGATGGCCACAAACGTAGACAGCGGACCTTTTCTTTTGGAAAACAAAGCCCATTTTCCCTGACCCAGACAGTATCCAACGACGAACGCGAGAGGTGTCTTGATGACTACTGACAGAAGGGACACCACGGTGTTGAGAGACAGTGGTAGAGTCCAGGTAGAGAGTTGTTGGCCATTCTGACGAGCAAGGATGATGAGCGCACAGAGAGAGACTGCGCTTGAAACCAAGGCAAAAAGCTCTGAACTCCAGTCTGAGATTAGATTTCGTAGACCTGGAGCATGTCGCACAGGATTCTTGGGCAAATTTTCAACGTCTTGTTCCTCAACCGAGGATGGACGCGCTCGAGGTGACAAAGAAGTCCCGCTCGAGCCACATCCCAGAGGATGCAAAGTAAACTCCTCAGGCCCATTGAAAAATGATCTGAAAAGATCTTGGTCATCGTCAGTTATAGGTGAAGCTGGTCGAGCCATCAGGCTATCAGTGCTGGCTGATTCGGACATGGTGGGCAGCTTAGGTGGGTAGAACACGTTGATAATGTCATGAGAGGAGTCTTGATATTTATAAGCGGTCTTCTTAACTCGCTGTTTCTCACATATACGAGTGTGACGGTACACCAAACGCTCCGCCCTGTCTTAGTGTATTGATTTGGTGAGGCTGAGGTGAGTGGCTCGGGTGCAAACGTACTGAGTATCACGTTACACCAGCCCAGATATGAGTGTGACATTAGTTACGGCGTTTTATAGCATTGGGTTCTGTTGAGCAGAATAAATGACCTAATTGCCTCTGCAAATAGAAGAAGGTATCTTCTACTTTTGTCGTATGGCATAGTGGTCATTGTGTTCTATAGGTTCTGATGCTGCTATGTGTTTATCAGCGTGTTCTTTGATCCTGTGTACGACGGAGACGTCATTGAAAAGTAGTAAAGTAAGAATAAGCGTGGCACGGCAGCTGTATCTCGGTAGGGTGACTGGGCTTGGAAGCGAATCCAAGTCGGGATCGAGCTACAATGGGGAGGCTCCACTCAGGTCGCGTGAGATAGGAGTCGGCCTTATGTGTACAGGCACACACCGTTGGTCTTCTCAACTCTACAACATCATTTGGTGAGCGATGTCTTGATTGTTTTAAATCCCTTCATTAAACATTTCAGTTCCGTCAAAAGTCCGCCTGCAGGTAAATATACTCGAAATGAACGTTTATCTGGGTAGGCCTTGGCTGAGCCTTGGGCCTTAGAAGGGGATCTGGAACGGGTACAGTAAAGCATCTTCAACCCATGGATAAACAAGTCCATTGCCAAGCGAAATTAACAAGGTACATCCTCAAGATGGTGTATGATCCTGTGTCCCGTGATCCTACCATTTGCTCTTCCATCAGCCTGACAAGGGCATGTATCAAAAGTCCGAGACGACGAGAGAATGCGCGTCATACGAGACGAGCGACAGCCCGATCAACGTATCAATCACCACTCAATCATATTAGTCTCGGAAATATCACATCTATCTCCATCGCCTACAGCCAATCCGACATCATTCAATGCTGCAAGTCGACCAGGCAGCGTGTGTTGATTTGTCCATGACTCCCCCATTTCGCCGACGTCGGTGCCGATGAGGTGTGAATTAACCCACTTATGACCCCCGTGAGGACGGACTTTCACCTTTTTCCTGAACACCGCCTTGTTATTTATTTGACTTGATCTCTTCTCTTTCGTTCTTAAATATTGAATGAGATGGTATGAATTAAGCATCTTGACTTTATTCTTGCATTCATCAGACCATGAGTGCTTCTTCGACATGTACCGATCGCCACCCTGGCGAAGACGAGGAGCAACCTCCCCTAATGACCCAAGATCTGGAAAAACAGCCTGAATCATCAACTGAAGATACACCTCCTGCCTATTCAATCTTTACAACATGGCAAAAACGCTTCATCGTGTTGGCAGCTGCCTCTACTGCCCTCTTCTCCCCCATGACGGCCCAGATCTACTTCCCAGCCTTGCCCGCCATCGCCAAAGACCTGGACGTGACCATATCGCAGGTCAACCTCAGCGTCACGACTTATATGATCTTTCAGGGTGTTACGCCCATGTTTATCGGATCTTTGGCTGATAGTGGAGGGAGAAGACCTGCATATGTTGTTTGCTTCACCCTCTACATTGCCGCCAATATTGGTCTGGCGCTTACACCGAGCTACGGTGCCCTCTTGGGTCTACGATGCCTTCAATCTGCTGGCTCCGCAAGCACGGTTACTCTCTGCTACGCTGTCGTCGCGGATGTCATCACCTCTGCAGAAAGAGGCCAATACATTGGTCTGACTGCTGTGCCCGTCGTCCTCGGTCCTGCTTTAGGCCCTGTCATCGGCGGCCTTCTCGCTCAGTACCTTGGCTGGAGATCCATCTTCTGGTTCCTCACAATCTTTGCCGGAGTAGCCATTGTCCTCGTCGTCATATTCTACCCAGAAACATGTCGCCGCATCGTGGGCGACGGCTCAATTCCTCCACCCCCTGTGTATCGGTCTTTGTGGCAGATACTTAAATCCCGACGGACTCGGATGTCAGCAGCCAAGTCCGACCTCAGCCGCCAAGCTTCTCACGGTTCCAAAAAAGAAAAGACGTTTAAATTCAAGGCGCCGAATGTCCTCGAGTCGGTTTTGATGCTGTTTGAGAAAGAGACGGGTCTGCTGCTTGGCTTCAGCAGTCTTTGCTTTGCTGGCTTTTACTGCATTGCTACAGCCATGCCCACTCTTTTCACGCGAATCTACGGCTTCAACGAGATCCAAAACGGTCTCATGTTTCTGCCAATAGCAGCTGGCTCTGTAATCGCATCATTCATTGTCGGTGCCTTTACCAATCGCAATTTCGAGCGTCACTGCATCAAGATGGGCATCCCCTACGAGAAGAGCCGTCAGCCAGACCTTTCAGGCTTTCCAATTGAGCGCGCTCGACTCGAGATTGGCTTCCCCCTCATGCTCATGTCAATCGTTATGCTCATCGGTTGGGGTTGGGCAGTTGACGCCAAGACGCATGTCGCTGTGCCCTGCGTGTTGAGCGGACTAATGGGAGTTGGTATCGTGGGCTTCAACAACACGACTAGCTCGCTACTAATTGACATTCACCCGGGAAAGCCAGGAACTGCCAGCGCTGCCAATAACCTGACTCGATGTCTAATTGGAGCAGGAGCTAGTGCTGCGATCGTTCCCATGGTTGATGCTTTGGGTACGGGTTGGGCGTTTACTCTGGTGGCAGGGATACTGTTGCTTGGGTGTCCAGCCATGATCCTCCTGATGGCCCGGGGGATCAAATGGCGAGAGGAGTTGAGGATCAAGAAGGAGAAGAAGAGGAAGGCGAAAGAGGAACAAGAGTGAATTAAACTGTTCTATAGACGACACCAGGTATAGAAGAGGCATAGGTTATAAGTCGATTGCATTGGAGGTGGGATCACTAGTATTTACTTGGGCAATCTGTTGGTGAAGGATGGCCCATGCCAATTGATTGGCAATAAAAGTCGGGTATGATACTATTAAATATTTCTAATTTGACCTTGAACACAGTTTCTCTTTGTAATAGTTCCCCCTTGAGTAAAGCTTGAAGTGTTCTTGTCATATGGCGGCTTATCCATCCCGTGAATGTGGGGTCGAAGCTCAACTTTTTCACACAGAATTTCCCTTGATCAACAACACCATCGTCTGAAGCACCAACGCGCTGTGATGCTCTGCTCGCTGATATCATGCCTTTCTCTTTTCTTTTCGCCTGGATGACGCTTCTATGCAGTCTCATAGCCCATGTACTTCTCAAGACCGTCTTCACACTCGTTGTGCTACTGGCTTCAATCGTCGTGTACCGATCGACATTTCACCCACTCGCACGTGTCCCCGGACCCAAGCTAGCAGCTATAACCAGCTTCTGGCACGCATACCATGCAAGAAATGGGCGCATGGCTTATTTAGGAAAGACTTTGCATTCTCGATACGGGCCTGTTGTGCGTGTAGGCCCAAATGAAGTGTGGTTCGATACCAAGGAGGCTTTTCAGGCCATTTACAGTATGTTGCACCAAAGTTCATGAGAGTTCCAACTGACACTTCAGTAGGCAGTGGCAGTGGATATGAAAAGTCGGACTTTTACTGTTTGTTCCAAATCATCTTTTTCATCAATCATGACTGATTCTCGCAGTGGCCACCAGTCTGAGCAAACCTCGCATCGACTGGAAGCTCAACCCTCACTTTCCCGACACACTCGATCTTCTCTCGGAACGGGATGTGAGGCGATACCGAATTCAGCGCCGAATAATCGGCCCTGTTTATCAGACGTCTAATCTCATTCAATACGAGGCTGCCATTGACGACGTCATTGAGCGAGCCATTGCCAAGCTCAAGAGCTTCAAAGGTGCTCCAGTCGAGTTGAATGAGTGGATGCACATCATCGCCGTGGAATGTCTTGGGTCCGTTGTCCTCTCTTGGTCACCCGGTATGCTCAAGAACGGCACTGATTGGGGATCGGGCTCGCATGCGTATCACGGCTGGAGACGAAAGAGTGTCTTTGGCCTCTTCCCTACAATTGTCAAACTCGAGTTCCTCTCCAAGACGGTCGGCCGGCTCTTCAGCTCAGCTTGGGGTGTCAATTTCAAGACACCCAAGAACTTCAAACCATTCTTTGTCGTGAGTTCATCGTTGTTGGCCTTTAGACTCAAACCTGATGGTTGGATAGGATGTTGGCAAGCGAGTCTCTCGACGTGTCAACGCAGCCAAAAGAGCAAGCCCGCCTAAGGACACCCGCCAAGATCTTCTCACAGATCTCATCCGGCTTCACAAAGTCAGACCTGACTTTACGGACAATTACCTGCGCAAAATGGCTGTTACAAACTTTGGTGCTGGGCATGAGACCATGGCGTCGACTCTGACCTCCATCATGGCCGTGCTAGGTTCTCTTCAAGATGTCCAGACTCAAGTTTCTCAAGAAGTCCTCTCCATGACAGATCCAAGTCGATACTCTACTGCAACCCGTCTCCCGATAATGCAGGCTCTCGTCAAGGAAGTCAAACGACTATACCCAGTCATCAGCATGTCCCTTCCACGAAAGGTTCCCAACGGTGGTCTTCACCTCCACGGCTTCTATTTCCCACCCGATACAACTGCAGGCTGTAACCCAGTAGCCTTGCACCGAAATCAAGACGTCTTTGGTCCCGATTCTCACCTCTTCAATATCGCTCGATGGCTTAACGCAGACCCCGACACGGCTCGCAACATGGAACGAGTCAGCCTTAGCTGGGGCGGCGGCTCAAGATCATGCCCTGGGCGTCATTTGGCTGAGCTCGTAGTGTTCAAAGTTGTCCCAGCTCTAGTGAAGGAGTTTAGGATCGAAGCTGTTCTGCCACCCGAAGACGATGGTCGCTCATATTTCTTATCCATGTTGACGGGAGTCAAGACACGATTTATCGAGCGACAAGCAGCGGAATCAACGACCGACACCCAAAAGCCAGTTTCTTGACCGAAGCCAGGGAAGGCGGGGCTTTTGACTGTCCATGGCGCTCCTCTGCGCCAAGAAAGATAGCAGCTACATCTCTAAGGACGCCCTTCACACGACACAATGTCCATTATTAATCCACTACTATAAATGCAGCCCCTCGCTCTGCCCCAAAAGACCAAACAAGCAATATTCCAAAGCATTTAATCATGGTTCAACCAATCGTCACTGAAAACGCCCTTATCAGAGGTAGCCGCATCGCCTATGGCGTCTACGGCACCGGCACTCCAGTCGTCCTCCTTCACGGAACGCCCTCTTCATCTCTTATCTGGCGCGACGTCGTCCCCAAGCTTGTCGAGAAAGGCTTCAAGGTGCACGTCTTTGATCTTCTCGGCTTCGGCCTCTCTGAGCGCCCCTGGGACTCTGCCGTGGACACGTCCATGACAGGACAGGTTCCCATCTTGGAAGGTCTTCTATCATTGTGGGGACTTGACAAGACTCACGTCATCGCTCATGACATTGGAGGCGGTATTGCTCAGCGACTTGCCGTATTCTCGCCAGAGAGGGTGCTATCCTTGACACTCATCGACGTGGTGTGCTTCGACAGCTACCCCTCGAAGCGGACCAAGCAACAGATGCAAAACGGCCTCGAGTCTCTCATCAAAGCGAGCGACAACGACCATCGCGCTCACTTTAGAGAGTGGCTGCTGTCCGCTGTCAAGAACCCAGCCAAGCTTGAACAATCGAGTTTGGACTCCTACTTGGAATACATATCTGGTCCCATCGGCCAGCCAAGCTTGTTTGAGCACCAAGTTCGACACTATGACCCCAAGCACACGCTGGAAGTGACACCACGCCTGGGTGAACTGGAGAAGCTGCCTGTGCAGTTGATTTGGGGGGCCGATGATGCCTGGCAGGTTGTTGACTGGGCTCATAAACTCCAAGAAGCGATCCCTGGATCTGAGCTTAACATTGTGGAGGATGCCGGACACTTTTCGCCGGAAGACCAACCAGAAAGGATTTCTGAGCTTCTTGTATCGTTTCTTAACAAGCACTGATTCTCGTGTTTCTTAAAAGAGCCTGTTTGACCAGCTGGACTCAATACGCTCGCGGCGATCCATGTTACTATCTTACATTGACTATGAATTAAAACTCCTTCATGGCATTAACTCTAGCCTCTGTCGCTCTCACGTGCCACTTTGTCCCAGGTCCAAGAAACTCAAACACATGTGGCACTCCGGGCCAGACGTGAAACTCAACCTCGACATTATCCGCCAGTAGTCTCCTGACAAACTCCATGTTCTCCTCTCGAAACACGTCCAACGTTCCGACGTCTACATACGTAGATGGTAGGCCCTTGTATGTCGCAGCTCTCGCTGGGGCAGCATACGGAGAAACATCCGCCTCGAGCTTCCCGGCCTTGTCCTCGCCGACGTATGCCGCCCATGCTAGTTCGTTGTGCTTGGGGCTCCATGTGGTAAACTTGAGAAACTCGGCGTCCTTGTCATGCCGTGGCCGGTCATCGAGCTCGGGATACGTAAGAAGCAGCTTCGCAATCGAAGGCTGAAGCTCCCTGTCCCTTGCCAAGAGGGCCAGCCCGACAGCAATGCCGCCACCAGCACTCTCTCCCTGAACGGCAACACGTTGGGGATCAATGTTGAGCTCCGCAGCGTGGTCCAGGAGGTATTTCAGAGCAGCGTAACTGTCCTCAACAGGGGCCGGGTGAGGATGCTCGGGTGCAAGACGGTAGCCAACAGCAAAGATGGGACGATCAGCCGCAAGAACCTTGTTGGCTACAAGTCCAGCACAAGCATCTACACTTCCTGAGATAAAACCACCGCCATGAATGGCGAGGATAGTAGGCAGAGGCTCCTTGACCGAGAGATGCTCGGGCTTGGCAAAGCGGCGGAGCAAGATGTTTGCACCATCATAACTCTGGATGGTGTAATCCGTCTGCTGAATGATGTCGGCTGAAGGCGCCTTGGGGAACATGTTTTTAAAGAGAGCATCATTGTTTCGGCGAATTTCCAAGGCAGTTTGAGGAGGGCCTGAGGGACGCTTGGATCTAAGAGGTTCCAATGCCTTGGCGAATTCGGGGTCGTATCTCAGAGTGGCCATTGTGTAGGATGTAAGTAAGTGATGAAAGCGAGTGATGAAAGTGAAGTTGGGATGAATTGTTGGATTGGTATCTGAGATGAGCAGGATCACCTTGGGCCATTATATAGACAATTAGGCTGCGTTGATAGAGGCGCGCATCAACTAGTAGCTGAACTAGTTGACGGATCAATCGCGAATCGTCCTGGCTCATACCGATCTCAATTCCCACAATTGCAGGGGCCTCTATTGGCGGGTTCGTTTGGACATTGAATAGCTGACAGGGGTCGACCTTCAAGACCGTGAACTTTAACGTTGTTAAGCTGTTTCCTAATTCACGCGGTGGCTCAAAGGCATTGAAATCACAGAGAGTTTGTTGATGGCGTCTCTGAAGGATTGATAATGGAGCAGCACTAAAAGATTATTCAGTGAAAACTCATTATGCTCAGTAAGCAAGCTCAAGTCTTGCGAAGCGAAGCCATTAACGTTCTCGCTTCGGGCATTGGCGAGATATCGCGAGGTGTTTGTGTAAGCGGAGGTCACTCCGTGATTCCGCCCCGCTCCGCTATCCATGTTGAACACTCGTCCGGGATTCCGGGGGCGGAATGTTCAAGAGACCAAAGTCCCCTTAGCTCAGCAAATTCAAACACACGCTAAAGAAATGTCATTATAAACCTCTCCTGAAAAGTCAGGTTGTTGGTGTCGTGTCTTTAGAAGACCATGGACACGTTTGGAAATATGGCGTGCGGCGTAGGAACAGATCAGATGGTGGACGGTGACATCCATTTAAATCACGTGATGATATCGGTGCATGGCAAGCTCCGAGAGGCCGGACCGCCCGTCTCCGCCATGAGAACGCATCGGCCAAAAAGTACAGATCGCGACTTGTGGCTTGGACTTGGGCTTGCACTCGACACGACAAATTGGCAGAGGCGGGCATCTTCCACCACCTCGCGGCGCGCCTCATTCGACTCGGCCATTCTTGGCTTCATCTAATCTATTCTCTTTTCTCACTTGATTGTTTGTCGTCTACTTAATACATCCCAGAAGAGAGGGATCCAACCGTCTCGTCAACTCCGCCCACGATGGCGCCCCTCGTCGACAACCCCCAGATAAAGCAGGCCGAGCTGTTGCGCCCGCTGTCCTTTCAGTTCCACGCCTACGTCTGGCCTTTCGCCATCGTCTGGCCCATCTTCCTGGCCTTCTACTTGTCTCCCGACCTCTACGAGAAGCACATTGGCGCAGAGGAATGGACCGTATTCTGGTGCGGTACCATCATCACCCTCCAAACCCTGACATGGCTCAGCACCCACTGGAGCGTCGGCCTTGAGGCCAGCTTCACGGCCTCCAAGGCCAAGGACATTGAGGATGCGCAGTTGATCAAGGTCATTCCCATCGCCAACGCCGGGTCTGCCGAGATTTGCAAGCTGGTTCGCGACAAGGTGGGGAGATTCTTCTAACCTCAATTTCCAAACTGTAACTAACATAGTCAACCCAGGCTGGCGGCAAACTCAACACCTCGTTCCTCTTCCAGAAGCGCCGCTTTCTCTACGACCCCGAGGCCAAGTCGTTTGGTACTCTCAAGTTCGACATCGACTCCGAGCCCAAGGCCTCCATCGGCCACTTCCAGACCGCCAAGGGTATCCAGACTCAAGTCGAGTTATCGCGCATCGAGCAGCACTATGGCCTCAACACCTTTGATATTCCCGTCCCTACCTTTACCGAGCTTTTCAAGGAGCACGCCGTCGCGCCCTTCTTCGTCTTCCAGATCTTCTGTGTTGGTCTTTGGATGCTCGATGAATACTGGTACTACTCGCTCTTCACTCTCTTCATGCTCGTCGCCTTCGAGAGCACTGTCGTCTGGCAGCGTCAGCGTACACTTAACGAGTTCCGCGGCATGAGCATCAAGCCCTATGATATGTGGGTGTTCCGCCTGGGCAAGTGGACCGAGATCCTGAGCGACCATCTTCTCCCAGGCGATCTTGTTTCTGTTGGCCGAACCAAGGAGGACAGCGGTGTCGCCTGCGATATGCTTCTGGTTGAAGGAACTGCCATTGTCAACGAGGCTATGCTCTCTGGTGAGAGTACTCCTCTTCTCAAGGACTCGATTCAGCTTCGCCCATCTGATGTCCCCCTGGACACCGAGGGTCTCGACAAGAACGCTTTCCTCTGGGGAGGCACCAAGGTCCTCCAGGTCACTCACGGAAACCCCGATCAGGAGAAACCCAAGCTCTCTTCCGGTGTTCCCCCTCCTCCTGACAACGGCGCTATGGCTATCGTCATGAAGACCGGTTTCGAAACTTCCCAGGGTAACCTGGTGCGAACCATGATCTACTCCACTGAGCGAGTCTCTGCCAACAACGCCGAGGCTCTCTTCTTCATTCTGTTCCTCCTCATCTTCGCCATTGCCGCCGCCTGGTATGTCTGGGATGAGGGTGTCCGCAAGGATCGCAAGCGCTCCAAGCTCATGCTGGACTGCATCTTGATTGTCACCAGTGTTGTTCCTCCTGAGCTTCCCATGGAACTTAGTCTTGCCGTCAACACCAGTTTGGCCGCTCTCGCCAAGCTTGCCATCTTCTGTACCGAGCCTTTCCGTATTCCTTTTGCTGGCCGTGTCGATGTGGCCTGCTTCGACAAGACTGGTACTCTGACTGGCGAGGACCTCGTTGTTGAGGGTATTGCTGGTCTTGCTCTTGGACACGATGAGATCAAGGACATCAAGGAGGCTGATGGCGCCCACTCCACCATGACTCCCGTCACCGAGGCCACCCTGGAGACTAAGCTCGTTCTCGCCACCGCCCACGCCCTCGTCAAGCTTGATGAGGGAGAGATTGTTGGTGACCCCATGGAGAAGGCTACCCTTACTTCTCTCGGCTGGACTCTTGGCCGAAATGACACCCTCATGAGCACAAACAAAGCTGGCACCACCCACGGTACCGTTCAGATCAAGCGTCGATTCCAGTTCTCTTCGGCCCTCAAGCGTCAGAGTTCGGTCGCCATGGTTCACGGTAATGATATCAAGAATGGTCACAAGATTAGGGGCACCTTTGCCGGTGTCAAGGGTGCGCCCGAGACTATCCAGAAGATGCTTACTGTTGTTCCCCACGACTACGAGGAGACCTACAAGTACTTTACTCGCAAGGGTTCTCGTGTTCTGGCCCTCGCCTACAAGCAGCTTACTCACGACTCTGAACTGGGCTCCGCTAGGATCAATGAACTGAAGCGAGAGAAGGTTGAGTGTGACCTGACCTTTGCCGGCTTCCTCGTGCTCCACTGCCCCCTCAAGGACGACGCCAAGGAAGCTGTTCAGATGTTGAACGAGAGCAGCCATCGTGTGGTCATGATTACCGGAGACAACCCTCTTACCGCTGTTCACGTCGCCCGAGAGGTCGAGATCGTTGACCGTGAGGTTCTCATTCTCGATGCCCCTGAGGACAACGCGGGTGGTGAGAAGCTTGTATGGAAGAGCGTCGATGACAAGGTCAGCATCAAGGTTGATCCTTCCAAGCCTCTTGACCCCGAGATTCTCCGCACCAAGGATATCTGTGTTACTGGTTACGCCCTCGCCAAGTTCAAGGACCAGGCTGCCTGGAACTCTCTCCTCCGACACACCTGGGTCTACGCTCGTGTCTCGCCCAAGCAGAAGGAAGATATTCTTCTCGGTCTCAAGGATATGGGTTACTACACTCTGATGGCTGGTGACGGCACCAACGACGTCGGTGCCTTGAAGCAGGCTCACATTGGTATCGCCCTCTTGAACGGAACTCCCGAGGATCTTACCCGCATTGCCGAGCACGCTCGCAACAGCAAGATGAAGGAGATGTACCAAAAGCAGATCGAACTTATGGCGCGCTTCAACCAGCCCCCTCCCCCTGTTCCCGCCATGATTGCCCACCTATATCCTCCCGGTCCCACCAACCCTCAGTTCCAGAAGGCCATCGAACGCGAAGCCAAGAAGAAGAACGTGACTCCCGAGGAGTACGCCAAATCCCAGGGTCACGTTTTCGAGACCATTACCTCTCCCGGCGCCCAGCAGCTCATCAACTCGGACCCTCGTGCCGCTCGTCAAGTCGAGATCAACAACAAGGCCGCTGGATTTGCCGACAAGCTTGCGTCTGGTATGATGGAGGCTGATCTTGGAGATGATGAGCCACCTACTCTGAAGCTTGGTGATGCCTCTGTTGCTGCTCCTTTCACATCGAAGCTGCGAAACGTCATTGCCGTGCCCAACATTATCCGACAGGGTCGTTGCACTCTCGTTGCCACTATTCAGATGTACAAGATTCTCGCTCTCAACTGTCTTATCACCGCCTACTCCCTGTCTGTCTTGTACCTCGAGGGTATCAAGTTTGGCGACACTCAGTACACCATCAGTGGTATGCTCATGTCTGTCTGCTTCCTGAGCATCTCTCGCGCTCGTGTCGTTGAGGGTCTGAGCAAGGAACGTCCTCAGCCCAACATCTTCAACGTCTACATCATCGGTTCTATTCTGGGACAGTTTGCCGTCCACATTGTTACCCTCATCTACATTGCACGCCTGTGCGATCGCCTTGACCCGTAAGTTGCCAACATGCATCCATTATGTTTTCACAAGCTAACATTTAATAGTCGCTCTGATGACGTTGATCTCGAGGCCGAGTTCTCTCCTTCTCTCCTCAACTCAGCTGTCTATCTCCTCCAGCTTATCCAGCAGATCTCAACCTTTGCCATCAACTACCAGGGCCGTCCCTTCCGTGAGTCTCTTTCGGAAAACAAGGGCATGTTCTACGGTATCGTCGGTGTCTCTGGCCTAGCCTTTGCCTGCGCTCTCGAGCTCTTCCCCGACATCAACTCGGGCATGAAGCTTGTTCCCTTCTCGGAAGAATTCAAGACCAACATGACGGCCGTCATGGTCATCGACTATGCAGCTTGCTGGATCATCGAGGTCGGCCTGAAGAAGTTCTTCAGTGACTACCGACCCAGAGATATCGCTGAGCGAAGACCCGATCAGCTCGCCCGAGAGGCGGTGCGACGGGCTGCCGCTCAGAAGAAGAAGGAGGAGGAAGAGGAGAAGAAGAGATTGGAGAAGGTGGCCGAGTTTGAGAGAAAGGTTGAGGAGCGGAGGAGAAAGATTGAGGAGTGGAGAGCGGCCAGGGCTTAAGTGGACGCCGTGTTACATTGTAATGGGCATTCCATGAGATGGAGGATTGATGGTTTAGATTTGTGAGGGTTTAGACATGACTCGACATACACTAACTAGACGGAGGATGACGAGAGGTGAATATGGAGGATGAGTGGCGGGGGTGTGTTGTATAATATTGATGGAGTTGTGATAGACTTGATCATGAAACATAGCCAATCTTTTTTTTTACAAATACTTTTTCCAGTCGCCTGCTCAAGCATTCCCAGACAATACCGTAAAGGAACACGTAGCAGCATCAAACCCCAATTAAACGCTTGTTTACAATTGCCTCGGTATTCAAGCATTCCCAAAGCTTATAGCTATTACTTCGGGGCTGCCTAATAGGGTATCATTTGTGAGGGCAGCACTCATGATTCCGTCCACATGGGTGTCATGATCCATGCTTGGGGGAAGCAACACCAAGAGGCCTTCAAGAGAACCCTAGGTAAACAGAACACACATCGCATCGCAGTACTCAGATATTGGGTATTTTTTCATTCATTGCTATGGTACAGACAGAGACCAGATCTCCAAGTCTATGGCAGTGGTAGAACAGCGGGAAGAAAAAGCTGATGGGTATATCAATCGCTCATACACCCCCGTTTTCCTTTTTCCCAATCCTTACACGAACGGCATCCGTACACACAGTGACAGACAAATCGCCCTCGTCCTTAATTTTTCCCATTTTCACCACGTATCCCAAGTCTTACGCCAGGTCATTCTCCATCAACTAGATTAGATAGTTGGGAGCGGATTTAGTTGCCGGGGTTGGAGGCAACAAAGGCAACACCCTTGTCAATGTTCTTCTTGAGGTCACCCAGGCAGGCCTCGACGAGCTTCTCCTCGTTGGCATCGACCTTGCCGATGGGGTGGATCTTCTCAACACCATCGGGGCCGAGCTCGACGCGGGAGCTGAAGAACTCAATACCCTGGTCCTTGTAGAGAGGAGACTCGACAAAGGCGGGCTCAACGACACCCTTCTCGCCCTGGACGGCGCGGAGGATGGAGTCAGCCATGCGGGCACCAGCCATGGCCATGGAGAGAGTGGCAGAGCCAGCACCATCCTTGGCCTTGACAACCTCGTCACCACCGAACTGGACACGCTTGACAAGCTCAGCGTTGGAGCTCAGGTCGGGGTGGTTGCTCTGGGAGAAGAGAGGGACGATGGTGACACCGGAGTGGCCACCGACAACGGTGATGTTCTCGTCCTTGGGGTCGGTGCCCTTGATCTCGGAGACGAAGCGCGAGGCACGGACAACGTCGAGGGTGGTGACACCGAAGAGGGTCTTGGGGTTGTAGACACCCTTGGACTTGAAGACCTCGGCGCAGATGGGGACGGTGGAGTTGACGGGGTTGGAGATGATGAGGAGCTTGGCCTTGGGGGCGGACTCGGCGGCGGCCTTGGCAAGGTCACGGACGATGGAGGCGTTGGTGTTGAAGAGATCGTCACGGGTCATGCCGGGCTTGCGGGGGACACCAGCGGGGATCAGGACAACCTCGGCGTCCTTGAGGGCATCGGCGAGGCCAGCGGGGCTGGGCTCATAGCCCTTGACGGTGGACTTGGTGTTGACGTGGGAGATGTCAGCGGCGACACCTGCGGGGAACAAGGCTGTTAGCTGAGATTGATCTAGATCGGGATGAGGTGGCATGATGGGTCGTCTGGGGCCTCGGATGAGCGAGGAGCGAGATGGCCAGTGCGTGGAGTCGTCGCTCGGCCGAAGCATGATGATTGCATTGCAATTGCTGCGGGCAGCAATCGAAAGATTGGGCAATGAGGGTGTCGCTACGTACCGGGTCCGCCACGGATGTCGTAGAGAGCGAGCTCAGTGACACGGGGGTTGAGCTTGAGGAGGAGAGAGAGAGGCTGGCCGATACCGCCGGCAGCACCGAGGACGGTGACCTTGGAGAGCTTGAAGATGGTCAGCACGAGAAGGCTTCCCAGATGTTGAGACTATAGAGTCTTTGGCCATTGCGAAGCTCATAGGTCGTAGGAAACCCTCATGAAGCTCCGGTGACGACCGGGCCGGTCTCGCTCGGTGAAGAGGAAAAAACGGCGAGCGACATAAACAAGTCGCAAAGTCAACAGGACGAGGGCATCTACTTACGTCTCGCGCAGTGGCGGAGAAAGCACGTCGCTGGATACGAGAGGCGGCAAACATTTTGGCGATTTACTCTTGAGAGTTCTAAAGAGTCAATTGGGAGAAAGAAAAGGACGAGGGATGGAGGGGGGGAAGAAGAAGAGGATGGTTGAGGCTTTGGTGATGAGCAGTTTAAATACGGGGGAGGAACAAGCGGAAGATGGGGGGTGTGGGAGCTCCAGCAGCGCTTGGAGAGGCCCAGATTATGCCTCTTGAGGTTTAGTGCGGTGGAGGGGCATGGAGCTGAGTGGCCGGGCGAGGTTCGGAATTTCGAGAAAGACACGGAGCAACGGACGCGGCAATCGATGCTGCATTGGTCAAGATTCTTTGATCAAGCGGCATGAATTCGGCTTCTGTTTGAACTTGAATTGTGTCGTCACAGGAGTTGTTTTACCTACGTCAATTGCTCCGGTATTCCCGGTTGCTGCTCCTCAACAGGGCTTGCCACTCCTCCGGAGCACCCTCATGGGCACTTACAACGAAGACCGGCAGAATGGCCAGAATTGCTTCTTTCAACAAAACTTCTAGCAATTGGCGCGGTAACCAGGCACAATCAAATCCTCACCGCAACCTACGATGAAGAATGGTTTCATCTTGGCCACCATTCAAGAGCGAGAAAAAAACCTGGGGGAGGGGTACAGTACAACGGTAGAGAGACGGATCGACAATGAATGGACCGGGCAACGGTGGACGGAGAGAACGGCTGGTTGGCTCCGTCCAGTCTTGATCCTCTATCCCTTCATCCGTGGATTCTGCTAACATGGACCGGATACATTTTATGGATACCATCTCTCGACTAAAAGCACTCACCTACCGCTCACCTGCCACTCACCTCCTGCATGAGTGGTCATGCGTGGGGGCTCTAGTTCCTCCTATGAAAGCCCTCATGCTTCAACACACGCAGCATGCAGGTGCGCGCTTCAACAAAGAATCCGAACATCCACCATCAACAATATCTGCACCCAACCTGACATAAAATCTCGCACACTTCTCGGGAACTGTTCCCGTCGGGAATATCTGAGGTCCCCGGCCACGTGGTTCACCTGTAATCCCAATGGAAGTTCGGCCTGGTCGGCGAGTGACTCAGCGAAGATGCGAAATTCTCTAGGGTAGCCAACTTTTGGAGGGGCCAGACATGGTGGGGGAGCTCCAAGCTCCCTTTGTTTGATGCACGACGTCAACCAAGACATTGATTAAACAACTACACACGACTAGAAAATTGTACCCCGAACCCCGAATAGACATAGAGACTCAAAAACTCCGTTCATTCGTCTATATCTGCGCACCATGTCTCTCTCGCAGCTCTCACAGCTGCTACCTCTCCCCGACGAGGAACTTCAGCAGGTCCTCGATTACGCTTCGACCCTCTCCAAGCCTGAAGCTGCAGAGCATCTTGGGAACCTCCTCGGCGACTCTCCCCAAGCTGTCGAGTTTATCTCCTCGTTCAATGCCCGGCGACAGGCTGCAGCAACAGCAGGACCATCGTATTCCAGCGTCGCAGCACCCCCCGAACCAGAGCCAGAAACTGTAGCGCCCGTACCGAAAGCGAAACGACAGGGGAAGAAGAAGAAGGCAAACATTCACACTCCCCAGGCTAGGAAGATTGGAGAATATGTAGCTCCTTCAGGCACTTCATACAGCAAGAAGGACCAGGATCTAGACTACATTCCTCAACGACCAAGCGCCCCTAGTAGCAACAATGCGTCGAGATCCAACACACCGAAACCCGACCCCAAGCCGGCTGCAAAGCCTCCACCGAAGCAGCATGTTTCAGCAGGCTATCTCATCGGAGATGGACCTTCGAAACCCAAGCCCAAGTCGAACCCCGTCTCACGGACCTCAACACCAAAGCCATCTGCGAGTAGCACCAAGGTGTCCATTTCTGGGGGAATGCCCATGGCTGGTGCTTCAACCGCCATCTCGGACTTGGATGCTGCCATTAGAGCACTCGAGATTACGACGAATCCCTCCTTGGGTAATGTCAAGTCTAGGAAGTGTAACTGCGTTGCCACAAGACATCCTCTTCAGGGAGCAGCACCGAACTGTCTCTCTTGCGGCAAGGTAATTTGCATGAAGGAGGGTCTGGGGCCTTGCACTTTCTGCGGTGCTCCGCTCCTCAGTTCGGAAGATGTACAAGCTATGGTGCGAGAACTCAAGGATGAGCGAGGTCGCGAGCGAATGGCGGCCAACCGTGAGGCCAACCGTCGACCAGACGTTGCCAAGACGCCCGCCCCATTTACTCAACCGCGCGGCAACGACGGGCCCTCATTGAGTGACGCCGAAGCAAAGGCCCGCGCTCATCGCGACAAGCTACTCAACTTTCAGGCGCAAAATGCCCAGCGAACTACGGTACGCGATGAGGCGGCCGACTTTGATGTCGGTGGTGCGCTTACAGGAATGGGTAGCATGTGGGCGACTCCTGAAGAGCGGGCTCGTGAGTTGAAGCGCCAGCAAAAGATCCTTCGAGAGATGGAGTGGAGCGCACGCCCAGACTACGAGAAGCGGAAGCAAGTTGTGAGCATTGACGTGGTGGGCGGCAAGGTTGTTCGCAAAATGGCAGCTATCGAGCGACCTGCTACACCTGAGTCTGAAGAGGAAGATATCTACGGCGTGGAGGATGGTGTCCTAGGGGAGACAACCGGAAACAAGAGCGGTGGAAGAAGCGGTGGAGCGTTCAGTGGCAACCCGTTGCTGGGCTCACTAATCAAGCCTGTATTCGATGCCAAGGGGAAGGGGGCCGAAGTAGAGGGCAGGGAGTCAAGAAAGAAGAAGGGATGGCAGCGTGTTCAGCATGATCTGGATAACAACGAGGGAATCATCCTGGACGGAGGAGTTTATGGACACGCTGGGGATGAGCCAGAATGTGGTTGAGCATCTTTGGAGGAGTGCTGCTATTTGGGAACAAGGTAGTGATACCCGCCAGTTGGTGATACCCACTGGTTGAGTTTTGCATGGGCCGTAGCGAAGAATGACGGCTGCTCTAGAGGTTCATTGTCTAAGCGGATACCAAAGTAGGGTTGAAGGGAATAAGCGACGTGGAGAAGGGGGTCATGAAAGACACAAATGTCTAGAACATATTGAAGGCATGATAAGAGTTATTGCTATTCCATGATGTCAGATAAATTCTAGAAACATTAGTTCTCTTCAAAATTGCCGATATCTCAACTTTTGTTTCAAGTCTAATACACGTGCAGCCTTTGTTGACATCTCATGATGGTGTCGCGGGGCACACGTGACTTCGTGTCATGAACGTTTATCATGGCCCAAGCGTCTTGTTTAACCGGATACGGGACGTGGAGGGGCACGCGAAGAGTGGGAGGGAGTGGGACAAGGATTGGGAGGTGAGGTCATTTGACTCACGGGAAGCCAGATCTTGAATCAATTTCTTTATTCTTCTGCCTGGAAAGAGTAATTTAGAAACTGCGTATATGTGTTTACAACTTGGGGCAATCTGTCATAGGCAGCAGGCGAAATATCGGTGCCTGTCGTGTCTGGAGAGTAAAAAGCCTCGAACAAAAACCTTGCAGCGCCACGCGGCCTCTGGTTTTTCAAGGTGCGCAAGTCGGGATGAACAGGGCATATTTCATCCCGTCTATGTAGAAACGAACAGTCCCTTGCTGTCAATAGTTCTCGGCTATTTAAACAAAAATCTCTCTCCTCGGTGACGAATTCAAAATGCCATTGTGACAGGAGCACGCGACCCTTGTGTCCTTGTGCGACGGTGATCCTGGGCAGTGCTTCTGGCGGAGGAACGCGCTGCAGCCACCCAGAGAACCACCCGTGGGACCGCTAGAGTTTAGTGCTTCTTCAGCGGGTTGTTTCCTGCTGGCAGGGGGCACCTAGGGTTCCATCCATGGAGCCCAGGCTTTTTGGCTTTGGTCCGAGTCGAGTCAAGTCGCGTCCACACCAGACCGCGTAAACCAAACCACCAACTGCAAGGCAGCATCTTATCCCTCTTGAGCAGTTTCGCCTGGGGATTTCATCTTGGTTTTTAGACTGACGTCTTTTCTATCTTGCTGTATATCGTCTTGGGCATCATTCTTTTGTTATACAAGTGCCTACTTGTCACCGTACTCAACACTTTACAACATCAACAAGAAAACAATCAACATCGTCACTTCTCCCGCCCTGGCCAAACCCAATTGTTTTGCCCTTGTCTCTGGCCTAGCTCCCTCGGCAGCCCGGATTTCCCGCCGCGCGGTCTCTGTCTAGGCCCTAGACCCCGTCACCCTTGGGGGGTCCATCCACCCTCCACTTCAGTTCTACAGCACAGTACAGGACAGGACACGGGAGACTAACAAGGTCTCGGAGGAATACCTACACTCTTTTTTTTAAACCCTCGCCACGAAAACCTCATCGCGGCGTAGGTGCCATCGATATGACTCCGGACCGGCCTCTCGGCGAAATCGCGCTCAATCCTAACCGTGTCACGCTCCCGCCGCCGTTCAAGACGGCCGATGCTCGACCCGACGCTACTACTGAGATAGCGACTGGAGCGCGACGAGGTGGGGATCTCGCGGCGCTGGGCCCTGCCGACGCGCTCTCGCGAGTCTCGCACCAGATTGCGTCGACAAGAACTACAGCGCCTACTGCTGCTGCCGCTGCCGCTTCAATAGCGAAACCACCACCTGTCAAGGCCGTCGTCGCTGCTACCATGCAGCGCAATCCCTCCCTCGACCGTGACGACGGCTCAACCCAGAGCCATCCCCTTTCAACCGCCGGCTCCCAGGACACCAACATGACCGCCTCGACCGATCCTGCATTCACCCCTCCTGCCAGCGACCCCGGAACCTGCGCGCCGGGCCCCTCGAGCCAGGACAGCCAGTTGCTGCAGCTCTCCGAGATTGCGGCCGCGCAGGACAGGATGGACACGGACGCTTGGAGTTCACGGAAACGCATGGCCGACGGCGAGGTTAAGAGCCGAACAGACAGTCAGAGTCCTGTGAAGGGTCATTCTAGGAACCCGAGTGCTGTGAGTAGGGCGTCGGCGACGGGAGGATACATTGGAGAGGTACGTTGGTGCTCAAGACGCGGTATACTTGGACCCGCGTCAAGATGCAGGTATCCCGCTTTGGACCACCTCGCGACTAACACTTTGCCTGCAGTTGTCCGCCGAATTGAAGACGCGTCTCTCTTATGCCATGATCAAGGTTAACCACGGCTGGCAATCAAACTCTTTGGAAGAAGTCGAAACCCTTGCTTCTCACGCCGCATCACCGACATCTAGCACCTCGACCGTCCACCGCCGACAGGGTTCCTCAGCAAGCCCTCGAATACGCCTCAACGCCGCACCCTCCTCCTCGGCTCCTCTCCCATACGATTCTGCTCGCCAGCGTCGAAAATCCAACTCACCTCCAAGATCCTCATTACCTAAACCAACCCTTGCTCCTCCTGCTGCAATTCAACCCTCACTCAACACGAATGTCCCTCGCTCGAACCCGCGCCGCAACTCCAATCCTCACCGCACTCCAACACTACTGTCATATTCTCACACCGCTTCTCCTCATACGCCTGCTCAGTTGCCTACGTTACAGACTGGACCAAGATCTCGCACTACGGGGGAACAAGATGCCATTGAGTCTCTACTCTTCATGAGTAGTCCGGGGAACTCGGCCAACCTGAAGCACGCCTTCTCACCAACGGGTTCCCCAGGACCAAACTTTGGTGCAGTCAGGCCATTGGTTCGTCATGCTTTGCCTTCAGGCCCTAGGAAACCGTTGCCTTCATCACAACGGCACGCCCAGCCAACCAGGAGGCCTGGCTTTGACAAGTCCCCTATGCCTCCACCTCCAGGTTCACCAATGGATCTGGACTCACCACAGCAACCTTATGGTACACCAGGCAGGGGGACACCGAGGAGGCGTATGAATGGTGGCAGCAGTCATCTAAGGGGGGCACTTTCTTTGCCCAGTGGACTCGGTGGGGGAAACGGGACGGCAAGGAAAATGCTGCGAGACGAGGATATTGAGAGGATGCTTGACCAGGCCGCTGCAGAAGCGGCGGATAGCTCTGACGACGAGGAGATTCAGATTCCTCCACCGAGGCGCGGTGTAGCAGGAGTCATGCAGGCATAAGTTGACTTGTTTCAACTGGATGAAAGGATCACGTCTTGGCTACAGCTTTGGGGTTCGACACGGGGGTGAGACAAAGGTCATCTATTCGACATTGCTTGAAACCGGCAGATGTGGGCTTGTTGGAATCATCATACGGCTTGCTCTGCATCCCGTGTCTCTTGGTTCGGATGGGGTGAGACCCATGTTTCCCTCCAATAATGATGACGACTGAGGATTTGTCAAGCTGGGTTATAAGCGGATTTGTCGGGGCATGTTTGGGTTGGCCTGGATCGAGGCCTTGGTATTAGTTAACTGGGAGCATCATTAATGGGGTTTTTATTTCATCTTGAAATTCTGGGAGCGCTCTGGAGGGTTGGCAAATTTGCTGTTGCGTTTGCATGGAGACACGAGACAAAGAAGGGACTTGCATGTTTTGTCTCCCGCGAATCTTGGGGAATCGCGTTGGGAAAGTCGGCGTTTTTTTGGGTCTTGTGGGTTTACTCTATAGGATCGTGGGCAATGGCACGCTTCTATGGCGTCTCACATGGGGTCTTGCAACCAATTTCTACGTGAAGATGTTGATGCTGTCTGGTAGGTTGTCGATGACACTGACTGAATTTGAAGAAGGTTGCTACACAAAAGAGAGATGGCATTGTCTTGATGCTAACTGAGCTACGCTGGCTTCTGTTATAGTAAGATATGCCCAATCCCATGGCAAATTCATCTCTTGATATCATACAAACGCCCAAGTTCCCAGTCATGTGTCTTGTTCTCGCTTGTGATACTTGTCATCATGGCATCGTGTCTTTTGAGGATGCCGTCTTTATATCTCGGTAGAGTTGTTCCTCTTTTCATGGAATACTCCTTACCAAGCTCTCCCAACATGTGAAGGTCTGATATACTCGGCAATACTGATCGCGATGGAGCTCACTGGCCGTGAAGACTCAGACACACTCCCGCGTACACCCAAACAGGCACTCTGCCCTCGACTCTGCCTGGTAATGAGCGGATCGGCCCCGCTCGTCCTATGACTGATGTGTGTCGTCCTGTGTTCCAGCTCAGCCCAAGCAGCCGCTGACCTTCGTGCTCTTGTTTCTTGATCCGCTGCCGCCTGTGCCAAGAATAGACTGTAGTCATTGTCGCCGTCGCTGCTGGCCGCAATACTGCGTGAACGGGCCGTTAGTGCGGCGAGAGCTTGCTGGCGGTGGTGTGAAGCCCCCTCTTCGGACAACTCATCATCCTCGACAGCTGTGATCCTGTTCCCACTAGGTGCGCAGTTGAATGAACAGAGAGTCGTCTCGTCGGCCTCGATCATCACAGTTAATCTGTTGGAGGCTGTCTTGGAAAAGTCTGCCGCCGCATGACGCGGTACATAGGCTGCGCCTTCGTATCCTGGTGGAGAGGAGGCCTGAGCTGGAGTATTGCCTTCAAAGTAGTTGGCTGAGGAGGCGGACCAGAAGCGTGAGGCTCGACGAGAGATACGAGAGGCTGTATTTGGAGATTCGGGCTGCGTGAACGTGTTAATAATGCCCTTATGACTTGTGATATAAGGCGTTACCTCTTGGAAAGCTACTTGTGGTTGTTCCTGGATCACTCGATCTTCGTCATCAGATAATCGCTGTGAACTGGGACGACGAATAGAACTGAGCGAGAATCGACGACTAATGCTTATAAGAAACGACGACTTTCTAGGAGTCTGGTCCGTCGGGACCGACTTGGAACGAATAGAACGACGAGGCTTCATATCTGTGAATGTTCAAGTTTAAACGCTTGCAACGAAAAATAATTAAGACAAGAAGAAGAATGAATGACTAGAAACAAAAGTGAGACATTCTCTGGAAAGCCCACCCCGTTTATATCCACTTACTCTCTCTCTGTCCGTTGAAGGATATAAGCTTTGGGCCCGGTCGATCCCGCTCGGTTGACCCTGCGTCTGTGACACGCCCCTCGAACACTCCTCGCCCACGCCACTTTCCCCTTTGCTCTGCATGGTGGCTGATCGGTTCAAGGTTGATATTTGGATTAGACGCTATGGGACATGTCTATCACTCTGGGGCGGTGTGATTGCGTTGTCTGGAGGAGGGCGCGTGAATCCGGTATCTGGTATTATTGAGTCGGCCTCCAACAATAGTTCCTACTATTTGAGGAAAAGATCAACAGAACGAGTATCATGCACATCAGACATCGCCACATGGCCTCCCGTCAATGCACCATCCGGCCCGAACATCTGGACCAAAGACCCGGGACCATACTCTCCCACCCTGTCCGCATCATGACTTCATCCCAAGCTCCAGACTCTTCAAAACGGTCCTCGTGAACCCTGTAGTCAAACGCCTCCTAACTTCCACATCTGAGGGAGAAAAAAAGAAAGAGTAAAAGTTCTTCCCACTCCGTGGAAAAAGGAGTTCTCTGACCTGAGGAAAAAAGGTTGGCGCCGCGTGGTTTGAATGCGGAAAGTGGACCGGGGCGGGAGGCGGGAGGTGGAAATGATGGAGTCTGGGGAGGGGGGTTATTGAAAAGGGATAGGTATGTGAATTGTAGGTATGGGGAATCTTGGGGAGTAGCTTGCGTGGCGATGAGGGTATTGATACGAGCTTGTTGTCATGATGTTGGTATCTCCTCAGATCTGGTCTCATCACAGCTGACCTTGATCATTGCACTTGTAAGTATTTTTATGGTTCTAAGACGATGGTAATACCATCTTTCTTATGCTTCATCTCCAGAATGCGTACATTGTTTCTCCAAGCCCTCTCCATGTCCATCACAAGTAGACAGCATCATCGACAGTCTCGACCTAGAAGAGCATGTCCGCTACAGCCATCCAAAAAAGCCATGATGTATTCTACATCAAAGCCCCATGGCTTAACCAGGACATTCCGTGCTTACTCAAATCAGGCTCACTGCTCGCTATCAAGCCTAGTCATCACATCTTGGGGAGACTTGACCTATCAACAAAAGATCAAACAGCGTTTTCATTCCTCGCTTAGACCGTCTAAGCAAATCAAAACGTGGTGTTTATAGCCGAGTCGAGACCCACGCCACCATGTTTCCGTTTCGAGGGGAGCTCCGAGATGCTAGTGATGAGTCCGTCACCGGATTCATCCAAGGCTCTATCTACCCTAACAGATGAATCACTTCTGTCTTTTCAACTGACGACATGGTAAATTAATAATTGGGAGAAGTAGAGATGCTAAAGTAAATAACTGGATGACATTGCTAAGTCTTCAGAGTCCCAAGACACACATTGTGGTCATGATGTCCTTGGAATGCGGGCGGAGCCACCCGAGTCTGCCCGCCAACACAAAGAGTTGTGATTGACGTTTATGGAATGGGATTTTTCTTGTAGCCTGCTACGCCAATTTGAGAACTCGGCCGGCACTTGTAAGCGACGAGCCGTTATTGGCATTTAACTGACGACGGCCTTTGTACGAGTCAGCATTTAACAGAGTCCACAAGGCACTCTATATTCTCGGCCGCCATTGCCTCATAAATCATTCCTCCCTAACAAGGCTGAACTCCAACCTTTCCAGCCGATGCCTAGCAAGAAGTCTGAAGCCACCTTCGGGGTCATGTCTCCTCAAGGCGTAGGGCACATGGACTGCCAGCCACATCAAAGATTGCCACACCTGACCTCAACGAGTTGAAACAGCCGTGATGGAAGCACTACTTTGTTCTAGAAGGAATTGGACCTCTTGCCGGGTTCTGATCTAGGCCTCGATAATAAGGAGGTGGTGTTTGAGCTCGCCCCGACTACGCCATGTCTATACACTGGAGACGGAGAGGCCGTAGGTAAGGCCATGTCTAAACGCTTGAAGCTATTTTATTTGAAATGAATTGTGGCCTTCGATGGGCAATAGCGAGAGAGGAAATGACAACCCCTTGATGGAAGTTTGAATCAATAATTTAGGATGACGAGAGTTTGGATAACTTAACAAATGATAATAACAATCACAATAGTGAAGAATAGTTAGACTAATCATATCATAAAGAAGGCGACACAAACATAATATCACATGTTCACAACGAGTTCACGGCGAAGGAAAAGAAAGATGTGAGATCAGATCGGCGGCCTTTTTTTTTTTTTTTTTTTTTTTTTTTTTAAAAAGCGTCACCAAGCCCAAGCCGTCCCCATGCCACCATTATTCATCCCACCACCTCACCCCCGCCGGTGCTTCCGGCCCCGGGGTCCTTGTCATCGGGCTTTGGCCCGGTATCATCAGCCTTCTTGGTGGGCTTCTTGCCCCGGCGGCGGCGACTCTTGTTGACTCCGTTACGGGGCCCGGCCCGGGCAGACTGCGGGGCCATCTGAGACTATATGGCCTAATTGGAGAAATTAGCATCGGGACGTTAGAGGGGAGGAGATAACTTACTGCCACCTGGGCTATGGTGGTGCCGGGGGGGGGGCAACACGGAGCCCGGAGGCAAGACAACTAGAGTATTGTATTAGCTCATAGCTCAAACAATTCACATACAGGCTGGGCATGTAATTACCGTTCTGAGGGGCCGAGCGGCACTCCTCTGGGCGGTGGGAGCCCATCCTGTGACAATGGGGGCACCGGTGGTACCCCCCGGCGGCGTAGGCAGCGGGAGCGGGAGCGAGAGCAGGGGCCAGGGCAGGGAAGGCGGGAGCGGGAGCGGTAACATGAGCAGGAGCAGGAGCAGGAGCAGGAGCAGGAGCAGGAACGGGAGCAGGAGCAGGAGTGAGAGCGGGAGTGGGAGCGGGAGCGGGAACGGCAGCGGCAGCGAGAGTAGGAGCGGCGGCAGCGGTCGAGGGAGGGGAGGAGGCAGCGGCCGCGGAGGCCGAAGGACTGCTGGGGCCGGAGCCCACGGGACCAGACTGAGCAGGAGCCCAGTTGTTGCTTCTCTTCCACTAAATTCTATATAAGCTCATTGCTTTGCGGTCAAAGTCGGCGCGGATAAGAACTCACAGGTTCCATGTTGATGAGTTACTAGAAAGCAATAGCATGTCAGTAAGTGAATCCAGTCCATCACAAAGAAACACTTACAGAAAATGGTGGGAGAGCGGCGAGAAGAGTGGAAAAAATCACCCTATAATGTCAAGTTAGTACTCTCAACATCCGGAATACATGAGTTGGCAGATGAAAAGGCATATAACAAGTCAAGCGACGATGCGCGTGAGGGCGCTGGGCGCAAAACAACACTGAACTCAAAGCGGGATGCCACGCGCAACAGAGAAAGGAAAACAAGGTAGACAAGGGATAAACGGAAGAAAGGAGGAAATAATCGGCGAGCATGTATTCAGATAGACGGGGGAAGGAGAAGAAACCTGGAACTTACAGAACGGGGTTGGTGATGATGAGAGAAGAGGAAGGAAGGAAGGAAGGAGAGAGTGGGACGGGGAGTTTATTCGCATGAGACTCATCACAACATCCTACTAGTCAAGTCACATGTTGCGTGCGGTGCCAGTATTGCTTCTTCAACATCTTTACCAGAATATCATCATAAGGATCATCAAACAGGCCAGAGCGGGGAGAGGCGGCACCAAGACTCCGTATTAGAAAGAGAGAAACGGGCGACGAAACCATGTATTCGCAATTAAACGTGAAGCAAAAAGATAAAGAATGAAGCTAAAAAATGGTATGTTCAATTCTATTATTCAAGCTCGTCTAGTTGCTCGTTGAGCCAGAGCTCTCGATTCTAACCACTGGTGGTTCACGACGTCGAAAGGCGGGACCAGTTGCGGAACTAGATGTGCAGTCGCCCAGTGTCCGATACAGGCTGTAAAAGAGCTTCGTCCGGTATTCGTCAAATCTCCATCCCGTAAACCAAGTCCTTTCGAAATCCCAGTTTCGGGGAGAAGCTGCTATTCTCTATGGACAAAAGGCTGGTAACTTGCCCAGGGCCCTGTCTAGTCTTGGACCTTGTTCAAGAAAGAGAAGGTCTTCAAAGTTTGAACCGACGGGGGAGAATGTAGTCTTGGATAGTGCACGTATTACCTGACAGTGTTGACGATATCGCTAGGTACAGGAGAAGCTCTAGTCGTAGGAAAGTAGGCGAAAGGAGGCGTGCACCATTCAGGAGATTCGTGTCTCGCAAACGGCGCCTTAGTTGAGCGTTTGGGATATGGTGCAATCAGAAAGGCGTTCAAATCGAGCCACCGAGAAGAAACCGCAGGTGCAGAGAGAGCAACGGGCCATCACCGTCTTCTCTCATGCTTCATTCAACATGTTGCATTATCCAGATCTGGGAATGATGTCTTATGTTTGATAACCGCACCATGTGTTATTCGAGGTGAAATGACAACAGCCCAACCTTGGAGGGCCTGCTAGACTCCATAACACAACTCTAATCTGAGACGAGAGAAAGAAACATGTTGTTCTGGTCGTCAACAGGCCCATGCTGCTGAGATTCAGTATCCAAAGTTGCGTCGACCGCTTTCATCAAATCACAAGGACAACGTGGCCGAGTGGTTAAGGCGATGCCCTGCTATCCTGCATATCTAGGCATTGTGTTCGCACGCGTAGGTTCGAATCCTGCCGTTGTCGATTTGATTTTTTGTCTTTTTGAACAATCTTTTTGCCATTATCTTGTGTTGTTGTGTCTTGGTGTTGTGGTTTCATGGAGTTTTGCCGCTTTGCGATGGCTTGCCTGTTTGGTGGTTGTCTGGCAAATCCTCACCTCCACCTCATCATAAACATCCTCATGAAATGTCTAATATTGGAGCAAAAAGTGGGCCCATGGCAAAGTGGCTCGTCTGCTCTGGTTCTTTTGACCTCTCGTTCATATGAAGAGAAAATCCACGAATGTGCGTCAAGCAATTGGTGAAACATCCATTCCTCCTTGTCTGTTGTCTCTCTTGTTCTCTACAAACGAAGCCAGCTCGACGTGTGTGGGCCTGGATCTGCCAGGCCTCGGTTCTTCAACCGAGTCAAGGTCAGCTGACCGTGCACGGGACTTTACTGGAGGCGGGCCAACTCCCCGAAAATTGCCTCTGCGGCAGGATGGCTTTTGGCCAAGAGTTGTACTCCCCGAAGAGCCCCTCAATGTCGTCCTGTATATGAACTTCATCCAAGACACTCATGTTTGCATCTCTGCTCGACTTGTCAACTTTGTTGGGAAACACTTCTCCAGAAAAAATCTTCCAGCTGGCTCGGGCTTACGGCCTCTCGCACCCCAAACTCCGCACCATGGTGACCACTTAACATGGGCCACTAAGACACCGGACGCACTATTACGGATCAACTACCGCCTCCATCCTTACTCCCATGCCGGCTGTATAGTTTGATCTCAGCCTTTTTGCCTCGAGAGACTTTGTCAGGTTTCCCAGGGCGTCCCGTCATGACCCCCGCTCTCGACGCCTCGTCGAACCAAACAGGCTTGGCCCTCCACCGCCCGGGTCCAGCTGAAGGCATTACGAGGCCGTGATTTGTCCCCCGTGGATCGATGCCCGTTCATTGCCTGCAGTCCACGACTCTAGGTCACCCCTCGAGCATCCACTCAGGCTCGTTTGTGCACCGCCAAACCGCCGACAGTCTCCACCCTTGACAAGTTCTCGACTCCACCACCGATGGTCCGAAGGACGCGACGACGACCCGAAGCCGCGCTAACTCGTCGGTTTTTCGAATCCCCCCCCACGACATTGGTTGGCCAAGGTCGATGATCCCGGTTGCCCTGCCTCTCCGGCTCGTCCGCGGACCTCTCCGCTGGGGTTTCGAATGCATCATGCTGCTCCTTTTCTGCTTCTAGAGCGCTCGCTATGGGGGGTCTGTCAGGTCTCACATGCGGCTTGCGTGGTTTCTTACCCTGTCTATGCCTTCAAACCAATGGGTGATTTCCCCGTCCCACGATGTGCTTCAGTCACCCCCAAGTTACTACGGGACCCGGAACGTTACTTTGACCCATCATGACTTGGCTCTTCCGCCACTGACCAGGAAGAGCGTGGGTGCAAAGCCTGGCGGGGAAGCTTGACTGATGCAGTTTTCATTGCTCAAAGCTTTAAAAATCTGTTTCATCCTCGTCCTCTTTGTCTTTTTCTCGTCTTCTCCCTCATCATCTTCTCAGTGTCTGTCCTACGCCTGAGATCCCCTACTCCAAGTCTCTTGCCCTACTTACTCAAGATACCCTCTGCTTTACATCTTCATTGACCCTCTAAGGGTACACGTAGCTCTCAACATGACTGGCTCTGAGCATCTCAACGTCTTCAAGGGACCCAACTCAGTCCGTGACTATTTCGACCCCGAGCTCTCACCTCCTCTTCCTCTCGTCGAGATTCCTGACTGCCTCAACCCCTACCGTGACGATGGCGTGCGCATTTATGCCAAGCTGATGTCTATGCATCCGGCCACCAACGTCAAGGTGATGCCAGGTTGGTGTCATGATCAAGTTCCAGTGATCAAAGCTAACATGTCTGTCACAGCTATGAACTTGCTCGAGAAAGGTGTGGAGCCCGGCAAGACAAAGACCATCGTGGAGAGCAGCTCAGGCTCAACTGTCATCTCCATGGCTATGGTTGCCCGAGCCTTCCACGGCATCAACGATGTCCATGCCTACCTCAGCAACAAGACAAGCGAGACTAAGCTGCGTATGATGCAGTTCTTTGGTCTCAATGTGTAAGTTATCAGTCTTCGTAGCTTGTGGAATACTCTGCTAATTGCCGAAGTACCCTCTTTGGCGGTCCTGCTCAACCAACTCCTATCGATGAGCGAGGTGGTATCCGAGCCGCCGCTCGCAAGGATGCCGAGTCAGAGTCTGTTTGCAGCCCAAACCAATATGTCAACGATGATGTACGTAACCCCCCTTGTTGGCGATGGAGATTATACTAACGTGGTTGGCCTTTTAGAACTGGAAGGCCCACGTGCGATGGACTGGTCCTCAGATCCACCGTCAGCTTCCAGAGATCAACGTGATTGTGGCGTCTATGGGAACTGCTGGTGAGTCCCTTAACTTGCCCATGGTGATTTAGTAACTCATTCCGTGCATAGGAACCATGACTGGTCTTGGCACCTATTTCAAGCAGGCAAAGCCTTCCGTGTACAGAATTGCGTACGTTTGCTGCCCTGCCTATGTCAAGTGCCCGCTAACACCAACAGTGTCTGCACGAATGCTGGCGAGCGAGTGCCTGGCCCTAGAGAGTACTCCCTCATGGGCGAGGTCGAGTTCCCGTACCTTGCTGCCCATGATGCGCTCGAGGAAGTTGGCGCTACAGACTCTTACTCCTTGTCCCTGGATCTCACCCGACAAGGCATTGTTTGTGGTCCATCATCAGGCTTCACCTTGAAGGGGCTGTTTCAGAGGATCGAGAAGTTCAAGCAGGAAGGAAGGTTGTCACAGCTGGCGGGCCCAGATGGAGAAATCCACTGCGTCTTCATGTGCTCCGACCTTCCTTTCCAGTACTTGAGCGAGTACTTTGAGAAGCTTGGCCCCGGGAAGTTCAGCCCCATCCGCAACCAGGTAGGTTATCTTCTAAAATCTGGTTGAGTCACTGCTGACTGGGATAAGCGCCTGAGAAATATTGACCTCTACCGATACGACGATGCCTGGGAGCTTAAAGCTCTCGCCGCCTTGTCCAGCTATTTCACTATTCACCCTCTGGGCACTCACGACACTGTCCTCTCGTTGGCCGCCCAGATCGACAAGGCCCTCACCCCTTCGGCCAACACACAAATTCTCGACTTCCGACGCTCTTCAGACTATGACGCCTTCCACCTGCCCAACTCTGTCAACATTCCCCTCGAGACATTGCGAGATGGTGCTTCTCGCGGCAGTCCATTTGCCAATCCTGCAGATGACTGCGCCATGCTCGAGGAGTTGTGGCTTGAGCTTGAGGCTCTGTTTACCGTCAAGGACAAGAATGGCAACCGTAACGCCAGCGCCGAGGCTCTGATGGCCATCCTCCGTGGCAAGAAGGTGCTGACTCTGTGTTACGATGGTGACAGTGCCAGAGTCGCCAACAGCGTCCTTCGGGCCAAGGGTGTTGAGGCAGAGAGTATCCGCGGCGGATACGGTGCCCTCGCTGAGCTGCACATGCCATGCAACGACACTTGCAAGGTCGCTCCTCTGCCGATGTCGGTCGAGGTTTAAACCATACCTCTTTCTAGTATTACAAAAGCTGCCTTGAGCAGTAGCGCACTGTCTTTTGCTTGATTATGATTCCAGAGAGCAGTGGGCTTCTGGATTTCTTTGCATGATACGGGGCCCACCCCCAGCCAGGACGTGCAGTAGGCGTCAGTGGTTGGAGACACGAGGAGTTCGTATTTGGGATACGCAGGATTGTTTTGGTACTTTATTCATGACTCACGATCGATCAAGGAGCATGGGTCTGGAAGTGCAGTGGGCTTCTGAGATGATGGGGCTTCAACAAGTCTCGACCGTGCAGGGGAGGAATCGAATCCAGAAGTGCAGTGGGTTTCTGGGATTTGAGCAAACGATTTCAACCATCGAAAACTTCAATTCAACAAGATTGGGTATTCTGGTAATTCTGGCCTTTAAGGCTCTTGCAATTGTGCTTGTGACGCCAAGTGACCGCTCAACTTTGCCTTGCGCTTTGTATAAGATGACGCCCGAACACGTCTCTATACCTAAAGAT